TAGTTTTTTGTAAATAATTAACACATAGATGATCTTTTTTTTTTTAGAGTCTCGTCCGATGTCGGGTAGCGACAATCCCAATCTATTTTTTCTAACCATTTTATGGCTTCTAGCCATCACAAACAAACTTTCTTCTTTAAGAGGAACAAATTGAAGCCAACATTTAGAGTCAAAATGGTTAGAATGAGTCTCACGATAACTTTCTCTCTCGTACAATCATATCTCTCCTCCCACTGTCGGAGAATAAACCGTGATAGAAATAAAGTTTGGTATCGAAATAAAATTATCTAAAAAAATCAAGGATCAAAATGCAATATTTGGCTAAATTACATATAAAATGAATAAAATAGCTTTACAATTATAAAAAATACCATTGTATAGTAAAATACATGATATTTTTTAGTGTATATCTATAGTGATTTGTGAAATAGAATGGTGAAACACACAATGTATCCATAGTGTTTTTCCTATCTTTTTTAGTATTATACTAGTCGGATACTCGCGCAACTCGCGGGTAGACAACCGTTACATATGTAGGGTTAACAATTCGTATGGTGTAATGCCAGTATAAAGTTTTATTTTTTGTGATTAATATAAATTGAATCTATATATAATTAATTTGTAATAAAACTATATATATATATTGAATATTGAGAGTATAGAGAATAAATAGAAAAATATACAAAAAAAAATGCACCTAAATTATAGAAATATATTGAAGTCAATAGATTAAAATAAAAACTACAACAAAATTGGTTCGATAAATTATGAATAAATATATATATTAAAAATAAAACTTGTGAATTTTTTAACTCATTATTAAAAAAAAAATTGAGTCAAACTATGTAAAATATACTTCTCTCTCTCTCTCTCTCTCTCTCTCTCTCTCTCTCTCTATATATATATATATATATATATATATATATGTATGTATGTATTAAAAAATAAAACATTAACGTTGTAAAATTTTATCCCAAAATTCATATATTAAAAAAACAAATTTATTAAGAAATAAAACTATATGAAAACAAATTTATTAACAAATAAAATTATATCAAAAATTATCATCCATTACAAATTTACAATAAAATTAAAAATGTTTCAAAATGGCCATTGTAACCTAAAAATATGTTTGTTAATCATAAGCTATATATATATATATATATATATATATGAAGAAAAAACAAAAAAAAAATGGAAAAAATGCCGAGCACCAAAGCTTGGGTCTATGAAAAAGAAAAAAACATGGGAGGTCGCCAGTCGGGCGCCCAAGGCCCGGAGCGTGTAGGCCTTGGCTACTGTTCACCTTGGCAAGCAGTACCAAAAAAAGAAGAAGAAAAAGAAACGGGTACTCGTTCATTACTCGTTCATTTACCGTAGAACCACCTCGGCTTCTTTTAGTTATATGTATAAAATGTAATTTGATAAATCTGTCAACCTCAAGAGAAGCTTTTTGAAATTTTAGCCACCTTAAAATGCACATTTTTATTCTAAACCAAAATAAAATATGATTTCCATTTCAATTGCTCTAAAAAAGTATTGTAAAAGCTTTTAGGTATCCTTGAAAGTGTTGTCATTTAAACCTAGAGACTAGTAATAAGTGGTTATTTGTGCACTCCTCTTCTTTCTTATTGCAATGGGTTGGCTTAACAATTCAAGACGCAAAGGAAAGAGCAAGGAACATAGGAGAAGGAGAGTAGTTTGCTGCAGCCATGTTGAAAAATGAGTTTAATCACACTAAAAGTCTCTCAATTCTTTTGATTTTCTTAATTTGATTCCTCTACTTTGTTTCCATCACCTTCCTTCGCTCTTGATTTTTTTTTTTTTTTTTTTTTTTTATGTGGCACCTTGTTTTGTTTTCTTAATTTTTTTTTTTTGGGATACAAGATATTAGTGTAGGAGAAAAGATACGCTTTTAAAATTATTTGAGAAAAGAATTTAATTTTAGTTGATGTGTAAACTTGTTTGAGAATATCAGTTATTATTGGAGAGAAAAAAAAAAAAAGATTTTGAGCATACACATGTGGTCAGGCAATGAAAAGAGTTCAAAAAGAAAAGAAAAAAACATCACAAGAAATCCAAATATCAGAAATGTCGCTCATAAATGATTGATAAAGTAATCATGAGTGGTGCGTGGCCCTCCCTCGGCTGTCCATTTCCTCCTCCTCTCCTCTTCTATGATGAGTGGTGCGTGGTCCTCCCTTTCTCCTATCAAGCGCGTGGCTGGGAATAACTTAGGGTGATTGGGAATGACTACGCGTGGGTAAATAAGTAAATAACAAATGTTGAGAAGACATGCTCCTTGTTCAACCATCAAGGTTTGACAAGCTGTAAACAATAAAGTTCTCACGAATCTCCTAATTTTACCCTCCATAACTTATTTTTAATAGGATTAATCGATCAATTTCAGTACAAGAAAATTAATCCAAAATACCCTTTATCATAAAAAAAATACAAAAAAATAAAATTAAAACATGGAGATATTTCATGCGACATAACTTTGGATTCAGTTTATTGCATATCTACTCATATTAAGTAAAACACTAAAAAATGTGAGTTTTTTATTAATCATTTACTGTAGTATTGAACGACGCGCGGTCTTATTTGTTGAAGCAGATGACTTGTCATCCATTGTTTTTGTCCCTTGTTTTTTTTTTTTTTTTGCCTGGTCAGGCCAACCTGCCTGCTGCTGCTTGTTTAATACCAAGCCTCCTCTCTATATTTTGTTCACGTAAAGAAAAAAATTGTTAAATATACCAAAATGTTGCTCCTCCTCGTGTAAAAATGGAAACCATAAATATAATAGTTAGTACATTAAGCCAATAAAAAAAAATACAGCCCTCAATATATCTAATAATTTCTATTAATATTAATGCAGAAAAAGAAACACACAAATTGTTATAATTTCACAAGATGGAATCATTTTTGTCTTTTTCCTTAAGTTTGACTACGCCTGCCCTCAGTCCGCGGCGGCTAATTGGTCCTTTTCATTCTTTGGTTCAAAATAAAAATTTTCCCTCGTGGGAGCTCTAAATATATATTTTTTTCCCCTCAAATTGAAGAAAAATTTAATATTTTTTATTAATGAGATCGTCGAGGAAAATTGGCCGTGCAAGAATGGCTTTTGGTTGCTTTGAATTTTCCTATTTGCATGCCCTATAACTTCTTTTCTGAATAAAATAAAAGAAGAAGAAAACTTCAAGAATGATTTGAGTTGTGGAAATTGGAAGCAAACTTTTTAAGAAGTTTCTTTCGTTCTTTCTTTCTTTTTTTCAAACAATTCACACTCATATAAATAAAATCAAGTTCTATAAATTGGGCTAAGATTCTACAGTGCAAGCTCTTTATTGTCTCTCTTCAACCCACACCACGCGTGCGTGCCTAAAGACAAAACATATATCTCTTCTCTCCAAAGCAAGCATCTTTTGTCTATACTAGATTTTACGTATTTGTTTGCTGCCTTTGCTCATATGGGCAACTCTCTTCTTCTATCCAAAGGAGACAAGCACCATGGACAGAGGAAACGAAGAACTTCATGTTTCAGATCATACAAGGTACTGTCTTTGTCTCGTCTCGTCTCTTATACCATTTTGGTTTATTTTAGTTTGCGTATTGTGAGGTAATTAGCAATTTCAAGAAGCCTGGGTGCTGTAAAACCTACCTGGCTACCTAGATCTCTCCAAATTCATGCGACTCAGAGATAATCATGATTGCCCAAAGATTACTAGTTTACGAGATTTCTTGTTGTTTTCTTGGTTATTTCTAATGTCTGAGAGATGGGCACAGGAGCTTGATAGGTTAGGATAGAGTTAAAAGTTGAAATACCCTTCCAATCGTTTTTTTTTTTTTTTAAATTTCAATAAGAGGTATCTCTGTTAAAAAAATTATTTTATTAAAAAATTTGATTGAAATGATAAATTGAATATTTTAAATATTTTTAAAAACAAATGAGATGCAATTAAAAACCTAAAAACATATGAGAGAATTTAAATATTATATAAAAATATATAAATATATTTATAATAAATTAGGAGTAGACTCTTATTAGATAACATTGTAGTGCATAGGGAGATTTTTTTTTTTTTTAAAAGACACTCGAAAAAATATTCAACAAACATCTAAAATTTGCTTTGTGGCAAACGTGGATGGTACATTACCATCATCTATCCATTCATTTTCCACTATGTCAAATGAAACCAAAAACATTGGTTTTTCTTTTGTGATTTCAAGTTATCATAACTTCAGTCAAATTCAATTATTTTCTGTAACTTAATTTGCTAAATAGAAACAATTTTCTTCTGTTTTTGTAACAGAAAAGTGAAGTCGTCAATAATTTCAAGTCATCCTAGCTATCCCTAAAACAATTCTAATTGTTGACCTGATAATTAAAAAAATTATTTTATTATTTAAATTTTTAAATTCAAACTTAGAAAGCGTAGTAATCTAATTATTTAGTTATTTTTTTTATTTTTTTTATTTTAAAAAATACAAAAATATTTATACAAAGATTGATGAATAAATAAGATATTTTTAAATTAAATATAATAAATATTGATTAAAAAACTAATTAATTAATTTTTAAAATAATTAGAATTAATAAAAAACTAGAGAGATTAATTTATAATTTACTCTTGGAACGTTATCCAAACAACATTGAATTTTTTAAAACCTATCCTCCATACATGCCAAGTAGGACACCACGTCAGCGCAGTGGAATCTGACATCATCACCTTCCTAAATCCTAACCATTCTTAGCGCGAAACAACAGATTCCGACCACACAAACTGCGCGATTCATATTCAGAAATATTCAATCACATGGAAAATGATTCCTTGAAAAATAACAGTCACCAACCAAGTCAACGCCTTCTATTTTTACCTCCTATTTTCTTTCGAAATAATCGAATTCAATTCTCTCCAGATAAATCTGAAATTGAGAATCGAATTCCTCTTTCCTTCTCCTCTCCAGTCAAATTTCATTTTTTTTTCTTTTTTTGCTAGATGGATAATGCAACGACGGATTCAATTCCAGATTCTGATTTCTTGAAGGAATTTTACATTCCTGATTACATTTTACTCCCTGAATCAGAACCCGACTCCACTCCTCCTCAGCTGCCTCAATGTCCGGTTCTAGTTTTTATCAATTCCAAGAGTGGTGGTCAGCTCGGTGGAGATCTTTTTAAGACTTATTCTTCTCTTCTCAATGAAAAACAAGTGAGAGTCTCTTTCTCACCTTTTGAATTTCTGTTTTCTGATGGCAAATTGGTGATCTTATTTCTGTAATTGAATTTTTAGGTTTTTGATTTGAGTGAGGAAGCGCCGGATGTTGCGTTGCGGAGGATTTATTTGAATTTGGAGAAATTGAAATCCAATGGACATGAATTTGCTGCTAAAATTCAAGAGAAATTGCGAATTATTGTAAGTTTTTTTTTTTTTTTTAGGTGGTGTTTGTTTTGCTGAGGATTTATGTTTGTGATGGAGTTTGGATTCCTGAGCGAACCAAACACGATGACCAAAAAAAGAATGTGAATATAATTGTTTTTTTTTTAAAAAAAAATTTAATTTAATGTAGGTTGAAATGTTTTTATTTGGAATAATGTTAGGTTGCTGGTGGTGATGGAACGGCTGGATGGCTTCTTGGGGTTGTTTGTGATCTTAAATTATCGCATGCCCCACCGATTGCTACTGTGCCGTTGGGAACCGGAAACAATCTTCCATTCGCGTTTGGTTGGGTAAGAAATAACGTCAATGGATTTGAATTTGCTTGTAAAATGAATTTGGGATGTATTTTGACTGTCTTGAAATTTTCTGAAATTGATTGTTGTTTAAGTGATGTGTTGACTTGAAGTTTACTCATTTGCAGGGAAAGAAGAATCCTGGAACGGATACACAGTCTGTAATGTCTTTTATGAAGAAAGTAAAGAATGCAAAGGAAATGAAAATCGACAAGTTAGTGAGCATAACTTATCGGTGGTTTTTGTATGTGTATACACAATAGTTGCTTTGTCTGGTTACATGACTCAGATTAATGTTCTTATGGAGATGATTCAAGTTGGATTTTATTTCTTGAAAATCTCTTTCTGAGTAAACAAACATGGGATTAGTAATTTACATTTTGTTTCGTCATTTGATTTCATCATTTTCATTTTGTCGTACATAATTGGTTTTTAATGCTCTTGTTTGAAATTCAGCTGGCATATTCTCATGAGGATGAGAGCTCCTAAAGAAGGTTCCTGTGATCCCATTGCACCTCTTGAACTACCACATTCTCTGCATGCAGTTCAACGAGTTTCTCCAACAGATGAGCTCAACATGGTAGCGCAGTTTAGATTGCTTTTATGAACCATCGACAACATTTCTTGGCTGTCATTTTGCTAATAAATCAGGAAACTGCATTTGATTCCTAGCAAATTAAGTAGTCATTTTCTTTTTGAATCCTAAAACTACTTTTCTACTCTTCCAAATTAAAATTCTTTGCTATTATGTTTGAGCCTGAACACAACATATATTTTTTCAAAGAACCTCACATATTTTCTTGGTTCTGGTGGATTCTTGAATATCTATCAATGACTATTCTGATACCAAAGGTAGTTCCTTTGAAGAAGGATATGGTATGTGAAATATATAAATTTTGACAATTGAGTTTCTAGTTTTATTACCATTTAAACCAGACCTAAAACAAATTAAATAGTGTATATTTTCCTGCCTTATAAATAGCAAATAACTGTGGCCTGGTTTCTGGTTTGACTCTTGCTTGAGCTTTAGTGAAAAACATTGATCAAACTGGAAGATTTCTACTGTGAATGTTGTGTTTTATATATACTCTGTTCATTTTTATTTTACAAATTTTCAACAAGTGTAAAAAACGCAATTCATAAACTTTTAAGAGAGTAATATCTGTACTGAAGAAAAGGGGAAAAAAACCTTAGCATTGTTCTCTCCTGCACTTTACATATCTATTTCTTTAAATATAAATTGCATTAGGCATGTTTTACAAAAATATTTGGTTGCTTCCCAGGAAGGTTATGTCACGTTTCGTGGGGGATTCTGGAACTACTTCAGCATGGGTAAGACTTCTATCCTGGACCAAGTATAGATTTCTTTTTTTCTTCTTCATGCAAAGCTGATTAAAAGCTTAATTAGAATAAATATCTGTCACGTATGCCTCTGAAGTATAGGGCAAATTCATAAGTCTTTTTGAGCTGCAAGATAAACTCCTTTTTTTATTTATTGGATTTGTTCTTTAGGTTTAGAATCCGTGAGCTCTTGTTTCTTTTATGTAATCACTGAAAGACTTTCACTCAAGAGCATATGAGATAGAGGAGACATTGAATGTTTAAAATGAGATGATAAATTTAAGAAGAGTCAATGATGTGCTGATAATGGTATCCTACATGCATGATGTGCTGATAATTTAGATTTAAATTATATAGAGAGCATTAGTTTCGTTTTGTTATATTCTCAAACCTCCATTAAAAAATTCCATGGTGTAAATATGCTTTAAGCAAGAAGGAATGACAATTTTAACTTTTTTAGTTTAAAATCTTATATTTTGAACCATGCCATGAACACTGGGATTTCGGAAATTTTTCTTTTTACCTTGGTACTTTTTCTGACATAACAATCGCCTGTATTCTGTCGTTTACAGGTATGGATGCTCAAGTATCATATGCATTTCATTCTGAGCGGAAGTTGCATCCTGAAAAATTCAAAAATCAGTGGATTAATCAGGTACTGCACTGCCTTTTCCATTCCTAGTCCATTTGTAAGAAGGTGAATTAAATGTTGCAGTAGTTTAACTATAATTAATATCACATTTTTTTATCTGACTTCTATTCACCAAAACTGAGACTTCTCCTAAGTATACTATTATGACTCCAGTCAATAATTGGAAATTGTAAAATCTGTGTTGGAGGAGCACCACTTGATACCATTTAGATGAATCAAATTTTGGAATTTATTTGCATTAACATCAATACAATGATGTGGTGAAGAGGTTATATATTGTTATATGCTAAATGAAGTCTTAGGATTTTTTTTTCCATTTGCACTGTTTGCTTACCTACGTTTTGAGAGTTTGGGATTGCTTTTATTGCATAGTAGCACTATTTAAATATACTCCCAGGCATTTCATTCAGAGATCATTCTGTGACAAATTGGATTTATAACTTTATTATGAATTCTGCACGCTTCTATGTGAATTCTTTTTTTTGATCTACCATTGAGTATCTTGAGTCCTGGACCATTACTTGGTTGGTCTGCTCAAGAATATAATATTGTTCATTTGATAACTTGGTCCTATTTTCATACATACAAAATGGTCTCCTCCAAGTGAAACACTTCTCACTGCTTTTTTAATTATTGTTTCTTTTCTCCCTTTGTAACCAGAGTACTTATGCAAAGCTTGGTTGTACCCAAGGATGGTTTTTAGCCTCTCTTTTTCATCCGTCTTCAAGGTCAGTGTATAAAAAGCAAAAGAGAGAGACATGGATATATGTATTTTATAATGCATTACCCTGATGCATGCAATGTTACTGCCTGCACTGTATATTGGGATTTCAACTTGTATCCATTTGAGAGAGAGAGCTATATATAGCACGAATATTTTTCGTTGTCTGAGAGTTTAGAGACTTGCTGGCAAATCCTACAACTTGTCATGTTCTCTCTTATGCTGTATTCCTCAACAAATTATGTAATAGTGTGATTTTCTATTACAGGAACATAGCTCATCTTGCCACAGTGAAGATCATGAAGAGGCATGGTCAATGGGAGAAGCTTCATATACCTAACTGGTAACTCGATGGTTATGTGCTTCAGTTTTACGGATCGTATCTCTTTACCATGACTTCTAACTTTGAAGAAATGTCAAAACTCTATTATTATGAGTTTCCACTGAAACTGAATATTATGTACGACAAACTTCTTAATAAAAAACTATAAAATGTTTGTTTATTGACGCACCCTTCTCTTTTTTTCTGCAAGCAGCATTAGGTCAATTGTATGCCTCAACTTGCCAAGCTTTTCTGGTGGACTAAATCCTTGGGGGACACCAAATAGCAACAAATGCCGTGATGTTAGTTTTATCTGTTCATTAGCTTATCTACTTTAAATTTTATTTTTGATGGAAATCAAGTAAGTTAATCTTATGAACGTTTATTTTGCAGAGAGACTTGACTCCACCATTTGTCGATGATGGACTTATAGAGGTTGTTGGTTTTAGAGATGCTTGGCATGGGCTTGTTTTGCTTGCTCCAAATGGACATGGAACTCGTCTTGCACAGGTGAAAAAATAAAAACTGCAACTGAAATTTTTCCCTGATTTTAAATGACCCTTTCTTTAGGGATATCAGAAATTCATTCACGAGGAGGAAAACCAAGATTGATTACTTATTTATGATTGAAGGAATCAATCAGTGACCTAGGATGGAAATGCATGCTGTGATTTCTAGGTTCATACAAGAAAACAAAATGTCCGTAAAAAAAAAACGGCATTACACAATCGGTAGATTAATCTTCTAAACTATAGGCATTCTTTTGGCGCTAGGCACACAGAATCCGCTTTGAGTTTCACAAAGGTGCTGCTGACCACACATTCATGAGAATTGATGGGGAACCCTGGAAGCAACCACTACCAGTTGATGATGATACTGTAGTGGTAGAAATTTCTCATCTTGGCCGAGTTAACATGCTTGCCACCCACGATTGCAGAGCTAAAAGTGTCAACGACCCTTCCTCACCAACCTGTCATGATACTGACGAAAAAGATAGTGACGAGGAGGGCTCTGTAGTTGCTGACGAGTTCAGGAAATTTGGCGCAGCTGATACATTCAAGATCCCAGATGAAGTTGACATTTCCCATATTAGTTAAACCTTTTAATACATATTTCTTTGTGATTTGCTTTGGGTCGTTTTTTTTTTTTTTCCTCGTGGTTTTGGAATTTCATTCATATCATTGTTCATCAATGTTGGAATTGAAATTACTTGTAAATTATCATTTACCAACTAATGCTTTATTCTCCGTTTATGTTTCTGGTAAAACTTTGAGCAATTTTATTTTAGCCATCAAATACAAATAGCTAAGCTGACTTTCCCAGAGTGAAATAGGTTCTTGCAGTCTGAACTTTGTCAAGTTTTCATTTTAGTCCAAAAAGTTTTGAAACCTCTTTAATCTGCCCTAAATTTCATTTTTGGGATGGCACAGGTATTTATTATTGTCCTTTCTTGCAACTTGTTTTTTCTTCTGCAAACCATCATCGTAGGAAAAGCTGCAGTGACAAGAACGCCTAGGCAAATTTTGAGTTATTGGCAAGGCACTTTGTGCTGGAGAAGATAGAACATATTTCAGTGAAATTTATGTTTTCATTGATCATAGGCTCTTGCTGAACTTATCAGTTTGCACTTTTCTTGTTTGTCCTCAACCCCTAAGCAATGCAATTTGTGGACCGAGAAAAGTTGGTGCCACCATGGCTAGAAAGGTTTGTTGGTACTAATGCATCATTAGATTTGTAGTGTCCAACATGCTGCCTGCTGCCTCCAATGGGTTTATAGAGTGGCTCAAGTTCACAAAACATCAGATACACCATTAATTGATTCTGCACAAGACAGCAGATTTTTCACACAGATCTTCCTTGAATCTACGTACTTGTTACAATAAAGCTTCCACCCATCATTTCTTTTTTTCTTTCTAATTTTCTTGCAATAATGAACCTTGAGCACTTATTTTGGGCCGGCTGTGTTGGTGATTTCTTCTCTCTCTTTTTTTTCCCCGTAATAAGATCTAATTTTATTAGAGTTGAGCTTTCAAAAATTTAAACTCAAACATGCATGAGCCATTGTGACCTCATCCTTCTTTGCTCATGCAAGAGTACCAATGCGTTACAAGTTCATAGTCAAATGACACATGGTACTATCACTTAAGTGATTTATGAAATCATTGCATGATATCCTATTTGTATTGGTAAATTTTCCAGTATAATCAAGTACATATTCGTTCATATTTCCAAACATACATACATCATGAACGATGAAGAATCACAGAAGCAACCGCTAACAATTGATGAAGACATCAGAATTGACACGAAGGACAAAGATAGCAATGAGGAAGTCTCTGTACATTAGGAGTCGAGTGAAGAAAGTTTGGTGTAGCTGATACTTTCAATCAAGATCCCAAGAAACAGTTAAAATTGGGTTATGTGCCATAACCTGATTTCTATACACTTTCTCCCTAAGACAGTTTTGTCCCATCCAGACTAATTAAGATCTACTCACCAATCATATCCTAAATATCCCTTGTTTTTATTTGCTCAATTATGTTTTGGTTTCTGTATTATGCACTAATCCCAAGAGGAATAAATTAATATCTCATACCGTCTTTGATAAAATTTAAGTCTTGGAAATAATAAGCCACATGTGTTTACATGAAAATTTTGTATGATTTGTTTGTATAACATCAGGAATAAATTAACATCTCAAAGGACGAAATAATGATGGGCACAAAGATATATTTGCAACCGAGTATGTAACAATAGGATACATTTGCAGTACAAATTTTTTTTTTTTTTTTTAAATAGTTTGGGAATAAAAGTAATAAATATATAAGCATGTGAAACAAAGAGGGAATGCATCCTGATCACCATATCCAAAACATTAGACTTAAAAATGCAAATCCGCAATCTGACATATGGTTTGCTGAAACAGTAAATCTTTTAAGTGTACCTTAAAAGAGAGAGGAGTGACAATGTTGAAGCTTCATATAATTAGATCTGTGTGGTGCAAGCTGCTATGCTGATTAAACTACTGTCCTACAAATTGGGGCTCTCCCAAACATTTTGTTACAGTCTCGTTAGCCTTCTGAGGTTCTGCACGTTCTTCTTGTTTCTTCTTTTCCCTGAAAGCCAAAAGCGCTTTAGAAAAAAGAACCGCAAACATGATGGAAGAAACAAAAGAAGTAGGATGCCAGAAAATATCAATGAGGAAAATAAGTTGACATTCAAGTATAACCAGTGTTAAGACTCTGTGAACTGGAATCAATTGTAAACGTTATAAGCATTTAAAGAACAAATTACATGGCTCAACACAGATAACAGAGCAAGTTCACAATTAGATTTTGCATATATAACCATGTACTTTGATTAAACATTAACTGTTTAAGTTTGATTAATACAAATTTTCTTCCACTAGGCTGATGCTTACAATTTCCGACTCACAAGAAGTTCAGTACATGTTATTTTCAGATACTCCCATTTTAAGAGGTTGCATACTTGCAGCTAACAGATGCAGTGCCAACGGATGCACAGTTTTTTTTTGTTTCTGTATTATGAAATACTCACCATTGGAATAAATTAATATCCCATACCATCTATTTGAAGTAAAAGAAACCAAATGTATAAAGGAGATAGATCTTTACCTGTCTATATACTCCTTCAGCAACTCCTTTGCTTGAACCAATTTGGACAGAAGGCCCCGATATACATCAAGGTCCCGATCCACACTTCTTTTATTGATGTTTAGTGCTGAACAAAGCTGTTGCATGGAAATTGAAATGTCAAACTTTCGAGCAAAAATCTTTATTTCATAACATAGTTCATTAGATGTTGATGTTAGCCAAATTAGAAATCCTATACACTTGAAATTTAAATTTGGAAACTCAAGTCCAAGATCGCTTCGAAAGACATCGTAAATACATCATATCTTGTTTGAGGAACTGAATCTCCAATTAAGAACAAGGCAACCAATAGATGAATTTTGGATATAATTTTCCATCTATCAAGAGAATTAGAATACAGTTGAAGATCAACCTCTTGTGAAGAAATAGGTCTTCTTCCTTTTTCATAAGATGTCAGCGTTAACGTACCTATGCACTAAGGAAGCATGTCGAGTTCTTGAGCTCATGGAAGGAAAAATTAACCTTAGGTTGGCAATGAGCTAGTTACTTAAGATATATTCACCATTAACTTTCAGTTGCTGAAGCATTTTTGTTGCTATGTTTTCATTTTTTTCAGGCAGAAGCTGAACAGATTTGAAGTGATACAGTGTCCCAAACAACATAATATCTCCACAATCTGAAGAAAAATTTCATATAATCTATATTCTCCAAACTTCTTGCTACAACTAGATCCTGTTCAGGAAAATCCTGGGTCTCAGATTTGAGGGTAAAATGGGCTAAGATATTAGGAACTAAAAAATTTCAAGATTTGATGAACTAAAAATAATATCCAAAACAAAGAAAATCACTAGAAACCTAAGATTTAAAAACTTTTAATTAAAAACAGTAAAGCACTCGATACATTACATAGATTTCAATAAAGAAGAAATGCAACATCTGACCTTTTCTAGCACTGTTGGTTCACTTGCATTTGACAGCTCAAGAAGACGAAATAACCCAACAGCAAAGAAACGGCTGTAGCTGAAATTCTCATTCGCAGCTCTTTCTGCAATGTCCTTTAATATCCCCTCAATTTCTCCTTCCCTGGATGAAAACTCAACTAATGAACTAGAAGTCTGAGCCCGAGCCCATTCTTCCAGCCTTTTTGCATCATTTCTGTAGACCATAACATACAGAGCAAATGGTGATTTACGTCAAATAGAAAAGGTATTTTTAGACTCTGTTCAATGAAACTATTAATGCCCATGAAAATAATTGTGCACCTCAAATTTTTCAGAAATATGAAGTAACAATTATATTCTTTCAACTTTCTGTTATCCAGAGTAACGAAGGAAGAAAAGAGAAAAAGTTGACCACGGGTATATGAACATCTTAAAACTAGGCATCTCCAGCTTTTCATAAGATCTGGCTAGGTTTTTCACATGTTTCAGTTTCAACAATTTATCTATCTTTATGTGTTGCCTGTATTTCATTTCATTTTGTTAAAGAAACTCAAATGATCTACATATAAAATTAACAACAGGGATAAGAAAATTTTTCTTGGGAAAAGTATTTGTAAGTTGTGTATAGAATAGTCTTTTTATTTTTGGTTGTAACCATACAACCACCTAAACATTATTCTTGCAAACGCCCAGCCATTATTTTCATTCCATCTACATAAACAGAATTTTTAAGTGTTTTTTGGTATATATATAAAAGAAACACCTATATTCAACAATAATGCTTTCTTATTTCTCTTGCAACACAAGATCAACTATCAAAAGTTATGATCCAGATGAATTATGCTTGATGAAAGAGATACTCTCATAAAGCATTAACAACCATTACTTTCATTAATCCCTCTTCAAAAAACTACATCTAAATAGGGGACTTGAAATAGAGAAAAAGATTTCGTGCAGCAAAACAGATAAAACCTCAAAAGACAAACCTGTACTGCTCCGGATCCTCGTTCAATGCCTTAATATAAGCCTGAAAAATGGCCTCTCGATCCTCATCACTTGGATACCCTTCCATGAGTTGATCATACACAGTAACAAAACCAAGACCAAACACAGGATCATAACGGAAAGTCTTCTTATACTTCGTCAAATGTTGTTGTACTATCAACTCCTGCAGAACATTGTTATAGACACTCGGGATTGGTCTCTTGTAAGCCTTTAAGAAATTGGACTTGGTATCAGCTACCGTTGGCACATCTGAGAAACCAATTAACCAAACAAACCATTACCAACAAATCCACACATTATCGCATACTACATTAGCAAACCTAAAAATTGCAGAATTAAGACCATAAACACGATAACGACAAGGCAAAATAAAATCTTTGACCTCAAATTCCACAGTTCACCAACGTTGCAAAATCCAGAAACTACAATTCAGCATTTAAAAAATATATATATTTCAAGTCTAAGTGTATTAATAGCACTAAGGGAAGCATTAATTATTCAAAAAAAAAATACTAAAAGTTATTTACTTCATCATTAATTTTGTTACTAAATCTATCTCAAAAGTAGTTCTTTTCAACAATTTTCACTGTAATTATTCCAAAAAAAAAAAAATCACACTAATTCCTGGCGAAAATGAAAAAATGAATACAAAAAAAATGTTAAAATCAAACAATTGAATAATAAAAGCTTAAGTTCCTAGTTACACTGACTTTTAAACTTTATTTCTATTTTGTCTCTCTTTCTCAGCAAACAAAAACAAACAGAAAAACAAAGAAATAATTAAAAAACTTTACCAGTAGAAGTGGACATGCAATGAATAACCATACGAGAAGTCGAATTGGAAGCTTTAACGCCGACATATTGACAAGAAAAACTCGACCGATATCGAATACCTTCAAAACCTAAATTACGCGTCACGGAAAAAGATGCGAAAGTTTTTCGTTCACTAGAAGATTGACTTACAGCAGAGAACGATACTGAAGTAGTAACAGCAGTCATTGTTTATTTACGTATACAGAAGAGTGCGTTTGGTTAGAGAGAAAATGAGAGAGTGATTTTCCGGGAAATTTTCGAACATATATATATTTTTTTAAGTCATAGGGAAAGAAGAGAGAAAATTGATATGCATTTTCTTCTTTCCTGGAAAAGATTGAGAGAAAAGGAGAGAAAGTGAGAGGTTAGAAATTGAAAGAAAGTATTATCCAGTTTTTTTCTTCTTATTTTCGTCAGCAACAAATAGGATTTTTTTTTTAGAGGAACCAGCAAATTTTCGACACGTATGGTGTTATTTGTGAATTGGGATTTTTGTAGTTTTTCCTCTCTGTTAATAATTTTGTGGTTGTGGTTTCATGGGAGACTAGGAAAAACAAAAATTTAGAAATTCCTTTTTTCTTTTTCTAAAAACAAAAAACCCTATGAAAATTGACCTCATTACCCTTCATGATTTTTTTTTTAACTTGTCATATCAAATGTTAAGCATCCAATATTTTTATATTTATTAAATTTTATCAATTCCATTCCCAAAAAAATTAGTCTTATCTTCAATATATATATAAAGTATGTGTAAAATTTAGTACATATAGCATAAAAAATTAAAACCGAAAACCTCAAATTTATGAATTTTTTTAAAAAAATATGACAACAAATAAATTATTGGTTTAGTGATAAGTGAATTGATCTCTAAACGAGTTTTTTTTTAATATATAGAGTTCAAATTTTAAAATTGTATTTATTAGAAGATGTTAGATTCTATCATTTTCGTTTTGAACATAATTAGTCGGACTTTTAACGTAAGATGAGAATACATGAATAAAAAAAATTATAAGAAAAAAATATGTGTAAAATTTGGTACATGTACAATAAAAAATATAAAAATTTATACATATAAAATATATGTTAGGTAAATAGGCTGAAAGGGTTGGAGATTATTCTATCTGCATTTTCCTCTGCCTCTACCGCCTCCATCCAAGTATTGAGAAAACCTTCCTCTATGTCGGAACAAATCTACAATAGACTTTAATTGGACCGACTCATTTTCCTTATTTTGCACGACCCAATCAAAATCTAACAAAACGTAGGCCCAAGACCGGTCCTGAACAGCTATGGCCGTTACCCATTGATACACGAACTTTGGGCTTCCTTTTCTGTAATAAGTGTTTTATTACATTTGGGCTTCTCCCCCTTGTCTGCTTGCGCTATTTCTGTTATATGGGCTTCATCATTATCTGCGAGGGTATTTTTTCGCGTAAAATTGAAATTCACGAATGGTTAAAATGATATCAATGTTTACTATTATAAGATTGAAAAATCAATACATTAGGATTTATCTAATAAATGACATAATTTTGTTCTTAGCAGAAGAAAAGAATAATTATATTATAAGCATACTAACTTTATATATATATATTCAAAAACAATTAATCAAGTGCTTTTAGTTAAATTTTTTTCGTAGTTCTCTGATGATGATGTATTTTTTTTTCAAACTATTAAATTTAAATTATGATTTTTTCCTTCCATTCTTAGAGGAAAATTTTCCTTTTAAATTATTTTTCTATCCACTAAAAGTTAAAATTTTAAATTATCCTTATATCCAAAACATAGAAAATGACAAATAATTTTAAAGGAAAATTTTTAATGAAAGGAAAAAATTATAATTTAGTAAATATGGAGTAAATGACACATCATCAGAAATGTAACAATTGACAGAAATTAGATGAAAATATATGATTGGTAATTTTGAAAATCTTGATATACTTGAAAAAGGAATTAGAACTTATATATTCAATAAAAAAAAATGTTAAAAATTAGTGTATCTGTCTCTAGAAAGAAAACGATAATTATATTATAAGTACATCAACTTCTAATATTTTCTCAATTGGTTTAAATATATTATTTTTTTCAAAAACTGCTAATCAAGTATTTTTAGTTCAATTTTTGTTCATAGTTCCGTTATCTGATGATGCATTTTTTTTTCCAAAATATTAAATTTAAATTATGATTTTTTCCTTCCATTTTTAGAGGAAACTTTTCCTTTAAAATTATTTTGCTATCCACTAAAAGCTAAGATTTTAAATTGTCCTTATATCCAAAAGATAAAACATGTCTAATAATTTTAAAGAAAAAGTTTCAATGAAAGGACAAAATTATAATTTAGTAAATATGAAGTAAATGACACATCATCAGAAACGTAACAATTGATAAAAATTGAATGAAAATACATGATTAATAGTTTTGAAAAAATTAATATACTTGAATAAAAAAATTAAAAATTATATATTCAATTAAAAGAGTTAAAAATTAGTGTACTTATGTTTAAAAATAAAACGAATAAAAAGTGTTATTAGCCCTCCATTTGTAGATAATAGAACTAAACTTTGGAAGAGACGGATAGAAGGTCCAAATCAAACAGAATGCAATGGAATTCTTGAAAGTGGGTGTTGGTGCGATAGAGAGAGCCTTTAGGTCCTTTCACTGTACGTGCAGATAATGCTAATTAAAACTGAGAGGTACATAGAAACATGTCTTAGTCCAAGAACAAATGCGTATTGCTTAAGTAACAACTTACACGAAAGGCAATTTTCAGTAGTGTCTTCTAGTGTACTATTGCTTGCTGCTGTTTTGATGTATACATTTTGTATTTAGATATCCAGACAAAGGCAAAATAGTTTCACCAAATAATTGAAATGAGAAATGATTTTGATGGAAGAATGACAATTAAGCCCAAAGAATAAAAATTTTCAGATTAGATGATATTTTCGAATAAATTTGTAAATACAAAGGTTTTTATTTTATTTTATTTTTCTGGCGCTCTATCTTTGTGTTTTGTAAAGCAAATCATTCTAGCATGTTTAAAGGATTCACAAAAAATAATCTGTTTGTAATCTTATTCCATAAATGGTAGGACTTGAATTTTTGGGTAAATAGGTAAAATTAATATGTTTTTTTTGAGAAATTTTATATACACAAAGAGTAACTAGTGATATCTATAGTAGTTACTCTTTGGATTCACTTTGAGGAGAGAGATAGACACACAAAAAGAGAGAGAAAAAATAGGAAAGAGAAAATAAAAAAATTTGAGCGGACGTAGAAATCTTCTTATCGCTTTTAGTGGGTATGTATGTAATTTCTCTCTTTTTTATGTGTTTGTCTCTCTCCTCAAAGTGAATACTAGGAGTAACTACCGTACATATCACTAATTATTCATCGTGTATTGTAAAATTTTTCGTTTTTTATATAATAACATAAGTTTTTAATATATTTTTGCATTCATCATGTATCTAAATATTATTTTAGTTTTCGAACTATCTATTCAATATATATATGTATAAACTCACATGGTCGGCATGTTCTATTTTTAAATTTTTTAGAATATATATATTACATTTCAATTAAAGAAATTTCGATAAAAAAATTTATTTGTAGTCAAAAAAATTGATTAACCGGACAGATTAAAAACTTATAAATTATTCATAGATATAATAGATGTAATTAAAAATATAGAAAGAGATTAGGAACTCAAACTATGATATAAAGATAAATTGAACTATTTATTCTAAAAAAAAATCATGATTACTTAGATAAGTTTTATCTCAAGGTCAAACTAACCAATCCTAAATTCAATTGATCATGAGCTTGGACCCATGAGAGGGCCCAGTGTCACCTTAACCAACAAAACACATCGGAAATAAAGAAATAAAATTTAGAAAACATGAAGTGAGGAAGCAAGTTGCAAGTCGCAGCCATGGTTTCTTCATGATTATTTATGTGTCGATCTTATCCAAGTCTCTTTCAACGTGTCCATGCTATCCCTTGTTTCACGTGGTTGTATGCCTTCAGCTCCAATGACAATGGAAGTAACGTGCCTTTTTATCTTTTCATATTCAGCAACAATCTTGACGTACAGTTTTCCAAGCATAAAGCTAGCTAGAGAGAAAAGAACTGTTTAGTAGTGATCTACAGTTCAGGAGACAAAAGGACACATCTTTGGTTAAAAGAAGCTGGGAATAGTAAGGAAAGATTTTAAGATGGATAAAGCAACAAATTTTATGTCGAGTCATGGATGTCTATAACTCTACAGAACCTAGCTAGCAACAAATTAAGGAAGTTGCATTTCTGGTGGCAAATTCTACAATATTTCTGTGATAGAATCTTTCACTATAATATGTAATGGTGGAGACTGTGACACATCAAGGTAAAATTACACTGCATAGCAAAATAGGACGATTCTTGCCAACGATTACTTCTGTTTATCTGATAAAGAATTTCATTTCATGGTTTTAAATTGCAGACGCAATTGTAAAAAGATCCTAATACGATCGTAGCAATCGATATCTTGAATAAGTTAGAACTTAGAATTATACGTTGATCTTTGTTCAATTAGAAGGGAAGGTTGTAGCATTAGAAGCTGTATTTTTTGATCTTGAGACTCTTGGGGAAGGGTGACCAATTGGATTAATCATTAGCGTGGTCATTTTCAGTGTTCTACCACATCCCATGGGATTACAGTCCACAGTGCCTTGCCAATGGATTCAGGGCAGACTGCCACAAAACAGATTCCAATAAGAATAGATTAAAATCTACAAAATATTAAATTGGAAGGAGATGGATTTTGCCAAGTGGAGTCACAAGATCTTTCAGTGAATTAAAATTTGAATCATGGGCAGTGTCTAGCTGCTTTCTACATTAACTTTTTCAAAGCAGGAATCACCAGAAGAGGGGAAAAAAAAATGTTACAAAATCACCTTTCTCTCTCTCTATATATTGAACTATAGTCTCCAAGTTCCCTACTGAAGTCGATAACTCTAGATAAGCTTCTCTCCACTCTTCTCTAACATTCTTGAAACAAAACCCTACTTTCTACTCACACAGAAAGGAAGGCATTTAGTTTCTCTTAGAGCAAGGTATGAGCTTGAGGTCCAGCAGCAAGGAATTGTTTCAGCCAGGCTCGCAAAGGATGCAAAGTGTTAAAGACAAAGCTCCTAAAAATGAGTCAAGTGTCAAGTCCCTCAAGGAAGCTGCTTCATCTAAGCAGATGATAAGCTTTTCAGGTAATTTTAGCTCCAATGATTGCAGTAGATCTGCTAAAAATAGTGAAGATAAGAAGGTTAAGCAGGCAGAGGAGTCACTGCGGACTGTGATGTACTTGAGCTGCTGGGGTCCTAACTCCTAACTGATGGGCAATCCGAATTGCGAAAGCTGGCTGTGTTGTTACTTAGATGCTTATGTATACACAGCCTGTAATGTACATGTAATATTTCTGAAATCTATGACTATCTTTTTTCTCTTCTCTGTTCATTGAAAAGATCATAATCTATTGAACTAATTAAAGAAGAAATCATCGTCATGGAAATTATTAAGAGAAGAAATGGCCATAGAACTAGGAGAGAATTTGCTTGAGTAGTACAGCATGATCCATTCAAAACATCAATCACAATCAACAATTTAAAGATATATAACATTCCACAAGTAGAGACTTATTTTAACAATTGTGTACCCAGGTGGGTTTCATATCTTAGGAAACAAATCAAGTAAAATAATAGATTAGAAAGTAAAAAACAATAGCAAAATACAGAGATTTACATGATTCGACGATTATACCTATTTCAGAGCCGCATTAGAATTTTTTTATTAAGTTTTATCGACTATAAATACAAATGATGTTACTTCTATTTATAACGTGGATAGTTAATGTTATAAGAAAAAAAATCCAACAAACTCATACACCTGATTCAATATTTTATGGATCTTTTAAAAGCTCTACTCCCAAGCTCCTGCATGAGGGGCTGCTCCTTGACCTCCACTTGCTAATTGGCTGGCAAAATCGTCATGTGTATAGCGCTTTATACATTACAAGTCTATATCAACATCAATCTCCATAAGTTAATATCATAGTTAAGAAAGATTTGAGTTTTTGTGCCTCCTAGGTATAGGTATAATTTGAGTTTTTTTACGAGTCTATAGGGCTTAATATATATATATATATATATTGTAAAGACAGGCATGTGTAGAAGGGTTGCAAATTGACATAGAAGAAGCACTATACTTTGAAAATAGACAACATTTATGAATACATTAATGATTAATCTTGTGTTTTGCAATATATTATAAGGCTCAATATACAGATAGCAAGGCCCATTAGGTGATAGTCTTCCTTGAATTCAGGCAGTCAACAAAGTGAGGGCAAGATTCATTTTTTTTAGACTCTATGAGACAACGTCAAGTGGCTTAAAATTATCAATGAACCTGTGTCTTAGCTAGAGTAAATTATAACAAAACTATTACACAAGATGCTGATTATTCTAACGAGGACCACAGCAAATGAGATGCATGGCAATCTCAGCCTTCTCAGCTTCCCTCTCCCTTCCCTTCTTACCAACACTAGCCTTCTTCATGGGTTCAGTGGCACCAGAAACCCATCTAACCTCAGTGGAACTTTCGGATTCTGGTCTTGGTCTTGCCCGAGGACACATCGTCATCCCTTTAGAATTCCTGTCTTTTAGAACTTGATGGGCTCTAAAATAGTTCCTGCTCGTGCACCTTAGACACATGCTTGTTGGCCTAAACGTCAGGCATAAGCGTCTAACTCCTGTGATTGATGACCTTAACGTTTGGCCTGATGGAAAACTCATTTGGTTCTGCAAATAGACGAAAAATGGTGTCTTTTCAATAGAGAAAATTTCTTGTAGACCAAGCAAAATTACGATTAATAAATGTTTCAGATTAGTAAAATTGCAATTAACGAGCTCTTTACTGCGCTTTCTTACAGAGACCACAGACAAGATGCATAAATATGGAAAGCTTGGGAACCTTGGGATACCATTTGATTCTTTTTTTTTTTACACACAAACACACACACACACACACACACACACACACACACATATATATATATATATATATATATTACCTTTTAAATTAATTGTCCATCGTGTCCACAACATGTTGGTCTATACTCCAAGGTGTTGTTTGGTAATAAAAAATAAAATGATGAATATGAGAATAAAAGTTTTATTTTCATTTTATAGGAGCTTATTAAAGAAAATAAAAATAAAATGAGAATGAAAATAAAGAGTGAGAAAGAAAATAAACATTAAACATATTTTCATTCTCATAGAAAGATACGAGAATAAAAATAAAAAATAAAAAAGAGATTTTTTATTTCTTTCAAAATAGAGATATATTATTTTTATTTATTATAAATTAACTATTTCTACCTCCATAGTAATTTTTAAAAAATTATTATTATTATTCCACTATCATTTTTTTTATTATCATCATTATTTTTATTATACTGGTATCACCATATCCCTCTTTTTCCCTTATCATATTTTATGACGACGATATCAATATTTTTAAAATATATATTTACTATCACATCACCTTTTTTTCTTTCTTTATCACCACTACTATTATCACCACTTCAATCATTTATATCATTTTTATTATTACATATCATAATTAATGAAATTAATTTTTTAATAATTATTCTTATTCGTCTTAAAAATAAGACAATAAAAATTTTAAATTTTATTCTAATTATTTACTACTATTTCAAATATAATATTAAAATAAAAATACTATTTTAATTCTCTAATTTATATTTCAATTCCTACATTTTCATTTTTAAATCTTTCATTCCTAACATATGATTAAACATCATCTAAAATCTGAACTTTAAACCACAAATGCATGACCAGAGTGTGCCACCGTCATTGCCATTTGCCTCATCTAGCCGAATACCAGGGCAAGTTCCGCTAGAAAACTGCGTGTCCATTATTAGTTACTTTAGTCTCTAGTGGCTGCATTATTTTGTCACATTAATTTCACCATCAAAATGTGACCAAAACCCATATTTATCCTTGCATAATTCATTTCACAAATGGCTGTACATGGTCAAGAAAGTCATTCTAGCAAAAAAATTAATACCAGCGGCCAAAACCAGTGGCATTTAGCTCTAGCCGATGGTTTCTGGCTAATTTTCTACTACTTACTTTCAGCTCACACCTCTATAAATAAAGCCCACTTGCAATCCATTAGCTTCGTCAAAATCAACATTATTCCTATACAGTATATATCTTGCTACCCACAACAAAGGGGATTTTAAGCTTGAAGGAAAAGAGAAAGATGAGTGCAGCAAGAAAGGGTTGGATTGTGGCAGCTAGCATTGGAGCTGTAGAGGCGTTGAAGGACCAGGGTTTTTGCAGATGGACCTACACCATAAGAGCATTACACCAACATGCCAAGAATAATACGATCAGGTCAATACCTCTGGCCAAGAAGCTTTCTTCTTCATCTTCTGCTATGGTTTCAGGTAAATTGAGGGAATCAAGCCAATCCGAGGAGTCTTTGAGGAAAGTCATGTACTTAAATTGTTGGGGTTCCAATTGATAAATGAATTAAGAAGTTTGGCATGAGGAGAAGCTGGAGACTTACTACGCAGGCTGAAGCTGGTCAATTGAAAAGAACAAAACTCGAGGCAAGCTTAAACAAAAAGAATTGAAACCGGTGATTATGAATAGTGAGAGAAAAAGTGAGTGATTGATGTGAACTGTAAACTGTAATTATACATAAATGTGAAAAAATGAAAGTTTTTCGTCTAAATTATCCAAATTGAAAGAACCATTTACTTCTCATAAAGCCATTCACCTATTCCTATTGCTATTTTTTTTAATATCTGTTGTCTGAAAATAATACTGTATTATCATATTCATTTAATTATTATCATTTGTTATTTTTTTAATATATGTTATAAGAAAATAGCGTTGTATTTATAAGTATTAATAAAATGCTATTTTGCATTAGAAAAAAAAAACATGTGCTCATTAAGGGAAGGAAGAAAACTTTTGATTTGTATTAAATAAATAAAAAAACATTAGCCACCCCCGAACCCCATTTTGTCCCCACATTCTTGATGTCACTAAACGATCTTTCAAGGACATTACAGTCTTCTTCTCCATAGAAATTTACCATTGGCGTTTGCTGGTTTCGAGCTCAAAACCACCAGCAAGAAGCCTTTAGCCTCAGGTTTTCCCTATACTTTTGGCACTCTCACCTACATATAAGCAGACCCCATCTCCCCATTTTCATCATCAAACCATAGCTTCTGATATCTTACTCTCTACAAATCCAACTTCAATGGGTGTCCAGGTAATTGTTCTAATACAAAGTGCATAACACAAATAGAGAGAAATGAGTTCGACAAGCAAAGCTTGGATGGTAGCAGCCGCTATTGGAGGTGTTGAGGCCTTGAAAGACCAAGGCTTCTGTAGGTGGAACTACACACTGAGATCACTACACCAACATGGTAAGAACCATGCCAGATCAATCTCTCATGCAAAGAACCTGTCTTCTTCATCTTTTGCCATGATTTCAAATAAAGTAAAGGAAGAGAAGGCGAAACAGTCCGAGGAGTCTCTAAGAAAGGTCATGTATTTGAGCTGTTGGGGTCCAAACTGAAGTTATGAAGCAACGAGAAGAATTTAGGAAACTAGTTGATACGAGTAAATCTTTGCAAGTTGATGCAAATACTAAATTTTGGTGCGTGCTCGGTGCTGAAATCTTACTTATGAGGTCAATATCTCAATCCAAGAAGCTTAATTCTTCATCTCCTGCTGTGGTTTTCAAGTAAATTGAGGGAATCAAGCCAATCAAAGAAGTCTTGGAGGAAAGTTCTGTACTTAAGTCGTTGGGGTTCCCTCAAATGAATTTGAAGATCCCAAAAAAAAAAAAAAAAAATGGTTTGGCAAAAGAAACTAAAGACTTGCATGTGCAGGAACATGAGGCCAGCAAATGCTGGCCTCAAGCGAAAAAAATTGAAACTTGTGATTATGGTTTGTGAGAGAAAAAATACCCAAATATTGTCATTATCTTCCTATATATCTTTTACTATAAAATTTTTCTTTTTAATTAATCTCCCTTGCAATTTCTAAAATCTAGATTGTTCTTTGATCGTTTTGTTATGAAATGTTGTTGCCACCAAATTTTCATTTCGTCGATCTATCTGTGACAAGTTAACATGAAATAACGTAGTAAATTGTAAATTGGGTAGAGTGGAGAAAAAACGGAGTAAATTATAAATTGGTCTCTAATTTGTCTTTCAGTTTTAAAAAGTAATTATTTAATTTTTAATTTTTTTATAACTCTTTTTAATTTATTTTCATTTTTGTTATTAAAAAGTAGAAGAAGAAAAGGTTAAAGTAAAATATATGGAAGGATGGAGGAGAAAAAATGATATTTTTTTTTATGAATTAGGTAAAGTTAAATTAAGCATGGTTAATATTAATTAAGAGATTAATAATTATTTTTTGAAAAAATCATTTTTTTAAAAGAATTAATTTATAATTTACTCGGTAAAAACCTATTTAATGTAAAATAAAAAATGGTCCCTGTTATTTTAGATTTATTTCATTTTGGGCACTTATGTTTGTAAAATTTTCAATAAGAATCTTAATTTTTTTGAAAATTCATTGCGATCTTGACAATTAAATTAAATGGAATTCATATTTTTTTTTAATTAAAAAACCAAAAATTGTGTTAGTAATTGTCATTTTTTTAATTTATTTTCGTAAGCTGATAACTCCATTGCTCTAAACAAGATTACATAGCACTCCAAACGCAGCGCGGCCGAATATTCTACAAATAGAATTTAAAACCATTATCACAGTGTCAAGCCAGAACAATCAAAGGTGCCATGTTGACAAGATAATCATGATCTAATAATAAAGAGTTTTTCACAAAAAATAATAAATAAATAAAATAATAGCAATAATAACAAAGCATAAAATTCCCCTACAAAGTCCTACTGGTAAGAAAGAAATTATTAGTGGGTTAAAAAAAAGATACAAGGGCCAATTTTTTTTCTGAATTTTAATTTATTTAAAAATTAGTAAAAATTTGACCTCTTTTCAATATATTTTTTTAAGATTTAGAATATTTTATAATTATCAGCTATCACTCTCCTCTTTAAAAAATTTAATTCTTGATATTTTGAGCTGACATTTTACACATAAGTTAAGAAAAATTCAACTCTTTTTTAAAGAAATTCCAACACTTTTTAAAGTCAGGAAGTATATTTTTATTTTATTTTTTAAATATTAAAAATATAAAAAATAATCCAGAAAGATCTTAATTTTTTTTTTTAGTGCGACAAATAAATTTTATTAAAAGATTTCTATCTGGAGATATTTATGTGATCATTATTTTTATAAAAAAACTAAAGGATGGATTAAATTTCAAAAAAAATATATATCAAACCAGATAGAAGTTCAAAAAATCATTTTTAAATAGATTAAAATTCAGAAGATGTTTGATCCATTTAATCCTTCAAAAAATCTATTATTATGATCCATTGCAAACCCTAAAATACATTATCCTTTCCATTTTTCAAATAGATGATAGACAAAATATATAAAATTTTGAACCTAGGCCAAATTAATAAGAGAATTTAGATATAGATTGGATTAAGATTAAGGGCCGTTGGTCTGAGAAGATCTCAGATTCTCCTAATCAACACATCTTAATTAATTGTCAAAGATATTTATGTTTGTTTTCCTATAAAATTTTGAATGCTAAGGAACTTAAAACTTTTTAGACATCACATTCTCTCAAAACTGGAGTGTGATTCTCTTTCTAAAATGAAGGAAATCTAACATTCTTTAGTACTCCACGTGTACTAAAAAAAATTCTAAATATATATGTTTCAAAATGTTTTTTTAGTCTAAATTTTTAGTACTGTATTTTTTTTTTTTTGAATACCCTTATTTTATAATGCATAATTAAATTGGATAGATTTTCTCTTTTTTAAAAAGATATTTTAAAAAAATGTACTTCAAAAATATTAATTTGACAATATAATTAATAAGTTTTTTAAACGGCGTGAAATCTTAAAAAAAAAAAAAAAAAGAATTATTTTGAGAGAAAAAGAGTACGTTAGTTTGTTTTGACTTAATTGCCTGTTTATTTTATATGTACTAACATATCCTTGTTTTTAACAATAATTATACAACTGTTTTAGGCTTATAACTTATGTGAACAATATTTTAATGACTTCATTAAATTATCAAAATTATGAATATGATATTTCGTATTTTACTTGGTAGTTTTAATTTTTTATAAAATTAAATTTATTATTGGATCTTATAGACTTTAAGCCATAAGGGTATAATAATAAATTTCTTTGAAATCCTCATAATTACTTGCATAAACCAAAAACAAAATACATATTACTAAAACTTTTTATTATCAATACAAAATCACGATTTCAACAATCTCATCTTCAGAAATCACATTTCTAACAATCCTTTTTTAAAAAATATCTAAGAATCTGCAGACCACTCACCTCCTGAAAAAAAGTTTCCTTTGAAACTAGAAAGTATTCACTCTCCACTACTTATGTTTTCTCATTTTCCTCCAAAAAAATCAGCAACTATCTGTAAGCTAGGTCTCAAAACCTCCTTATCCCATACATCCTTAGCTGCTTTTCCACTTTTCTCATGCACACGAGTAGCATCAATACGATGCAATTCCCATCCTTTCTCATTTCTTAACCGTTTGATTTTCTTTAGTTGGGTATTGATAAGTTTGTTGGTGTTTTTCTTAATCTCGTAAATAGCAGTGTCAAGTAACATTTTCTTGGTGATCTCATCAGCCATTTTCATTTCAGCTTGAATATATGGCTCCAACTCTGGAACCCCAATAGCCCGCCAAATCCCCCAACTATAATCGATCCCTCGAGCAAAGATATCTCGAACTTCGTCAACAATACCAGCCTCGACCATCTCATCAACTCTTCTCGACATGCGTTCGAGTAAAATTGGCAAAGCAACATCTACCCATAGAAAGCAAGGATCATAGTTAGCTTTGAAGTCGAACAATGGATCTTCGTCGACGAGGGCTTCCATGTACCTGTTCGATCCGCCAACAATAATCGGGTTGTTTCCCTTCTCAATAACTTGATTCATGGCCGTGTGTACATGGTTGCAAAAGTCTTGTGTGGTAAACTCTCTATCCGGTTCTACAAACCCTAGCAAATGATGCGGCACACCTCGGCGCTCATCTTCTGGACATTTGTTGGTTAGTATGTCAAGGCCCTTATAGACTTGAATTTTGTCGGAGTTGATGATTTCACCTTGAAAATGAGTGGCCAGATCAACGGCGAGCTTTGATTTTCCGGCAGCAGTTGTTCCTAGGACGAACACAACCTTTGTCTTCTTATTGTCATCTTTTGTAACTAGTGGAGTAATTTTGTCCAAGGTTGTTGCTCTGTTTAAAAAGAAAATAATATGGAACTTCCTTGAGAATAAAATCAAATGAAAATTTAGATGGAGAAAAACATGTAAAATCATTTTAATTTAAAAATCTGGACTACAATGTAAATCTACCAAATATATATTGAATAAAAGATTAAAAAAAAACTCATTTAGTTTTATCATTTTTAAACAAATTTTTGTGTTTTACTAATTATTAATTATATTTTTCATGAATTTTCTATTAAAAAATGATTTATTCTTATTTATCCGATTCTTAACTCAAAACTTATAATAATCTAGAAAGAAAAATGTAAATATTCATGGGTCCTTAACTAAAAATTTATTTTATAAATTTGATCATACAAATTCTCAAAAAATATTCTTAAACTTTCTGTAAAAATTTATTAATTATATATAATCATGTTTTTTTTATTTTTTTATTTTTTGCAAACAGGAGCGGTACCCTAAAATTTAATAAAAGAACGTGGAAAGAAACAAGGAGGAACAAACTAGCCTAACCCAATAGAAGGAAGGACAAGGAAGCCTAAATCCCCGAGATAAAATTATAGGGAAATTACCTGAAGTCTACAGTATAGTTTCTAGGACAAAATATAATCTCTGAAAATTATATAATCATGCTACTATCATTTACAAAATTTTAGAATACATCATATAAATTATATAATTTTTTGTAAATAATCACATGCTAAATTTTATTTAAAAAATTATACATAGAGGACAATAAATCATATTCATCAATAAATAAATTTAAACAAAATAAAAATTTAAAAATAAAATCAAATGGATGACAATCTCTATAAGAAATGACCAATTAAAGAAATAAAATTTAAATAATAAAAATAATATAATCTAAAAAATATGTTTATTTTATAATATGAAAAGCATATTATATATATTTATGTCTTGTTATTATGCGTTTGAACAAAAAAAAAAAAAACCAATAGCACTTGATATTCCAGAATATTTGTTTAAAACCACTTGGAAAAAATAAAAAAATTATACATAAAAAAAAAGCTTGGTTGAGAACCAAGCCCATATGAATGGGCCTAGAGGAGTAGACCCTATTAAAAAAGGTTTAAAAAAAAAAAAAAAAAAGAACACTGTAATTTTTTTGGCAACTGCATTGTAGAAAAAAATCCTATTTTTAGTTTCCAACTTTCAAAAGCCAAATTCAATACTTCTTTTTCAAAAAAACACCTCAAAATCAAAGAAATAACATTCAAAGACTATTTTAGAATTTCAAAATTTATTTTAATACACACAAAATATACAATAATTCAAATCAACCTCAAAAAATATAAAATATTTTTACACCTCAATTTATGACCTCTTCAAAGCATAGCTTGTAACTAATGTTAAAAGATTATATTCTTTAAGAGAAACAAATTGATGGTAATTTTGATAGTCAAAGTAGCCTAAATGGCTCTTAACGTCCCTTTCTCTCTTCTATTCTCTCTATGTTTCTCTCTCTTATAAGCATTTAGTGACCAAATTGCAATACAAATAAAGATTGAAATTGATAAAAATTTTCTAAAAAAAATGAGAAACAAAAGTGTAAAAATGTCAATAAATAATGAAAGCAAATCGTAAAAATAAGTGATAGTGAACAATGCATTTAGGTGTTGAGATACACTTAAATGCACAAGAAAAGAAAGTGAATGAACATTCTCTTTTAGTGTTTTAGTTAATATATAAAATGAGATAATTAAAAATCAGTTCTCAACTTTTAAAATCATGCAAATATCTCCCCGATCTTCTTTTGGTTTAACATATTCATCATTCTATTCATTTTATTACCATAAAATTATAGAAAATAGTTACAATACGTTGGAATAAATAGGGTTATAATATTATGTTTCAAGTATGGGGCAAGGAAAGTAAGGTATAAATTGAAATTTTTCTTGATTTAATTTAATAAAATAAATAACATATATTGGGTCTGTTTTCATTTTCATTTTACTATAATTAAAAATAGTTATTGCTTATGCTGCATTAAAATATTCCGATCAGCTAAATACATGCATGTGTAAGTATAAAATTATCTTTAATAAAATAAATTTGTTAAATAAAATTAAAAAAAGATAAATTAATAGCAAAAGACTTTTTTTTTTTTTCAAGTCATGAATTCTCTTTGCAAACTATACTGTCTATAGGAAAATTAGTTTACAAAGTCACAAAAAAAAATCTAAAAATTTTTATTCTTTGTTTTTTTTTTTTTTCAATATAAAATCCATCAAATAATCTTGTTATTCCTTTAGTTTTAAATTTTAATTTTCATATTCCTTGAATTATCATGATGAAATGACTTTTACGACAAATCTCTCTTCCAACTCTATTAATGTACGCAACTAATATATCTAGAAAAAGAGGGGGAAAAAACAAACAAAAAACAAAAGTATAAGAGTACTTACACAGTCAAGTGACAATGAATTTGGAGATTCTTCTTCGGTTTCATTCTCGTAGGAATAGTTGGTGCCATTGGCATAGTTTTAATGTTTAAGGCAAGCTTTGGGGCCGGTATAGTTACAAATTCCATGATTATGTAAAGAACTGAATAACAACAACAACACAACTAAAATGATTTATAAAATTACAAGTGTATGGATGAGATGAGTAGTGAATTCAAGGAGAATATATAGGTGATTTTATTGCATGATAAATTAGTAACAAAGATTTCTTATAGATTTACTTATCTTATTTATTTCAATTGTTGAATTCAAAATTAATTATTAGATTTGTTACCATTGTATGTTTAAATTTATTTGTTGTTCTTTACTTTTTCTGCTGCTCCTTTTCTTTTCTTTTTTTGGATAAACTGAGCAAAATAGAATAAAAAGCTCCAGAAGGCAATAAAATCCATCAAGGACATAAAGATAATGCACGTTCATCTTCTGTGATAAAAATAAAAAAAATAAAAAATAAATAAAAAAGAAATGACAAGCACAAAAAAGGAAACACCTACAGACATACGTCAAATGGAGTGCTCATGAATGAATCGATGTATTCATGTACCGTAGGATAGATGAACTTGCCTGTGCATGCTGATTTTGATTTTGATTTTGTCTACTTATTTTTTATTATTTTCTCAAAATATATTTTTTTTCAATAGTTAATATTTTTTTAAAAAAATATTAACTAAAATTAAACACACTCCTAATATAAATTGATTTAGCACTCTCTTCTAATTTAATTTTTTTAAAATAAACAATTAATTATGTGTTTTTTTTAATTGGTCAAAATCAAACATATTCAAAGGATATATTTAAATTCAAACATGAAATGTAAACATTAATTAATTAGTTAATGAAATTAGAAGGACTAATTTATAATTTACTCAAATTGTATGGCCTTCAAATGAAATGATATGGGGCGATTTAGGCCATCCTTTGTATTTACTCTGCCACCTAAGGACAAGAAAAAGGGTATCCCAACTGTTATTCAATTCTCAATTGGATCCTAGACGAAAATAAAATTCCAATTGAGTCCTCCGTATGCTGGACATAGTCCTCAAATTTTTGTCTCTAGAGTCGAAAAAATTGAGAAATCACCTTTAAGTTCCTAAAATTTGATAACTTATTTGTCTTAAACGATACAGTGTTTTTAATAATATTTTAATCGCTGTTAAATTGCATAATTTTGATGCACAGGGGATCATAAGAAATTATTTTTTGTTTGAGTACCTATTTCCGAGGGACAAATATTTGTTTTTCCAAATCTTTTATAAATCTACCAGCCCGTGATTCTTATTCCCGAGGGACAAATAATTAATGATAAGTACAATTCTTATGAATCTTCCGGTGTGGATGCTTAAATTTTTTTCTGAAATATTCCTGAATTAAAGAAGATTTATTTTCAGCCTCTCATTATTAGTAAGCTGATAAGTATTCGAAAATATGCAAAACAAATAAAAATAAAAATAATTTTATCCAGCTTGTTTCTCTATTTTTTTTATTTTTTATATTTTATTGTTGTAAAAAGTTTGTCCACAACTACCATGAAATGTGTAGTTTTCTCATTATATCTTTTATTAAAACTTTGTTTTATAGTTTTTTTTTTATTCTGTGACAAAAAATTCCTTTGAAACTAGAAAGTATTTTATAGTTAATATTAGTCACTTGTCTAAGCTACACTGCAGGTTGGATAGAAAAAAAAATCATTTTAAATTTTTAAATTTTTTTAATTATAATTATTTATCCACTTATTTTTTTAATATTTTTTTAATAAATTTTCTGCTTAAAATAAAACATAAATCATTTTTCTTCATGGATTGATTTTAAAATAAAAAAATATATAATAATTTTAACTAAAATATTAATCAAGAATTAAAAATACTTTAAAATATAAATTTGTTAATATTCTATTTCAAAAAATAAAGTTATAATTAATGGATAGATTTTTACAAAAATTAACAAATGAGAAAAAAAATTCTTATTTAATTTTGATGACAAGATTAATTTTTAAAATTATATGCGTGAGGTTACGAGTAGATAGAACAAAATCATTTAAAAATTTTATAATTTTTTCACTAATTTTTTATTTAATTATTATAATTTTTTCTTTTTGTGTTTTTCATAAAATTTTTCTTAAAAAAAACATGATTTATTCTTTTTTGTTCAGGAATTCTTAAATAAAAACTTGTAATAATTTAAATCTTAAATATTAATTAAGAATTCAAAAGCAAATACTTTAAAACTGTATATTTTTTTATAAGAATGTATCAAAAGAATAAAATTATAATTAATTTATAGACTTGCATAAAAATTAACGAATGAAAAAATAAAATTTTATTCTTATTTAACATTGGTGAGAAGATTATTTTTTTCAAGTATATGCATTAGATCTATATATATTTATTTACAAAATAATCAATACAATTAGCATAAAAAATTATATTTGAATAATTAATTGGTTCCATTAAAACATTATTTTAATTTTTTATTTCGAATAAATTGGATCAATAATGTTAAAACGATATTCATGGTAAATAATTTGTATTATATTGGAAGATATATAGTTAATTTTAAATAAAATTAACAATTCAATAGTTTTTTTCATACGTCTTGACCATATCTAGTGAACTCGAGATAACTTATTTGAATTATACTTTTAATATTTTAGAATAAAATAATTATATATTTATATTTATGGAACTATCACTTAAAAATTGGAAGCATTCATGATATATATTATACCAAATTATTTTTAAAAAAGAAAAAAACAATCATGTTTTAAAATTTTATTCTAAAATTCAAATATAGAGAAAAATAAATTATATTTATCAGTAAATAAAATATTATATAAAAAATATTAATTGGATGAGAATTTTCATAAAAAAATGATAAATTCAAATAATGAAATTTAAATTATAAGAGTGATATAAGCTTAAGCATATGTTAATTTTAAAATATAAAAAGACAAGTATATATATGGAAACCCATAATAAACAAATTTTAATATAATTTTTTTTTTTAAAAAAACATATCAATATTTTTTTCATTACGTTGCATCAAAGAAATAAAGCAAACATTAACATAAAAAATTGTATGAAAATTAACAAATGAAACTTTTTTACTCATGAGAAGATTGTTTTTTTTTTTTTTGGCTAAATATATACATTTGATTTGTATATATTTATTTACAAAATAATGAATAATATTAGTATACAAAATTGTATTTGAATTATTAGGCAATTATTCTAAATTTCAATTATTTTATTTGAAAAAAATCATTTTAAATTAAAAAAATAATAGCAAATGGTTGGTATTGTGTATGTAGGTGTATAGTTGATTTCTAATAAAATCAATGACTCTAATATTATTATTTTTTATACATCATGACCATATTCAATAGGTGAGAATATATAAAATAAATTAAAAAATATTTTTAAAAAATTAAATAGTAAAATATGTGTTGAAGTTAATAAAGCGCGAGTAAAAACTATAAAACTGATTTTGATAAAATTTGATTATATAAAAAATAAGAAAATAAAATATATATATTCAATTTTTAAAATTTGCTTATATAAGAATTAAACGAATAAAAAAGTATGAAAAAAACTCATTCAAATCTATACATAGAGAAAATAAGTCATATTTATTAATAAATAAAATTATATAAAAAATAATAATAAAAATTAACTTGATGAGAATTTTTATCGAAAAAATCAATTTTAAACAATAATAGTAGTTTATTTATTCTAAAATCTTAAAAAAATATCATATAAATATAAAAAATATCATATATATTATATAATAGTCACTTTGTGTAAAAAAAAAAAAAAGAATAACGATTGATTTTTTAAAATTTTAGCACCTAATTAAATAAAAAAAGAACATAAATTGATGGGAAAAAGCAAAAGAAAAAAAAACATGTGTAGTGCATCAGTTAGGGGATTAAAATTTTTAATTCAAAATTTTAGAGATCAAAATAAAATAGTCTAAAAATTTAAAGAAAATTAAATAAAAAAAAGAACCTAAATTGATGAAAAAAAGCAAACGGGAAAAAAAGACATGTATAGTGAACGTAAAAACAAAAAAACAAAAAAGAGAATATTTCATATAAATATAAAAAAATATCGTAAATATTATATAATAGTAAATTTGTGTAAAAAAGAAAAATAACAATTGATTTTTTAAAATTTTAACACCTAATTGAATAAAAAAAGAATATAAATTGATGGAAAAAAGCAAAGAAACATATAAATGTAAAAAATATCATATATATTATATAATAGTCAGTTTGTATAAAAAAAATAATGATTGATTTTTAAAAATTTTAACACGTAATTAAACACAAAAAAGAACATAAATTGATGAAAGAAAAAACAAATTTGATTTTTTGAAATTTTAACACCTAATTAAATAAAAAAAGAACATTAATTGATGAAAAAAAGCAAAGAAAAAAAACACCATGTGTAGAGTATTAGTTAGGGGATTAAAATTTTTATTTTAAAATTTTAAAGGTCAAAATAAAATAAATCTGAAAATTTTTAAAAATTAAAGAAAGAATAACCTAAATTGATGAAAAAAGCATAGGGGAGAAAAAGAAAAAAATATGTATAGTGAAACTAAACTAAAAAAAAAAAAAAAAAAGAGAAAGAAAAAGAAAACACTTGCTACAGGCATCAATGAAACTAAACTACTTAAAAAAAGGGGGGAAAAAAAAAACAATAAAACAGTTGGAGAAATTCAAAGTTACATGCGGCCAAACTAAAGTACTTAAAAAAGGGAAAAAAACAAACCTTGCTTGTAAAAAGTAGAAGAAAGGCCGGGAGAGGAGAAAAATAAAACACAGTGAAGTGTTTTAGGGTAATAAAAAAAACCAGCCACAGAAACTCAAATTTGCATGTTGCCACCGGGAGTCGAACCGGCTTTGTTGTTTAGCAAGCAGTTAACATTAACCGTTGGACTATAAATGCTTTATTGTGCTTGAATTACAAAACATTTATATAAACAAATAAAAAAAGGTGAACAGAGTTACAAATAGTCAGAACCCCACGTCTTTTAGATATATAGTAATATAAAATGAGATAAATACAAATCAGTCCTCAACTTTTAAAATCATGCTAATTTATTCCCAATCTTCCTTTGGTTTAAAATATTCATCATTCTATTCATTTTATTACCATAAAATTATAGAAAATAGTTACAATGCGGTGGAATAAATAGGGTTATAATATTATATTTCAAGTATAGGGCTTGGAAATTAAGTTATAAATTGAAATTTATATTGATTTAATTTAATAAAATAAATAACATATATTGGGTCTGTTTTCATTTTAATTTTATGATAATTAAAAATAGTTATTGCTTATGCTACATTATAATATTACGATCAGCTAATTAAATATATGCATATGTAAATATAAATTTATCTTTAATAAAATAAATTTGTTAAATAAAATTAAAAAAGATAAATTAATAGAAAAATACTTCTTCTTTTTTTTAAGTCATGAGTTCCTTTAGTTTTAAATTGTAATTTTTCATATTGCTTGAAATGCCATGAATGAAATGACTTTTACGACAAACCTCTCTTCCCACTCTATTAATGTACACAACTAATATAGCTAGAAAAAGAGAAAAAACAAAACAAAAACAAAAAACAAATTAAGTATACAAGTACTTACACAGTCAAGTGACAATGAATTTGGAGATTCTTCTTAGGTCTCATTCTCGTAGGAATAGTAGGTGCCATTGGCATAGTTTTAATGTTCAAGGCAAGCTTTGGGGGTACAGTTACAAATTCCATGATCATGTAAAGAACTGAACAACAACAACAACACAACTAAAATGATTTATAAAATTACAAATGTATGGATAAGATCAGTGAATTCAAGCAGAATATATATGTGATTTTAATGCATGATAAATTAGTAACAAAGATTTCTTATAGATTTACTTATCTCATTTATTTCAATTGTTGAATTCAAAATTAATTATTAGATTTGGTACCATTGTATTTTTAAATCTATTTGTTGTTCTTAACTTTTTCGCCTGCTCCTTTTCTTTTTTGGGATAAACTTAGCAAAATAGAATAAAAAAACTCCAGAAGGGAAGAAAATCCAACAAGGAGATAAAGATAATGCATGTCATCTTCTGTGATTTTTTTTTTTTAAAAAAAAGATAACAAGCACAAAAATGGGAACATCTATAGACATACGTCAAATGGAGTGCTCATGCATGAATCCATGTATTCATGTGAAAGGTCAAATGTATCTTCCTACCTTTGACTGTAGGATAGATGAACTTGGCTGTGCATGCTGATTTGGATTTTGATTTTAATTATTTATTTTTTATTATATCTAAAAATAATTCTTTTTCAATAGTTAATAGTTTTTTTAAAAAAATATTAACTAAAATTAAACACTCTTCTAATATAAATTGATTTAGCACTTTCTTCCAAATATATATATATATATATATATATATATATATATATATATATATTAACTAAAATTAAACACTCTTATGATATAAATTGATTTAGCACTCTCTTCCAAAAAAAAAAATATTAACTAAAATTAAACACTCTTCTGATATAAATTGATTTAGCACTCTCTTCTAATTTAATTTTTTTTAAATAAACAATTAATTATGTGCTTTTGTTAATTGATCAAAATCAAACATATTCATAGGATATATTTAAATTCAAACATGAAATGTAAACATTAATTAATTAGTTATTGAAATTAGAGGGACTAATTTATAATTTACTCAAATTTTATGGCCTTCAAATGAAATGATATGGAACGATTTAGGCCATCCTTTGTATTAGCTCTACCACCTATGGACAAGAAAAGCTTGAGAACCTTAAAACTACACTTCGAAGGAAAGGGTATCCCAACTGTTATTCAATTCTCAATTGGATCCTAGACAAAAACAAAATTCCAATTGAGTCCTCCATATGCTGGACATAGTCCTCAAATTTTTGCCTCTAGAGTCGAAAAAATTGAGAAATCAACTTTAAGTTCCTAAAATTTGATAACTTATTTGTCTTAAACGATGCAGTGTTTTTAATAATATTATAGTCACTGTTAAATTGGATAATTTTGATGCACAGGGGATCATAAGAAATTATTTTTTGTTTGAGTACCTATTTCCGAGGGACAAATAATTAATGATGAGTAGAATTTTTATGAATCTTCCGGTGTGGAGGCTTAAATTATTTTTTTTCCTAAAATCCTGAATTAAAGAAGATTTATTTTCAGCCTCTCATTATTAGTAAGCTGATAAGTGTTCGAAAATATGCAAAACAAATAAAAATAAAAATAATTCTATCCAGCTTGTTTCTCTATGTTTTTTTATTTTTTGTTGTTGTAAAAAGTTTGTCCAGAAATACAATGAAATATTTAGTTTCTCATTAATTATATCTTTTCTTAAAACTTTATTTTATAGTTTTTATTTTATTTTATAATTCTGTGTAAAAAATTTCCTTCGAAACTAGAAAGTATACACTCTCCACAACTCATGTTTTCTCATTTTCTTCCTAAAAAAATTAGCAAGAATCTCTAAGCTAGGTCTCAAAACCTCCTTATCCCATACATCCTTAGCTATTTTTCCACTTTTCTCATACACACGAGTAGCATCAATATGATGCAATTTCCATCCTTTCTCGTTTCTTAACCGTTTGATTTTCATTAGTTGTGAATTGATTAGTTTGTTGGTGTTTTTCTTAATCTCATAAATAGCAGTATCAAGTAACATTTTCTTGGTCTTCTCATCAGCCATTTTCCTTTCAGCTTGAATGTATGCCTCCAACTCTGGAATCCCAATAGCCTTCCAAATCCCCCAAGTTCGATCTATACCTCGAGCAAAGATATCTCGAACCTCATCAACCAGACCAGCCTCAACCATCTCATCAACTCTTCTCGACGTGCAATCGAGTAAAATTGGCAAAGCAACATCCACCCATAGAAAGCAAGGATCATAATTTGCTTTGAAGTCGAACATTGAATCTTCGTCGACAAGTGCCTCCATGTACCTATTCGATCCACCAACAATAATCGGATTGTTTCCATTCTCCATAACTTGATTCATGGCCGTGTGTACATGGTTGCAAAAGTCCTGTGTGGTAAACTCTCTATCCGGTTCCACAAACCCTAGCAAATGATGAGGCACACCTCTGCGCTCATCTTCAGGAATTTTGTTAGTTAATATGTCAAGGCCCTTGTAGACTTGAATTTTGTCGGAGTTGATGATTTCACCTTGAAAGTGAGTGGCCAGATCAATGGAGAGTTTTGATTTTCCGACAGCAGTTGTTCCTAGTACGAACACAACCTTTGTCTTCTTATTGTCATCTTTTGTAGCTAGTTGAGTAATTTTGTCGAACGTTGTTGCACTGTTTAAAAAGAAAATAATATGGAACTGCCATGAGAATAAAATCAAATGAAAATTTAGATACACACTATTTTATAAAGATCATGCTAATTTCTTCCCAATTAAGCTTCCTTTGAGTTAACATATTCATCATTCTATTCATTTTATTACCATAAAATTATAGAAAATAGTTACATTATGATGGATAAATAGGGTTATAATATTATATATCAAGTATATGGCTAGGAAATTATGGTATAAATTGAGATTTTTATTCATTTAATTTAATCATATATATATATATATGATTTCAAACTTTCAAAAGCCAAATTCAACCCCTCCAAAAACATCTCAAAATCAAAAAAATAACTTCGAAAACTATTTTACAGTCTCAAAATTTATTTTAATACACATAAAATGTACAACAGTTCAAATCAATCTCAAAAAATATAAAATATTTTTAGATCCCAATCTACGATCTTTTCAAACTATTTCATGGTTTGTAATTAACACTAAAATATTATATTCTTGAAGACAAACAAATTGGTGGTAATTTTGACAGTCAAAGTAGCCCAAATATCTATCGTTGTCCCTCTCTCCCATCTATTCTCTCTATTTTTGGCTCTCTTATAAGCATTTAGGGATCATATTGCAATACAAATAAAGCTGAAAATCGAAAAAAAAATTTAAAAAAATGAGGGATCAAAATGTAAAAATATCAATAAAAAGTGAAAGCAAATCTTAGAAATGAGTGACGCATATGGGCGTTGAGCTACAGTGAAATGCACAGGAAAATAACGTGAATGAGCATTCTTTTTTAGTGTTTTTGTTAATATATAAAATGAGATAACTAGAAATCAATCCTCAACTTTTAAAATCATGCTAATTTCTCCTCAATCTTCCTTTGGTTTAACATATTGATCGTTCTATTCATTTTATTACCATAAAATTATAGAAAATAGTTACATTACGTTGGATAAATAGGGTTATAATACTATATTTCAAGTATAGGGCTAGGAAATTAAGGTATAAATTGAGATTTTTATTCATTTAATTTTATAAAACAATCACATATATTGGGTCTGTTTTCGTTTTTATTTTCTTATGATTAAAAATATTTACTGCTTATGCTGCTTTAAAATATTACATTCAGCTACATATATGCAAATGTATATGCATTTACCTTTAATAAAATAAATTTGTTAAATAAAATTAAAAAATATAAATTAATAGCAAAAAGACTTTTTTTTTTTTTTAATATCAAGTTATGAGTTCTCTTTGCAAACTATACTGTCTATAAGAAAAATAGTTTATAGAAACAAATAGTGACAAAAAAAAATCTAAAAAAAAATTATTCTTTGTTTTATCTTGAATTTTGTATTGATTTTTGTTTTTTTTTTTTTTTTTCAATAGAAAATCCATCAAATAATCTTGTTATTCCTTTAGTTTTAAATTGTAATTTTTCATATTGCTTGAAATGTCATGATCAAATGACTTTTACGACTAATCTCTCTTCCAACCATATGTACACAACTAATATGTGTAGATATATAAAAATTAAACAAACAAACAAACAAAAGTATAGCAATACTTACAAAGTCAAGTGACAATGAATTTGGAGACTCTTCTTCGGTTTCATTCTCATAGGAATGGTAGGTGCCATTGCCATAGTTTGAATGTTTAAGGCAAGCTTCGGAGGGACAGTTACTAATTCCATCGTCATGTAAAGAACTGAACAACAACAACGCAAGAAAAAAGATTTCTAAAGATACAAAAATATGGATGAGGTTGTGAATGTATATGATTTTTAATGCCGGACATGTCAAGTTGAATATATATATATATATATATATATATGATTTTAATGCCGGACAGAAACAGAAACAATTTAATTTCTTAAAGATTTACTTCTCTCACTTAGTTCATTCATTGGATTCAAAATTAATTATTAAATTTGATTTTGTATCATATTTCTAAAAAACATAAACTGTCATTGATTCTAAATATTTGAATAAAAATAGTAAAAATTTAAAAACTCGTAAAAAATTAACTCTTTATTAGTTTATTTATCTCCTCTAATTCAATTATTTAAATTCAAAATCTATATATTATTCAATTTAAAACATGAACCGTCATGTTTTTAAGATCAAATATGATTCTACGTATTTTTTATTTCCTTTAATATTTGTTATGTTTTTTTTGGAAAACAACCTTTCATATCTAATCAAAATCATTTTTTACTGCGACTGGTACTAAGTACATGTCCATATACATAACAGATTCATGATTAACAACACCTGCACTTGTGTGTATGGATAAATTACAGTTACTCTATATGTCAACTTTAAAAAAGAAAGAATCACATACGATCAATAAAAAGCAGTACAAAGATTTTCATCTAGACTATTTTTTTTTCTATCTCCTATTTCCTTATTCTCTTTGTTTCTATTTATTTTTTATGAAATAACTTACCTTAGTTACTCTTTGAGTTATATATATAAGAGAAAATTTTTATATTACTCGTTAAGTAATTAGGGTAAGTTACTACACAAGAAAGATGGATACAAAGAAGAGATAAAAATAAAAAGAGAAAATTATAAAAAAATAATAATAATAATTTAAGGTTGATGAAAATCTTTTTATTATTTTTTATTGATTTAGATTTTTTTTTTTTTTTTTTGATGCCTCTGCGTCATTTCTTAAGTATTTAAGGATAGATTGATTAATTGTGGAAATATTGTATGTATTCCAAACCTACAACGCTGCAAGCTCTGAAGGAATTGGATACCGATGGAAGTTTTTCTTTTCCCAACACAGCCTAACAGAAAGGGTTTAAGGACTTCTAGTTTCAAACCCATTAGGTCCAATTAAAGCCCACAATACGGATATTAATCGGGACTTTTTTCCCGTATAATCCAATAAGAAGGGTCTACAAGCCCCCAATTTCAAAACCCATTAGGCCCAATAAAGGGCCACAGCTTGCCAAGAAAGACTAGCTCCTTAAACAGGTCCAAAACACCCAAAAAAACACCAATAGCACCTAGCAGAAGGCATACTGCTTTAGCAAACACAACAATTGCTCTCACCTAGAAATTTGACACATTTTTCTCTTCTCTAATATCATATGAGCCGTCACCAATGTTCTTTCATGATCGTCTCCTCTTCCTTCTTCACCAAAATCTCACGCCAATTGGGTGAAATTGCAAAATCTGAACGAAAGCCGCAGATCTAAAGAATTTGCGGCTTCTACGGTTGCAAATTGGGCCTTTTTTTTTTTTTTTCTCTCTAGTGATATGAAATATGGATAGCTAGATATAGCATAAAGTGCTCTTTGTTTTATAAAAAAAGAATTAAACAACTGGAATTAGTTCCTATACTTCCTAGCTTAACTGGATTTTTTATAAAGAAAGGAAAAAAAAACATGCAGTTTCCTATAGTTTTTTTAGAAGTGAACGCTATTCGATTTCAACAGACAAATTGAATCGAACCGAAGTATTAATTTCGATTTAGTTTTTAATTCAAAAATTATTAAAAAGGATTTTAAGTTTTTCGAATTGTTTATTCAGTTTAAACTGAAAACTGATTTTTTTTTATTTTTTGTCCTTTTTTTAAAAAGTTTTTAAATAATATAAATATACAAAAAAAATTAATATCTTGACATTATTATAGATATATGATGGATTAATAACGCTTTTGATCTATTTACATTATTAAAAAAATTAGCAAAAAATAAAAACTGATGATCTTGATTAAAAGGAAAAAAAATAATTTCAGCCGGTCAATTCAGAGAGGGGAGTCCTTGTATTTCCAAAATCTAGATGGGTTTGACCAAATAATCTCTACTTCTCTCAACATAATTAAATAATAAATCAAGAAATCAATTTGTGGAATTTTTATGATTTCTTTGACAGTTATTTATAACTTTTTGTTGATGTAATAGGAAAAAAAAAGGCTTTCACGAGCAATTAATGACAAAAATGAACTTGGAATTTAACAAAAAGGATGTTAATTAAAATATCCTATAACACAGAAGTAGTAAAAAAAAATGTCAATCATAAACCTTTTTACCGAAGATAATTAAAAAAAATAAAAACGAGAGTGCAAGTAGATGCTATAATTATAGCAAGATCATGCGAATTGATTTACGTCAAAAAACAATGGATGGATATAATTGTGATTAACACAAAAGCTCTTTCAAGAAAACTAATATTTTGCTCACTGACACAAAACCTTATCTTTTGCTCACTAACATAAAGCGACCCCAGATGGTTCTTTCATGCTGACGTGATATTCCCACGAATATATATATATATAATTTGTCAAACGTTATCTATTAAATTGAATTTAGATAGAAAGTCTAATAAAAAAATCATATTACAATTATGGAATAGATATAGTTTTCAAATTATGTAAATTCTTATATCCTGTGATTGCTTTTATTAATTATGTTTTTTGTCTTCTTGCTTGATTCTTGTTTTAACCACAATTCTCAAAACTTATCAGGCTTTTTTAGGTTCTATCAATACGCTCCTCCTAATCAGAATTTGTTCGAAATCCTGATTCCACCATCCGGCAACTTGGCCAGTTTCTCCTGCTAAAGCAGTGGATGACAATCTCATTTTAGAAAGTAACACGAATAAGAATATATATATATATATATATATTAAATTATAAATATGTCTCTCTTGTTTTAAAAAATAAATTAATTAGTTATCTTCATTTCAAAAACTAATCATTTAATTTTTTAATATTAAGTTTTTTTTCAAATCTATTAAATTAACATCTAATATCTAAAATATTCTTTAACATATATATCTATTTATGAGGTATGTTTTGGCGCTTAAAAAGAGATAAAAGAGGATTTAGATTAATAAAATGAGAAATAGAAATTTGAAGAGAAAAATAAAGATTTATTTCGGTGCTTGTGTGAATGAGAGAAATAATGTATCATAAAAAAATGTCAATTTGGAAAAAAAAATACAATAAGGATACCTATCACCTCTCTAAAAGACGAAAAAACTAACTTATTATCAAAATTAAAACGTAAAGAATTAAATGGCTAGTTTTTAAAATAAAAGGGATTAATCAATTCATTTCTTGAAACATGAGGGATTAATTTATAATTTACTCATGTATGTATAGACACAATTTGTCCAGGAATTACAAACTCCTGCATTATCTGTACAGCTACACCTCATCAGCCATGTCACAGACATCCAATGCTGCAAAGAGGTGAACTCCACTTTGCATTTTTCAGGCACTGCTTTGAACTCTATCATACTTCAACTAACCGCACAGTCTTATTTTGTCTCAGGTATGCGGTTGTGACAGGGGCAAATAAAGGGATTGGTTTCGAAATATGTAGGCAGTTGGCTTCTCATGAGATTGTTGTGGTTTTGACAGCCAGAGATGAGAAGAGGGGCCTTGAAGCTGTTCAAAAGCTGAAAGACTCTGGTGTCTCTGATGATCTTATGGTTTTCCGTCAGCTTGATGTGGTTGACCCTGATTGCATTGCTTCTTTGGCTGAATTTGTCGGAACCAAATTTGGGAAGCTTGATATCTTGGTATGAAGTTGTTAATCCTTGGATTGTAATCCTCACGATGTTTTCTGGGTATCTTATAAATTGCTGAAATTTTTTGAAACTTGGTGCAGGTGAACAATGCTGGGATTGGGGGAGTTGCGATGGACGCTGATGCTTTTCGAAGAGCCTTTGAACTTACTGGAAATTGGGTATGCAATTTTGATTCTGTTTTTTGATATGGATTTGTTTGGAAATATCAAATTCTGTTTTGCAAATGCAGCCAACTGGAGAAAAAGTGTGGGATGAAATTGCAACTCAAAGTTATGAAATGGCAGAACAATGCGTGAAAACAAACTATTATGGTGCAAGAGGAATGGCTGAAGCACTTGTTCCTCTTCTCCAATTATCCGATTCACCAAGGATTGTAAATGTTTCTTCATCATTGGGACTTCTAAAGGTACATAACCCGTTTTCAAGGATGAAATTTTGGTCTTTAATTAACATAGACTAGTAATCATAACAGTTTTCAAGCAGCCTGACCAAAAAATTTCCCGTTACATCATTCAGAAAATTCCCAGTGAATGGGCTAAGGGATTGTTGAATGATGCTGAAAGGCTTTCTGAAGATAGAGTAGATGAAGTTGTGAATCAGTTTCTTAAGGATTTTAAGGAGGGTTCTGTCGAAACCAAAGGCTGGCCTATTAATCTCTCAGCCTATACTATTGCAAAAGCTTCCATGAACGCATACACAAGGATTCTGGCAAAAAAGTACCCTAGTTTCTGCGTCAATTCTCTCTGCCCTGGCTATTGCAAGACTGACATCACTAACAATACCGGCCTTTTCACTGCTACAGAAGGAGCCGAATGTGCGGTGAGGCTGGCTCTTCTGCCTAATGATGGGCCTTCAGGTTTTTTCTTTTATCAGAAAGAAATGCTACCATTCTTTTGATGAGATGGAAACTTTAGCATCCAGATTGTTGATGTACTTAGATTTTGCTTCCAAGCACAAAAACTATTATGAAGTCGCAGTTTGTGACTTTTAGTTCTGTTTAACAACGTGGTGCAATTCTGTTAATAATGTTTTCAAAATCCTCCAAACTAACCACCTGGTCCCATTTGAGAACGAGCAGATGATTTTCTGGTATCAAAATTTTAACTTATTCCTTATTAGTGCTTATAATACTTTAAATTATGGATGCAATTGTAGAAATGATTGTATATATTATTGATTATTGATTTAATTATTGAATGTGCGATATATGATCTAAAACGGGCAGCCCATTTTTTGGGGTACGTCGAGTGGTTTGGGTTTCGGGATCTTTCTTAGGTCGTTAGGTCTTTTTGAGACTACGATACTATATAGAGTTAGATAGTTGAGATTAAGTTTCATCCAAAAGACTTAAGTCTTGTAGTGCTTCTCAACTTTATATATTATTCATTATTAATTTAACTATTAAATGTGAGATATGTGATCTAACAAAAAATAACGATAACAATAACCGATATTATCAATATATTAGTGAATATATTAATAACTCGTTAATAAATTTATTTTAAAACAAAAAAAAATATTTTTTTTGTTTTTCAATAATAATATAACAATCGTTACTGTTATATAATTTCATTATTTGGGTGAAATATTGTTGGATTCTTTATAATATAGTATGAAGAAAACAAACATATACAAACTCAAATACGTTAAATAAGGACCATCATATAACTGTGGTTGTTTGAAACTATACTTATAAATAACTTTTTGCAACACTATCTAAACCACGAATTGTGTTTGTACTCCCTACTTGTGGTAATCGAATTGATGACAAAACCGCGGATGTTTTGGAAGGATAATTTCCTGATAGGAACATTGAAAGATACTGAGATAGATGGAATGGGTTGGCTAGCTAGTCCACTCAAACTCCTGACCCAGAGACCCCAATTTTAATGGTGAGTGTAAATGCACATTATTTCATACAACAACCATGCAATTAAGAAACAGTACCCCCATACTCAGAGAATGGAATTTTCGTACTTCAACAAGTGCAGCAATTACTTACTTCTTCTGATATACTTGTACAATAACTCTCGGGCACATTTGGGTTTTTCTTTTTGTTTTTTTTTCAATAAAGGTTATCTTAGGTCAATTTTGCCGACCAACAAGATTTAATTAAATTTCTATTTATTTAGGTCTTTATCAGCAAGCCATTTATACCGTATTCAAACCATGGGTTTGTAAAAACATAATTTAGTACTGCGACATCCTCGATACACATTTACGCCATCAATGATAACAAACGTGCATGGAGACGAAATTCACCTACCATTCAGACTAATCCTCCAAATATCTATTAATATTTGTCCAAGATAAAAAGGGGGGTGACTGATTCTTGTTCCAAAAATCGAATCCATGAAAGATGAGACCTTATCTGTGCAGATCTGCACTTAATTGGGGATGGAAAATAGTAATGAGGTGTAGGGTAAGTAGAGCGTGGAGGTGGATTGTGGTCCATCTCGGAAGTGCACCTACTCGTTATTATTAGGAATGGCAATGGGACCACCATCCACGCCTCTGCCCCTCCTCCTGAAAATTTTACCTCGTTCCCACCTCGTGTCTTACTCAGAGCAATATTTCTCGTGTCAATTTCGCCTTAAATGCAAATGGGAATCCTCGCAAAGCATCGATGTCCTGTTTAATTTTTTATTTATGTATTGTTCAGTTTCATTCTATTATCAAATTTTAAACTATAACAAAAAACATGATAGTTTATATAGAAAATAAACCCTAAGGTACTGTTTGATAATCGAAGAGAGTGGTGAAAATAGAAATGCAGGAATCAAAATGAAAATTAAGGAATCGGAATGATATTTGTATTTCAATACCGTGTTTGGAATACTAATAAGGAATCGAAATGCAATTTTAATTTTTTATACAAAATATAATTTTAATTTCAATGATGAAGCAGAATAAACGAGACAGGATGGCCATCCATAGTTATTACACCCACCAAGACCAAGCCTTTTAGAATATGTGTATACGCGCATGTAATTCGAGTATTTGCATTAAAGGACCATCTCATCTAAAAGCTTAAACTGATAGGTGAGGCCCTAGAATATAATTTATATTAGTCTCTAACACACTCCCTCAAGTGAAAGGCCCAACATTTGAGGCATGAAACTTGCACGAGTCCACATTGCCTTGTGCTTAATATTTGAGAAATTGGAGATGGTGAGACTTGAACTCGGGACTTCAGAGCCAACTAGGCTCGATACCATATTAAAGGACCATCTCACCTAAAAGCTTAAGCTAATAGGTGATACCCTAGAATATAATTTATACTAGTCTTTAACAATTTGAACTTTTTAGTTCAACAAATTATTTCCTAGTGGAAAAATCTATTTACCTTCGTTATCAAATTAATCCGAGAAATATCAAAACACTTCGGTGAAAACTCCCTATCTCTCAATGGAACCAATAACTCTCCCGTCCTATGGTGAGGTTTGGAAAAAAAAAAAAATTCATTTCAAAATTTTAATTTTTTTAATAAAATTTTATATTTAATATTTTTTTCATAAATTAACAAGATTCATTATTTTTATGCATTGATTCTTAAATAAAAATGTTTAATAATTTAAATTAAAATATTAATGAATGATTAAAAGAAAAAACTTTTAAAATATATTTTTATATTATATCTAAAAAATAAAACTACAATTAATATATAGTTTTTTATAAAAATTAAAATTTTATTCTTATTTAATGTTGATGAGAATTTTTTTTTAAAGTATATGCATTCGATTTATTTATATTTATGTACAAAATAATAAATAATATTGGTATAAAAACTGTATTTGAATCATTAGGTGGTTTTTTTAAAAATAATTTATTTCAAAAAAATTGATTATATAATGTTAAAAAAATATTTAAAGCAAATAATTGGTGTTATGTGTGAAAATGTATTGTTAATTTTTAATAAACTAATTATTTAATAGTTTTTTTATATACATAATTATCATACTTAATAATGAAGATAAATTATCCGAAATACATTTTTAACCCGTCTATGAGAACATCAAAATCTAGATGTGTTGACAAATTAGTGCAAATCTTAAATTGAAAATCTCAATTTCAATTTGGCCCAAAAGAAAATCAATTCAGGAGTCAATTTCTTCATTTATCAGTAATGATCATTGTATGTGAAGTGAAACAGATCTTCAGATTATAACAGGATTGTGTAAGCAATTAAGTTAGCATGTTTGGATTAAAGATAAAACAACTTGAACTCCTGATACTTCTGCCTCAAATGGATTACATTTGTTTATCCACAGGAAGTTAATCCTTACAAACATCCTCTGACAATAGACTCGTAGTTGAGAGATGTTTGTACGGTTCCAGCAATCGATGAAAACGTGTCTTATCAAGAAAAACTGCTTGAACATTGACGAACCCAGTTTTATGCGGGAGACCACCAAAAATGTGGCAAGTGGCATGCTATAAAAGAAAAAGAAAATTCTTCAGGCTTACTTGGATTTAAGAAGCAAACAGAGTGCTCATTTCAAGGCAGGGAGCCAGAGAAAAGGTTGTTTAGCATATAATCAAACAAAAGAAATCCACAGTACCCCATTTTTATCCCTTTTTGTAATGACAAAAAAAGGGTTAGCTGTATGCAATATTACAAGGAGAAAAGAGGCATTCTCTTCCCATAAAAAGAAATACCATTGGCCTTTGCTGGTTTCCTCACTCAAAACCACCAGCAAAAAGCCTTAGCCTCAGGTTTTTTCCAAAACTTTTGGCACTCTCACCTATATAAGCAAAACCCATCTTACCACTTCAGTCATCAAACCGTAGCTTCTGATATCTTACTCTCTAGGCACAAATCCTAAATCAAAGAGTTTCCAACTAGTTGTTCTATTTCATTTAACAGAGAAAATTAAAATGAGTTCAGCAAGTAGAGCTTGGTTGGCAGCAGCTGCTATTGGAGGTGTTGAGGCCTTGAAAGACCAAGGCTTCTGTAGGTGGAACTACACATTGAGATCTCTACACCAACATGCCAAGAACCATGTCAGATCAGTCTCTCAGGCCAAGAAGCTTTCTTCTTCATCTTCTGCAACGATTTCGAGTAAAGTCAAGGAAGAGAAGGCAAAGCAATCAGAGGAGTCTTTAAGAAAAGTCATGTATTTGAGCAGTTGGGGTCCTTACTAAAGCTGCGAATCAAGAAGAAATTGAGGAAATTATAGTGATAGGACTATTCGGATTGTTGCAAGTTGATGTAAATAGTAAATTTTGCTTACACCATTTATTCTATAGTTTCTGTTTTTCCATTTCTTTTGGCAGAACTTCCTCTTGGTTTTAGTGCATTAAAACTAAGCTTCACAAATCAGATAAATTGAGTGGGCATTTGCTTAAGATATTAGGAGCAGTTTTGGCAACGAAACTCCATTAATATCTCGCCCCGGTTAAGTACAACTTCTAGAGTACCTTGAGAGTTGAGAACCTGGGTTTTTGAATGTACTACTATTGTCTTCAGGGTTTTTGAATGTACAAAATGCTAAAATTCTATCCTTCTAGCCTCGTTCTTGAAGAAAAACTAGGGGATTTTCTTCCTATAATTGTGCTCAATTTGGATTTTTATAAAGCAAAACCGTGTGCCTTGTACTGAAGTAGTTTCACTCAAGCTTTGTAATGATCGAAAATGCTAAAAAGTAAAAATCACCCTTTTTTTTTCTCATTTGTATTTTAGGCCACCAACTGGTCCTTCCTAGCAAAAAAACCCCACTAAAATAATACCATTGGTTTTCACTCAAGCCAAAACCACCAGCAACGGCTTGTAGATAGCTTCTGTTTTTCCCCAAAATTTCTGGCCCCTTTTTTTTGCACGTAATTACCTCCATTATATAAGAGAACTCCTTGCTTGCTATTTACACCATCAAATTGAATATATATGATTTATTATATGATAAAAATTGTAATAATTTAATTCTGTTTTATTTTTCTTACTTATTTTAGATTATTAATTTTAAAATAAATGATTATATTTAATACATGACCAACCATGTTTTTAAAAGAACAAAACTATCGTATTGTTAAATCTAAACCGTTGAATTTAAATTAAATGGATATAATTTAGTGTATAAAAATGGTGACAATTTAATTTTTATTATTTTATTTGTCTCATCTAATTCAGTTCATTAAATCCAAAGTCAGTGATTAGATTTTTAACATTGACCTATTGTATATAATTCAATGAATTTTTATTTCCTTCGACATTTGTTATGTTTTTATTGAAAACATACTTTTTTTATATATAACCAAAAAATGATAGATTTATTCTCAATTCATATACAATTATATATATAAGTAAATTATAAACTAGTATCTCTTGTTTTGAGAAATGAATTAATTAGTTCCGATTTCAAAAACTAATTATTTTGTCCTTTTATTCAATATTGATCATGATTAATTTAATATTTTTTATTTTATAAAATGTCTTATTTTCTCATCAATTTATCTAAATTTTTACTTATTTTTTTCTAATTAGTTTTTTAAACTAAAAAACTAATTAATTCATTTCTTGCGAGACAAGGAAATGTAATGTTATTTTCATACCCAAGGATCAGAAAAGGTCTTTTCTTGCTTAATTTTGAGTATAGATTTAACCATACCTTGACAAAATCATGGTTTTCTCCTCCTTTTCGAATAGGTTTTAAATTCAAATCTCTTGTTATATGTTGAAAAGCAAAACTAGAGATAGCATTATGCTACTTGCCTCTTTTTCTACATGTAAATCATTTTTTTTTCATTCAAGCTAATAGTGAAAAAATTAATAATATTAATAGAAAATTCTTTTCAATATCACTTTATAAAATGTTCATTAAATTTATGGAATTTATTAATGAATCCACTTGCTTAATATATAAAATTTTCTCAAAGTTATTTTGAGAGCAATACTTGCAAAAATTAGCATTTATATTCTAGAGTCTCATCTAACGTGAAATTTTATAATACACTTAATGGCATATATAGTAGTTACTCTATAGACCCATTTTGAGAAGACGAGATAGATACAAAAAAATGAGAGAGAAAATTTAAAAAAATTGAGAGAACGTGAAAATCTTTTTATCACTTTTGATAAATCCGGATATAATTAAATGTGTCTATCTCTCTTTTCAAAATAGATCATGAGCAACTACTATATATGCTACAAGTTATTATTTATATATTATAAAATTTCTCTCATCTAACAACTTAAGTTTTTTAATGAAATGATCATTTAATATGATATCAGAGTTTGGTTGAACAATTTTCCCTAGCTCTACTGTTTGTTTTGGCCAGAAGGAATCAAACAACTGGAATTAATTCCCAAGCTTTCTGGCTTAACTGGATTTTTATAAAGAAAGACAAAAAAGCATGCAGTTTCCTAGATGGTACGTCCTTCTACTTGAATTGCTAAAAAAAATGGCAAACACAGTTGCATGCGTGTGAGTCTCCAAGAATATGGCATGTGGCATTCCCCACTACAGCTCAACTCCTATACTTGATTTGGACTTAGTTGGATTTTATGAAGCCAAAACAGTGTGCTCAGGTCGAGGTAGAAACAAGGTTGATTTGTCATGATCAGATAAAGAAGTTGTACCTATCCAAAACCCCATTTTACCCCAACTTCTTTAATGATAGAAAGTGTCTACTTATGGACAAAAGAGACATCTCCTCATTAAAAAATACCATTGGCCTTTGCTGGTTTCCTTACTCAAAACCACCAGCAAGAAGCCATGGCCTCAGGTTTTTTCCTAAACTTTTGGCACTCTCACCTATATAAGCAAAACCCATCCTACCATTTCATTCATCAAACCGTAGCTTCTGATATCTTACTCTCTACGTACAAATCCTACATCAAAGAGTTTCCAGCTAGTTGTTCTATTCCATCTAACAGAGAAAATTAAAATGAGTTCAGCAAGTAGAGCTTGGTTGGTGGCAGCTGCTATTGGAGGTGTTGAGGCCTTGAAAGACCAAGGCTTCTGTAGGTGGAACTACGCATTGAGATCACTACACCAACATGCCAAGAACCATGTCAGATCAGTCTCTCAGGCCAAGAAGCTTTCCTCTTCATCTTCTGCAATGATTTCAAGTAAAGCCAAGGAAGAGAAGGCAAAGCAATCAGAGGAGTCTTTAAGAAAAGTCATGTATTTGAGCAGTTGGGGTCCTTATTAAAGCTATGAATCAAGAAGAAATTGAGGAAATTATAGTGATAGGACCATTCGGATTGTTGCAAGTTGATGTAAATAGTAAATTTTGTTGCCAATTTACTTAATATATATCAAGACCTTTTTTTTCCCCGATAAACTTTTGCTTACACCATTAATTCCATAGTTTCTGTTTTTCCATTTCTTTTGGTAGAACTTCCTCTTGGTTTTAGTGCATGTGCTTAAGATATTAGGAGCAGTTTTGGGAACGAAACTCCATTAATATGTTGCTCCGGTTCAGTACAACTTCTAGAGTATACCTTTGAGAGTTGAGAACTTGGTTTTCTGAATCTATTACTATTGTCTTCAGTGTTAATCCTATTTTTTTTTCTTTGTTTTGAGTAGAGGTCAAGACAAAATGCTAAAATTCTATCCTTCTAGCCTAATTCTTGAAGAAAAACTAGTGGATTTCCCTCTTTATACTTTAGGCCCAATTTGGATTTTTATAAAGCAAAACCGTGTGCCTTTTACTGAAGTAGTCCCACTCAAGCTTTGTCATGATCGAAAATGCTAAAAAGTAAAAATCACCCTTTTTTTTCTGACTTGTATTTTAGGCCACCAACTGTTCCTTCTAGACATTGAATCATCCAATTTAGGGGTGAGCAAATGGTTAAACAGTTAGATTTTGTACGATTCGGTTTTCGGTTAATCGAATTTGTACGATTCGGTTTGGTTTTCGGTTAACCGAATCAAGAAAAATAAAAACCAAAACCAAACCAAAATAAATTCGATAAATTCGGTTTGTAACCAAATTATTTCGGTTCGGTTTCAAAATATTTCGGTTTTAACCGAAATGTTTTACTAAAAAAAATTCTAGACCATTGTTTCATTATCCGTCCTAAGCCACCATCATTTTCACCATTTACTATATAAAAAAAAAGGACAATAAGAAAACAAAGCCCTTACATAGGAAATATCTTTTGCAGCTACCTAATCACAGTTGACACACTGAATGTCCTAAATGAGAGAAGAAAAAAAATGTAGTTGTCTTCCTTCTTTTACTTATTCCGAACTCATCAAGCACCGACAACATCCTAATTCTTGATTTGACTTCTATGATCTCTTTGCTTATCTTGCTAAAAAGCCATTGGGAATGAACCGTAGGAAACAAAATTTTAGACCGAATTAGTCACCGTTGAAGATTATAATTTTCCAACATCAATCACTATCATAACAAGATATATAAAGCAAGGTAAACGTTACTAATATGTATAGCATCCCTAATAATTTTACAATCATCATTCCCACTAAAAAATGTAGTCCAAAAGATTTTCATTAGCAATTTTGTGCGAGTAGAAAAGAAATTAAAACGAGCTTTCTTTCAATTTATAAAATTCAAGCTCACAGAGATCTAAAACCATCTTGCAATAGTAAGTTAATTTCATTTGATTGTCTTGCAAAGAAACAACTAAACTTATAAAAGATAATTGATTGCAGTTAGTCATCAACTTTATTTAATTTTTTCAATTGATAGTTGACCAAATTAAGAATCTTAGAATTCATGAATGCCTCCTCCGACTTGATGAAGTGATGATGAAGGAGAATCGTAGAAGATGGAGCGAAGGATAGGGAGCTAGGGAGGCGCCGCTAAAAATTGATTTTGATTTAGTGAAGTTAGCCAATTAGGGTTAAAAAAAAAAAATTTTTTTTTTTTTTTTTGCTTTTAATTTTTTCTGTTTTCGGTGAAAACCGATTTTTTTTTCAAAAACCGAACCGAACCGAAATAATTTCGGTTTTTCGATTCGGTTTTTAATTTTATAAATTTAAGTTTAAAACCGAACCAAAATACATAATTCGGTTCGGTTTGATTCGGTTTTCGGTTAACCAAACCATTTGCTCACCCTTAATCCCATCCTAGCTAAAAACCCCACTAAAATAATACCATTGCTTTCATTCAAGCCAAAACCACCAGCAACAGCTTCTGGTTTTCCTCCAAATTTCTGGCCACTTTTTTTTTTTTCACCTAATTACCTACTCTATATAAGAGAGCTCCCTGCTTGCTATTTACATCATCAAATTGACTATATATGATTTATTGTATGATAAAAATTGTAATAATTTAATTCCTTATTGTTTTATTTTTCTTACTATATATGATTTATTGTATGATAAAAATTGTAATAATTTAATTCCTTATTGTTTTATTTTACTTAATTATTTCTGATTATTAAATTAAAAATAAATGATTATATTTAATACATGACCAGCCATGTTTTTAAAAGAACTAAACTGTGGTATTCGTTAAATCTAAATCATTAAATGTATATAATTTAGTGTATAAAAATGGTAACAATTTAATTTTTATTATTTTATTTGTCTCACTTGTCTCATCTAATTCAGTTTATTAAATCCAAAGTCAGTGATTAGATTTTTAACATTGACCTATTATATATATATATATATAATTCAATGAATTTTTATTTCCTTCGACATTTTTTATGTTTTTATTGAAAACATGTAACCAATAAATGATAAATTTAGTCTCCATTCACATAAAAATTTATTTAAAAATAGCTACCATATATATACGTAAATTATAAACTAGTCTCTCTTATTTTGAGAAATTAATTAATTAATTCTTTTAATTTTAAAAACTAATTATTTTTTCCTTTTAATCAATATTGATCATGATTAATTTAATATTTTTTATTTTATAAAATATTTTTTCTCAGCAATTTATCTATATTTTTACTTATTTTTTTCTGATTAGTTTTTGAAACTAAAAAAAAATAATAAATTCGTTTCTCGAGAGACAAGAAAATGTAATATTATTTTCCTACCCAAGGATCAGAAAAGGTCATTTCTTGCTTAATTTTGAGCATAGATTTAACCATACCTCGACAAAATCATGGTTTTGTCCTCCTTTTCAAATAGGTTTCAAATTCAAATCTCTTTTCACAATTTAAAAAGCAAAACTAGAGATATCATTATACTCCTTGCCTCTTTTTCTACAAGTAAATCAGTTTTTGTTTTTTGTTTTTTGTTTTTTTTTTTTTTTTCATTCCAGCTAATAGTGAAAAAATAAAATACTAATAGAAAATTCTTTCCAATATCACTGCATAAAATGGTCATTAAATTTATGGAATTTATTAACGAATCCACTAGTTTAATATATAAAATTTTCTCAAAGTTATTTTGAGAACTATACTTGCAAAAATTAGCATTAATCAATAATGGATCAACTGGAAAATGACTCTGAGAAAGCAAGATATAGCACAAACAGCACTTGTTTTGGATTAAAAGAAATCAAACAACTGGAATTAATTACTAAGCTTTCTGGCTTAACTGGATTTTTTAAAGAAAGAAATAAAAAAAGCATGCAGTTTCCTAGATGGTCCTGCTACTTGAATTGATAGAAAAATGGCAAACACAGTTCCATGCGTGTGAGTCTCCAATAATATGGCATGTGGCATTACCCACTTCAGCTTAGTTGAATTCTATGAAACAAAACAGTGTGCTCAGGTGAAGGTAGAGACAAGGTTGATTTGTCAAGATCAGATAAAAAATTTATACCTATCCAAAACCCCATTTTATGTCAGCTTATTTAATGACAGCAAGTGGTCTAATTATTGACGAAAGAGACATCTTCTCATGGAGAATACCATTGGCCTTTGCTGGTTTCCTTGCTCAAAACCACCAGCAAGAAGCCTTAGCCTCAGGTTTTTTCCTAAACTTTTGGCAGTCTCACCTATATAAGCAAAACCCATCTTACCATTTCCTTCATCAAAACGTAGCTTCTGATATCTTACTCTCTACGTACAAATCCTACGTCAAAGAGTTTCCAACTAGTTGTTCAATTTTATAGAACAGAGAAAGTTAAAATGAGTTCAGCAAGTAAAGCTTGGTTGGTCGCAGCTGCTATTGGAGGTGTTGAGGCATTGAAAGACCAAGGGTTCTGTAGATGGAATTACACCTTGAGATCACTACACCAACATGCCAGGAACCATGTCAGATCCGTGTCTCAGGCAAAGAACCTTTCTTCTTCATCTTCTGCCATGATTTCAAATAAAGTTAAGGAAGAGAAGGCGAAACAGTCCGAGGAGTCTCTAAGAAAAGTCATGTATTTGAGTTGTTGGGGTCCAAACTGAGAGATAATTAGTTCATATGATAGGAGTAAATTTTTGCATGTTGAATTGAGCTGTAAATTTTGCTGCCGATTGCCAATCAAACGTATAGCTTTCTTTTGCTAGCTTATTTCCTTAACGAACAAGTTTTTATTTTATTTTATTATTATTATTATTATTTTTTGTGGTGAAATAAACAAGCCATTTCTCTAATTTCGATTTTGGGAATATGACATTCAAATTTCAGGTTTAAAAGAATTTTCCAATTATATATTGAAAATTAACATTAACAACTAATAAGGATGTGGGCTTTGATAGGAAAAAAAAAAAAAAAGGGAAAAATGTTTAATTTGATTCCTTCAATTGGGCGGAGTCATTGAACTCCTGATCCTTCGGCCTCAAGTACTGGAGAAGATCACATTTGTTTCTTTACAGGACCGTTGTTAATTGATAAAAAAAAGTGTCATACCAGAACAAATAATAATATAATAATTGAAAAGCCGCAAGACCATTTTTGGGCGTTTGAGCCTTAAAAAATGGAGTAAGTTACTCCTCGTAGTTTTCTAAAAACGAATTAAATAATATTTTTTAGTTTTAAAAATTAATTAATTAATTTTTATATTTATAACTTCTTCTTCTTCTAAAGAAAATATTTTTAAAATAAAATAATATTATAGCAATCATAATCATTGATTATGGAAAAAATATTTTTTAAAATATAATCATATTATATTAAGTATAATCATATTGATTAAGAATTAATTAATTAATTTAAAAGAGAGTTATTTAATTTACTTTAAAACTAAAGGGACTAATTTATAATTTACTCCAAAAAATGTGGCATGTGGCCAAAAAAAAAACCAGCTCTGCTCCTATACTTTGGGCTTACTTGGATCTTATGGAGGAAACAGTGTGCTGATTTGAAGGCGGAGCCAAGGTTGATTTATCATATAAAATACAAACAAACAAAAAATCATTTTTTTAATCATATTTGGAGACATCTTATCCCGTCAGAAAATACCATTGGCCTTTGCCGGTTTCCTCACACAAAACCACTACCAAGAAGTCATGGCCTCATGTTTTTTCGCTGAACTTTGGGAACTCTCACCTATATAAGTAAACTTCTCCTCGCCATTTACTTCATCAAACATAGCAAGTGATACCTTACTTTCTACAACAATCCCACAAAGAGTTTCCAAGATGAGTTCAGCAAGTAAAGCTTGGTTGGTAGCAGCTGCTATTGGAGGTGTTGAGGCCTTGAAAGACCAAGGCTTCTGTAGGTGGAACTACACATTGAGATCGCTCCACCAACATGCCAAGAACCATGTCAGATCAGTTTCTCAGGCCAAGAACCTTTCTTCTTCGTCTTCTGTAATGATTTCAAGCAAGGTCAAGGAAGAGAAGGCAAAGCCGTCAGAGGAGTCTTTAAGAAAAGTCATGTATTTGAGCAGTTGGGGTCCCTACTAAATCTATCAAGCAAGAAGAAATTTAGGAAATTATAGTGATAGAACTAGTTCTGATTGTTGCAAATTTATGTAAATTGTAAATTTTTGGTGCCAATCAAATCGTATGATTTTTGGATAAATTTCTGCACCTTCAAGGTTTTTCCTTTCTTTTTTTTTAAACTGGGAATGTGGCAAAATGGAAGGAACTTGAGCCAAAAAATCAGTATTTTCTACAGTTTTGAGTGAGATATAATTATTTATTGAATTTAACAAAGCTATGTAAAAGAAATTCAATAGTCATAACTAATTTTTAATGACATTGTTATAATACCATTCGCTCTGTGGTTAACAATTGCTGAGAGAGAAGATAATGTTTCATAAAATAAGAAAATCATTTTTGTCCTTCGGAGCGAGGGAGACGGAGGCGTGCGACAAAAAGATGCAGCGGTATGTTCATGGTTGACGACGTCGTTTCATTCTTAAAGGCAAATGTCGGGTGAGTGACAGTCGCTTCGATTACTTTATTTTTTCGATACTTGTCGTGTTTTGAGAGCGGTTATTTGAATGAGCGAATGACACGCCGTACTAAACGGAGCGTCGTTTTCTGTCAGTGAAAACACGCAGAGGAGGCCCACACGACGATAGCCTAAAGAACTGAATCTGAAACGACGTGTCTTATCGATTCGAGAACGATTCGTCGTTTTCACGGTCCTAGCCAGCAGGAGCAGCTCCATTGAAGCAAGCGATCGTTTCGTTTCTCCTCCGGCGTTTCTCTGCGATTCTTTCCGGTTACTGAATCCGCAAACTTTCTTCTATCTAATTGTTGATTGAAAGTGGAATTGATAAGCTAGGGTTTTGTTTTCTTTTTCAGTCAGTTGAATTTTTAATTGGTTTTAGGTTTTCTTCTTGGGGGAAAATCTAATGGAATTATAGATTTTGAAGCGAAATTTAATTAGTTCATATCGTTTCTGCTTTCCAGATGACTGTCCTTTGTCATCTGCATGCCAGACAATTTGATGCCGCGAGAGTGCCTTGAGGATTGGAGTAAACTATAAATTAATCCTTTAGTATTGAGAAACATATTAATTAATTTAAAAAAAATATTAAGTAATTACTTTTTAAAATATTGAAATAAGGAAAGTTAATTAATTCACTTTTCGAAACTGTCAGGAATAATTTATCATTTATTTTTGAGGACTGAGAAGTTGGTTTTTGGTGACACATGCAATGAACCTTATTATTTTTTTCACCAAACAATCCTGTGTTTGACTTGTTTTGAGTAGATGTCAAGACAAATGCTAAACTTCTATCGTTCTAGCCCCATTCTTGACGAAAAACTAGTGGATTTTCCTCTTATACTTGGGCCCAGTTTGGATTTTTATAAAGCAAAACCGTGTGCCTTTTCCTGGACTAGTCCCACTGAAGCTTTGTCATGATCGAAAATGCTAAAAAGTAAAAATCTTTTTTTTTCTTTTCTCTTTTGTATTTTAGGACACTAACTGGTTCTTCCTAAACATTGAATCCATCCCATCCTAGCATAACGCCGCTAAAATAATACCATTGGCTTTCTTTTAAGCCAAAACCACCAGCAACAGCTTGTAGCTGGCTTAAACGGAAAAAATTAGCATTAATCAATAGTGGATCAACTGGACAGTGATTCTGATTTCTGAGAAAGCAAGATATAGCACAAACTGCACTTTGTTTTGGCTAAAAGGAATCAAACAACTGGAATTAATTCCTATGCTTTCTGGATTAACTGGATTTTTATAAAGAAAGAAAAAAAGCATGCAGTTTCCTAGATGGTACGTCCTGCTACTTCAATTGATAGAAAAATGGAAAACACAGTTCCAACTTCCATACGTGTGAGTCTCCATGAATATGGCATGTGGCATTATTCCCCACTTCAGCTCACCTCCTATACTTAATTTGGACTTGGTTGGATTTTACGTGTGCTCAGGTGAAGGTAGAAAAAAGGTTGATTTGTCATGATCAGATAAAGAAATTATACCTATCCAAAACCCCATTTTATCCCCACTTCTTTAATGACAGAAAGTCGTCTTCTTGTTGACAAAAGAGACTTCTCCTCATTAAAAAATACCATTGGCCTTTGCTGGTTTCCCTTCTCAAAACCACCAGCAAGAAGCCTTAGCCTCAGGTTTTTTCCTAAACTTTTGGCAGTCTCACCTATATAAGCAAAACCCATCTTACCATTTGCTTCATCAAAACATTGCATCTGATATCTTGCTCTCTACGTACAAGTCCTACATCAAAGAGTTTCCAACTAGTTGTTCAATTTATAGAACAGAGAAAATTAAAATGAGTTCAGCAAGTAAAGCTTGGTTGGTCGCAGCTGCTATTGGAGGTGTTGAGGCATTGAAAGACCAAGGCTTCTGTAGGTGGAACTACACATTGAGATCACTACACCAACATGCCAAGAACCATGTCAGATCGGTCTCTCAGGCCAAGAACCTTTCCTCTTCATCTTCTGCCATGATTTCAAATAAAGTTAAGGAAGAGAAGGCGAAACAGTCAGAGGAGTCTCTAAGAAAAGTCATGTATTTGAGCTGTTGGGGTCCTTACTAGAGCTATGAAGCTAGAAGAAATTAAGGAAATTATAGTGATAGAACTAGTTCTGACGGTTGCGAGTTTGATGTAAATTGTAAATTTTGGTGCCAATCAAATCTATATGGATTTTGGATAAATTTTTGTTCATACCATTTATTCTATAGTTTCTGTTTTCAATTTCTTTTGGTAGCTCCATTTCCTCTTCTTTTTCAAAATAAATCTTAAACAAAGTAGACACCATTTGCTAAAAGTATTTGGATCATTTGGCGACCGACTACCAAATATTAAACTGAAATGTCAATTCTGACTTCGTCAAACAATAGAAATCAAAATTCTATTTCAGCACTAAATTTTTAATTGACTGAACTACATTAATAAGCTGTCATTGTTGGATTAAAATCTGATCTTCTTTTCGACCAACAGATATTAATTTTCTTCACGTGAAAATTTCTGTACTTGCAAGATTTTTTTTTTTTTCAAGAAACTTGGAATGTGACACAAAGGATGAACCTTGAGCCAAGAAATCAGTATTTTCTACCGATTTGAGTAAGGTATTATATATTAAATCTAACAAAGTTATGTAAAAGAAATTCATTAGGCATAACTAAATCTTAATGACATTGTTGAGTGACCAGAAAATGTTTACTAAAATAACAAAATCAATAGTTCATGTCGTTTCTGCATCAAAGTTTTTCTGGATGACCTGTGGTCTGCAATATGATGCCGATTAAGTAGAACTACAGAGTGCCTTGAGAATGGAAAAATTGGTGTTTTTGCGACACCTGCAATGAACCTTATTATTGTCTTCAGCAAGTACAGTATTTTCGTTGGTTTGAGCACAGATGTCAAGACAAATGCTAAAATTCTATCCTTCTAGCCCCATTCTTGAAGAAAAACTTGTGGGTTTTCCTCCTATACTTGGGCTCAATTTGGATTTTTATAAAGCAAAACCGTGTGCCTTTTACTAAACTAGTCCCACTCAAGTTTGTCATCATCGAAAATGCTAAAAAAGTAAAAATCACCCTTTTTTTTTTTTTCTCATTTGTATTTTAGGCCACCAACTGGCTTTCCTAGACATTGAATCCATCCCCTCCTAGCATAACGCCACTAAAATAATACCATTGACGGCTTTCTTTTAAGCCAAAACCACCAGCAACAGCTTGCTGCTAGCTTCTGGTTTTCCTCCAAACTTCTGGTACCTTTTTTTGCACTTAATTACCTGCTCTATATAAGAGGACCCCTGCTTGCTAAATACCCCATCAAGCACAAATCCTCAATTACATCTCATCTTGTTCAACTGAAAATTGTCCCTTTCTTTTGTTCTAGTACAAAGAAAGAAATAGAAAAATGAGTTCAACAAGCAAAGCTTGGGCGGTAGCCACTAGTATTGCAGCTGTGGAGGCCTTGAAAGATCAAGGATTTTGCAGATGGAACTACACAATAAGATCATTACATCAACATGGCAAGAACCAAGTGATGTCAATGTCTCAGGCCCAGAAGCTATCTTCTCCAACTTCTACTGTGGTTTCAACTAAAGTAAGAGAGAACCAAAAAGCAAAGCAGTCGGAGGAGTCACTGAGGAAAGTCATGTACTTGAGTTCTTGGGGTCCTTACTAAACTAGACGAACAACAGTCATCATATTTCCAGTTTATTTACCCAAAAAATAGATGTTAATTGTAAATTTTGATCCACTGAATATCAGACCAGACCATATTATTTTTGCATAAAATTTTGATTACACCATTTATTTTACAATTTCTACTTTCCCATTACTTTGATAGCTATTCATTTTTTATTTTTTTTTAAAGGAAGCTCTCCATTTTCACCAGTGAGAAAAATTAACAGGTCCAATTTCAGTGCATAATTAAAAATAAGCTCACTAATTAGACAATTGAATTTTAAAAGATTAAATATTTGTAAAATGAATTCATAAGTTAAAACTAAATTCCAGAGTAATTAATTTTCTGTAAAATAAGAGAGTTAATTTGATTAATTCTCTGACTTGATCGATATCAAGTTTTTTTTTTTTCATTCTAATATTAATAAATAACCACTACTATATATTAATTTATTTAAAATTAAAAAAAACATTTTAAAATATTAAATCTCTATAAAATGAATTCATAAGTTACAACTAAAGTTTGGAGTAATCAATGTTTCTTAAATTAAGAGAAAACAATTTGTTTTCTGCTCAAAGTTCATGTCTTTTCTGCATCAAATTTTTGGAACAGCATTTCATCTACGGTGAAAGCAGTTAGTGCCTGAGAGTTGAGAACTTGGGTTTTCGTGAGGTGAAACATTATTGTCTTCAGAAACTAGTCCTGTATTTTTCCTGGATTTAGAAACGCCAAGACAAATGCTAAAACTCTATCCTTCTAGCCCCACTATTGAAGAGAAAACAAGAAACTATTATTTGCCCCCAATACTTGAGGCTCAATTTGGATTTTTATAAAGCAAAACCACTTGCCCTTTAGTGAACAAAGTCACACACTAGCATTGTAATGATCGAACATGTTCAAAAGTTTTAAAAAAATCCATCTCTTGATGTTTGGGATAATTGCATTATAAAAAATTAAAATGAATTAAAAATTAGTAAAAATGATTAAATAATTAGTTTTTGAAACTAAAAAGATTAATTAATTTGAAGGAAATATAATATTATTTTGGTACCCAAGTTTTAAAATCATGTTTTTGTCCTCGTTTTCAAATAGGTTTCAAATTCAAATCTCTTTTTATAAGTTAAAAAGCAAAACTAGAGATATCATTATACTCCTTGCCTCTTTTTCTACGTGTAAATCAGTTTTTTGTTTATTTGTTTCATTCCAGCTAATAGTGAAAAAATAATACTAATGGAAAATTCTTTCCAATATCACTTTATAAACTGTTCATTAAATTTATGGAATTTATTAATAAATCCAACTTGTTTAATACTTGCAGCAAAAATTAGCATTAATCAATAGTGGATCAACTGGAAAGTGATTCTGAGAAAGCAAGATATAGCACAAACTGCTCTTTGTTTTGGCTAAAAGGAATTAAACAACTAGAATTAATTCCTATGCTTCCTGGCTTAGCTGGATTTTTATAAGGAAAGAAAGAAAAAAACCATGCAAGTTTCCTAGAGAGTCCAGCTACTTGAATTAATAGAAAAATGGAAAACACAGTTCCATGCGTGTGAGTCTCCAGTAATATGGCATGTGGCATTACCCACTTCAGCTCACCTCCTGTACTTAATTTGGACTTGGTTGGATTTTACGTGTGCTCAGGAGAAGGTAGAAAAAGGGTTGATTTGTCATGATCAGATAAAGAAATCATACCGATCCAAAACCCCATTTTATCCCAACTTCTTTAATGACAGAAAGTGGTTTACTTATTGACGAAAGAGACATCTCCTCGTAAAAAATACCATGGGCATTTGCTGGTTTCCTTACTCAAAACCACCAGTAAGAAGCCTCAGCCTCAGGTTTTTTCCTAGACTTTTGGCACTGGCACCTATATAAGCAAAACCCACCTTACCATTTGCTTCATCAAAACATTGCTTCTGATATCTTACAATCTCTACGTACAAATCCTACGTCAAAGAGTTTCCAACTAGTCGTTCAATTTTATAGAACAGAGAAAATTAAAATGAGTTCAGCAAGTAAAGCTTGGTTGGTGGCAGCTGCTATTGGAGGTGTTGAGGCCTTGAAAGACCAAGGCTTCTGTAGGTGGAACTACACATTGAGATCACTACACCAACATGCCAAGAACCATGTCAGATCGGTCTCTCAGGCAAAGAACCTTTCTTCTTCATCTTCTGCCATGATTTCAAATAAAGTTAAGGAAGAGAAGGCGAAACAATCAGAGGAGTCTCTAAGAAAAGTCATGTATTTGAGCTGTTGGGGTCCTTACTAGAGCTATGAAGCTAGAAGAAATTAAGGAAATTATAGTGATAGAACTAGTTCTGATGGTTGCGAGTTTGATGTAAATTGTAAATTTTGGTGCCAATCAAATCTATATGGATTTTGGATAAATTTTTGTTCATACCATTTATTCTATAGTTTCTGTTTTCAATTTCTTTTGGTAGCTCCATTTCCCCTTCTTTTTTCAAAATAAATCTTAAACAAAGTAGACACCATTTGCTAAAAGTATTTGGATCATTTGGCTACCGACTACCAAATATTAAACTGAAATGTCAATTCTGACTTCGTCAAACAATAGAAATCAAAATTCTATTTCAGCACTAAATTTTTAATTGACTGAACTACATTAATAAGCTGACATTGTTGGATTAAAATCTGATCTTCTTTTCGACCAACAGATATTAATTTTCTTCACGTGAAAATAGCTGTACTTGCAAGATTTTTTGTTTTTTTCAAGAAACTTGGAATGTGACACAAAGGAGGAACCTTGAGCCAAGAAATCAGTATTTTCTACCGATTTGAGTAAGGTATTATATATTAAATCTAACAAAGTTATGTAAAAGAAAGTCATTAGGCATAACTAAATCTTAATGACATTGTTGAGTGACCAGAAAATGTTTCCTAAAATAACAAAATCAATAGTTCATGTCGTTTCTGCATCAAAGTTTTTCTGGATGACCTGTGGTCTGCAATATGATGCCGATTAAGTAGAACTACAGAGTGCCTTGAGAATGGAAAAATTGGTGTTTTTGTGACACCTGCAATGAACCTTATTATTGTCTTCAGCAAGTACTGTATTTTCGTTGGTTTGAGCAGATGTCAAGACAAATGCTAAAATTCTATCCTGCTGGCTCCATTCTTGAAGAAAAACTAGTGGCTTTTCCACCTATACTTGGGCTGAATTTGGATTTTTATAAAGCAAAACCGTGTGCTTTTTACTAAAGTAGTCCCACTCAAGCCTTGTGATGATCGAAAATGCTAAAAAGTAACCCACTAAAATAATACCACTGGCTTTCATTTGAGCCAAAACCACCAGCAACAGCCTTCTATCTGGCTTCTGGTTTTTCTCTAAACTTCTGGCCCCCTTGTTTTGCGCTTATGACTTACCTAATCTCTATATAAGCACATCCCTGCTTGCCATTTGCACCATCAAACACAAATTCTCAATTACATTGCATCTTTTCAACTAAAACTTGTCCATTTTTTGTGGTTCTAGTACAAAGAAAGGAAATTAAAAAAAAAAAATGAGCTCAACAAGCAAAGCTTGGGCTGTAGCCACTAGTATTGCAGCTGTGGAGGCCTTGAAAGATCAAGGATTTTGCAGGTGGAACTACACAATAAGATCATTACATCAACATGGCAAGAACCAAGTGAAGTCAATGTCTCAGGCCAAGAAGCTGTCTTCTCCAACATCTACTGTGGTTTCAACTAAAGTAAGAGAGAACCAAAAAGCAAAGCAGTCAGAGGAGTCACTGAGGAAAGTCATGTACTTGAGTTCTTGGGGTCCTTACTAGCTAGTTACTAAACTACTAGCAGAGGAACAATGTTCATGGACACAATCAAAGGGTTTCCAAGAGAGAATTTTTTGGACAGACATGACAAGGCCAACTGCTTAATTATAGAGATCGAACCCATCAGCTCAACCAGATTCTGCATGTTCTAGCGATAGTGTTTCCAAGGAATATAGCAGTTGAATGAATTGCTAAATGATGGGAGAAAATTTTCTTGATTTCTGCAAGTTGATATAAATTGTAAATTTTGGTGGTAAATATAGAGTGAAAAAAATATGATTATCTAATCTACTTTTTCTCATAGTAATATTCATCTACTTGTGGCAAATCAAGTCAAATTATAAAACAAAAATAAGGCAAACTTTATTCACCAACCCAACCTTACAAAGAGACTAATTCAAAAAATTCGGGATAAAAAATAACGAAATCATTAAGAGTAAAGGATAAATTTATCACCATACTCTCGAGTCTCGATGAGTCTCCAAACAAAAGGAGTTCTTAATTGGATCCTCCATCTATTCAAAATTTATGTGAAAAAACGACATCTTTTTAAAATACTGTAATTTTACACTCATAAAAGAAATGATATGTTACTGTTTAAATACCTAATAAAAAACTAAAAGAAATGATATGTTACAGTTTAAATACTGTAATTTTACACTCATAATCATTGTAGACTGTGATTTATTTGCACTGTTCTAGCTTTTTGCTTCGTCTCGGCCGTTCGATCGTCTTCTGCTTTGGCTTTCTCTTTCGATCTCCACCGTCTTTTTTTGGATGCCCCATTTAATGCCTTGCATTAACTGTGCGGTGTGATTGAAATTTGTTTCAACGCCTCTTTTGTCCCTTTTGATTGGATAATTTTTATCCAGCATACTATGTTATTTAATGTTTTTATTTTTCAAATGTACTTTTAAACTTCTATCCTTAGAAATGGAGCCTGTTACCATGTTGTCATCAAGTTTTTTTTTTTTTTTTTCTCATTTTCTTTCTTTCTCCAAGGTGAGTTCGTGGTGGCAGAGGGCCCCATCGTCCCTTCTTCTTGTGTTTACTACAAAAACTTAATCACACATTAAATATTTTAAGAATAATATTATATGACATCAATAGTATTAAAAAAAATTATTATAATTTTATAAAGATAATATTTTCTTAAAAGAATATAAAGAATTATATTTTATTTTAATGAATATTATGTCATTTAATATTTTTATTTTTTAAATTTATCTCTAAATCATTTTATTTTTGAAAATATTATTTATCACCGTGATATATCAAGTATTTTTCATATTTCAATGTGCTATCCTATCATCATGAGGCGATAAATGCATTTTTGGACTGCCACAGCAAGTATATACCAGACTCCTACCCCATAATTTTCTGGAAAAGCCAAAACTTCCGACCTTGGAAAAGTCAAATTGCCCTCTAACAAGGTCACCGATAATAGGCTCTAATTCTCGCTTCTTTTCCGTACGTAATTGCATGCCACAAATGATTGAAAAATGGCTCTCAAATTTTTGTTTGCTGGACAATAATTTCATTGATATTTAGTAATGTTTGTTTTGCGCAAAATATTTACATGTTACACAAAATAATTTTTTTTATGATGTTTAATAAGTATTAACAATATCGAAAATATGATGATAGTGAAATAATGATGATGAAGGTGATAATAGTGCTGAAAATGACAAATGGGTCTCTTTTTTTGTTTTATTTTGATCACTTTGCTCTTTTTTTTATTTTTCAATAAAAAATTTTAAGGTAAAAAAATGGTTTAAAAAAACTACAAAATAAGTTTTTAGTTAAGAATACATTAGTTTTAATATTCTTTATATTATTAAATAATTTTTAGATAAAAAATTTATGAAAAATATAAAAAAAATCAGTCAAATACAAAATTTTGATTAAAAATTTTATATATTTTTTATTTGATGTATATTGATAGACGTACAATATAACATGAGATATTAAAATAAAATAATTTTTAAAAATAGTTTTATATATTTTGTTCGATTCATAGCGTAGCGCGAATGAAAAATCTAGTATGTAACTAAAATTTGAAGTATTTTTAGTTATATTGAATTTATTGAAAACTCACGAAATCTTTACAAGCTCTCTTCTACATAGTAATTCAGGTTGGTAATTAAATAAAAAATAAAATATTTACTCATACAACTTATTTGAGAGAATTTTTACAGAGATTAGAGAAGGCCTATGCCAACTATTACAGAGATAGTTTAACAGACTTGTAATATCTTGAAGTCCATGGATTTCAAAAGATCTTGAATTCGGAATCTCCTTCTCCATGATTGAAGTCCATGGATTTCAAAAGAATACTTTTGTAGTGGGAGACATGGATAAGCAATATGATAGATGTTTTTAACTTCTGATAATTGCGGTGAACAACTGTAAAGAGGTATTTATTAGAATCTCTCTTGTATGAATGTTGATATGATGAGAATTCGATTCCATGACAATCATCCTCATTTTGTATGGTATGGCTATTTCATCGGAATTAGTCTTGATAGAACCAGCTGCTGAAGTAATCTTATAGACTATTTGGGCAATTTGGGTTGGAAAAGGACACAAGCTTAATAGAGTATTTTGACTTGTTGTCTTCAATTTGCATATTCAATGGATCCACCTAGCCAAAATTCACTATTTTTTTCCTACAAGATCATGTCTACAACATTTAAGGATGTTCATTAGGTTTTTTTATTTGGGTTTGTAATATTTCGGTTAACTAACTTACAAAATAAACAATCAAATTCAAACCGAATAATAATTTGGCTTTTCGGTTGAAATACCGAAATTTTAGGTTTTTTTTATTCAAACCGTTTTTTTTATTTTTTTAAATAATATAAATAGACCAAAAATATGTTCAATCCATCATATATCTATAACAATTTTAAGTTATTGAGTTTTTGATTTATTTCTATTATTTTAAAACTTTAAAAATCAGAAAACAAATTTCAAAAATTAAAAATAAAATTCTGTTTTCAGTTTAAAACAAACCCAAAATCTAAAAAAAAAAACATAAATTACAAAAATAATCAAAATTATATTTCAATTCGATTTAATTCAATTTTATTATTTAAATTGAATACTAAACACTCCTAATAATATTGCAAACATAAATTTATTTTCAATCATCATTCAAGATGAAGTTTAACAAATTAGAGTTCAATTTAATAAAAATTGATTTTGAGTTAATAATCTTGAATTGTAAATAACTTTTTAAGGTTAAATAATGTTTAGGATATATTGTTATGGGGATTTTTTTTATTTTTTTTGGGTTGGGGGGGGGGGGGGGAGGTTGGAGGAAGAATGATTGAAAGTGAAAAAACAGTGATCGTAAACTAAATTCTATTAAAACGAAAAAAAAGACTAATCCAAAATTTTTAAAAAATTCGGGACAAAAAAAATAATGAAATCCTTAAGAGCAAACGATAAATCTATCACCATACTCTCGAATGTGTCTCCGAACAAAAAAAAGCTATCAATTGGATCCCCCATTTATCGAATAGTACCCAATTAATCCACACCTTTAAAATTTATGCGAAAAAAAAAGGAAGAAGAAGAAAAAAGATTTCTTTTTAAGACAAATAAGTCCTTAATTTTTTACTGAGGGAAAATTTTTAATACAAGGCATAATCATGTAATGTAGAATAAATAGGGAACTCAAATGGGAAATGTTTTTGTTTGAGGACCCAACTGAAAACTTGTTGATATTTTGGGTGAAAAACTGTCTTTTACTCAATCTTTAGTTTTGATTCAGGGCAAGGGGTTTATGTTCCAATGGATGTTATTATATCCTAGTAAGCTCTGTAAAATGAATCAGAGTCACCATAACTAAAATTTGGAGCATTTTAGTAAAAATAAGAGTAAATTACAATCTGCTGGTCATATAGTTGTTGTCATAGTTTTAAATCATGAACAAATAAAAAAATAATTGTAACCGTAATCACTAATTGTGACATATTATAATATTAAAATAATAATAATAAAATATTTTAAAATTATTATATAACAATCGTTATTTAAAATTATTTGTTTTTTTATATCATTAGTTTGAACTTATGGTTGCACTAAGAAAATGTGATTTCTTAATTGAGATAATTTGAGGAAAGTTCTGTCTCCATTGACAAGTAAACTTCTTACCATTAAAAAAAAAAAAATGTTGTCATAAAGATGTAGAGTGGCATCAGCACCTGTCAATGAGAGATAAGATCTTGTTTTGGTGACATATGCTATGAAATGTATGGTAGACGTAGACAAATGCCCATATCGTATCCGTCTTCTAGCCTCTCCATTATTTGAAAACAACTGCACTTGATCCAAAAATACTTCAGACTCGATTGGATTTTTTTCATATAGCAAAACCTTGTGCTTATCAGTAATAAATCACATTCTAGTCTTGTCACGATCTAAGCGTTCTTGAAACGTCATTTTCTATAGCTGCAAGTTGTTGACATTAACAAATCTTATCTTATGATCTAGAGTACAAAATAAGAATTTAATTTCGATTAGTATAAAAATTAAAATGAATTAGAATCCAATTAGGTCATAATAAATTTCGATTCTATATATTTAATAAAATAAATTAGATTGAATTTTATAAATTTGGATATAGTTTTAAAAATATGAAATTGAATTTGAATCTTAATAGAATCGGATCGAATCCTGAGTTTAATTGAATTTATTATTTGATTTTTATAAAATAAATTATAATTACTATATTTCATATATTATTCGAATATAAATATGTATTTCAACCCATACATATATAATAAAATATATTAAAATAATATTTTATTTATTGATTTTGTAAAAAATTCAAAATATAACACAATTCAAAAATATAAAATCAAATAATCTCAATAAAAGTTTATCTTAAACTAAATAAAAAATATGATAAAACTAAAAAAATAAAAAATAAATAATCTTTATTTCTCATCCACGTTGTGGTAAAAATAGAATGATGACAAATATATTAACATCAAGTCTTAAATATATATATAAATTAATTTATAATTTTTTCAACAAAATTGAATTTTATACTTGATTTTTTGAAAATATTGTCGTCACTATTGAAAGATATGCGTTATTTGAACTTTATAATAAATAAACTCTAAATTTCAATCTAATTTCATATTTATATATTTTTTTATATTTAAATTTTTATTATTTTAAAAAATATTATTTTTTATTTCAAATCAGATTATTATCAGATCTGATTAATTTAGATCTTGATTTAATCCATTTAATAAATTGATTAATAAATTCAGATCATAATTAAATTCGAATTAAAAAAATTATTTACTATATTCATTTAATAACATCAAATTTGAAATAAGATGTAATCCATTATGGCTCTACCTACTGCCGCAGACGTATAAAAAAAGAAAAAAGAAAAAAAAATCAAATCCTAACGCGACCCCACATAATAAAAAACAAAACAAAGAAACGTCTCATCGGCTTGCACTTTGTCAAAACCAGCAGCATCATCTTGATTCTTCAGGCTGCGGCTAGCTTCTGGTTTTTTTCGTACTCTGTATATAAGAAACCTCTGGCTTACCATTTCCACCATCAAACACAAATCCTCAATAGATTATATCCCATCTTTCTGAACCAAAAGAGAGTCCATTTCATTGGTTCTAGCGTAAAGAAAAGAACAGAAAAATGAGTTCAACAAGTAAGGCTTGGATGGTGGCTTTTAGTATAGCAGCCGTGGCGGCAATGAAAGATCAAGGATTTTGCAGATGGAACCACACAATAAGATCGTTACACCAACATGCCAAGAACAAAGCAAGGTCTATCTCTCAGGCAACGAAGTCTTCTCCAACTTCTACTGTGGTTTCAAGTAAAGTAAGAGAAAATCAGAAAGCAAAGCAATCAGAGGAATCGCTGAGGAAAGTCATGTACTTAAGCTGTTGGGGTCCCTACTGATGACAAAGAACAAACTGCTTGTACAGAACCCATCAAAGATTTTGATTAGCTAAAGATTAGATTCTTCTCCTGGACTGTCAATTGTGCTTCAATCTATTGTAATTAAAATGAATTTCTGAATGATTAGAGATCATATCTATTTTAATTTATTTTTCTGTCTTGAACAATGCAAATTTTAGATTTTTTTTTTTTATCAATTCTGTACAATATAAGTCTACAGAGTTCGATTTGGTTAAAAAATTGAATTATTCATGCCATGATTAGAAAATTTCTATAAATTTTCCCAACTTAATTATATTTGAATTCTGAGTGGGATCTTGGGCATCAAAGCTTTGGACAATTTGTATTTAGCTCAGGCTCATGTTCATAATTTGTAGTGTCATGATCTGTTCTATGGGATTTTGGGCTAAGAGCTGCTCTAGGCATATGACAAAGGAATCTAAGAAAATATATGCATTTGAAGATCTTGTTCAAAAGATTAAATTATAAATTAGTATATTTAGTTTTGCAAAACAAATTAGTTAATTAATTCCTTAACTAAGATTGATTATATTGATTTAATATTATTTTTTCTCATCAATCTTTTCATATTTTATTTATTTATTAAAACTGAAAAAAAAACTAAATTGAAAAAGAATGAAAAAGATTAAATTATAAATAGAATTAAAAGAATAAGGACTAATTAATTAGTTATTAAAACTAAAAAAAAACTATTTAATTCCTTTCAAAAAATTAAAGAGACTAATATATAATTTACTGCTGTTCAAAATTACGAAAACTATACAAAAATAACTTTAATAATAATAAAGGTCGACCATTCATTTGGCTTCGTATGCCTAATGCATTTAGAAATTGAAAAGAACAAATTACAATTTTCAGTATATTTCTAATGTAAATAACTCTCTGTCTCTCCCTCTGTTTTTTTTTTTTAAGAGAAAAGGAGTTACTCTTTTCATTTTATTAAAATGATAATTAACTCTATTGTTTTATTAACCTTAGTTTTATTTTAAATATCAATAATATCCTTTTATGTTGAAAATGATCAGTTGATAAGGTATAAATAGGAAATTTGAGTATAAAATAAAAGATAAATTCGATGACCAATGTCCACTAATGATGAGAAGACTGAAATAATTATAATGTATGGAAAGGAAACGACAATCCCTTTCTTCCTCAGAATGAGTATATTTACTCCTATTTATATGTATTTTAAAATGTTTTTTTTTAATCAAAATTTTAAGCAGTAAAACATCTTTAATTAAAGTTTACTTTACAAAATTGTTCAAATACAATTGTAATATATATATATATATATATATATATATATATATATATATATATATATATATATATATATATATATATATATTGTTATAAAATAAATAGAAATAATAGAAGAATTGAAAAAAAGGATGACAAGAAAATGAAATCACTATAATGTGAATATAAGTGATAAGAACTTCAAAATTTATCTTATTCTCTCTAGGAAACGTGTACACCAACTAATGAACAATCAAGCCTATTTATAAGCTTCAAAATTAAGGAGAGAATTGAAAAGGACTATGAATACTCAATTACATCATCCTTTCAATTTCTCATATTGAATGATGAATTGAATCATATTAAGAATCATGAGTAGTGAGGATATGAAAAGTTGATGAACATGATGATGGACATTCATTATTTCTTAACACTCTCCCTCGAATGTCCATTGTACAAGGAACATGCCTCGTTAAAACATTACTAGGAAAAAAACCCAATGGGAAAAAATTCCTAGTGAAGGAAAAAGAGTACAATATTTCTTGCACACATTAATCCTCATTCCGGTCTCCCCTGTTGAAGGCATTATTTAAGATCTTTAAGATGATGCATTCCAATCTTGCGAATCATCTTCTCAAAAGTTATGATAGGTAATGCTTCGACGAATAAATCCGTTAGATTGTCACTTTGATGTATTCCGCCTTCAATGGAATTATGCAAGTAACATTATCCTCATATGATATTGTTGGAACTTCTTTTCGTTGGTAGATAAATTGCATGTCTCTCGGATACGATGGATCGTTGGTATTAGCCAAACACATTCTCGACTTACCTTGTGAATTGATATTTCTACATGATTTAAAGATGTAGCAGCTATAGTTTGCTTCATAGAACACCAAGATATAACCGTATCTTCATATGTAAATATATAACCAGTTGTGATCGAGCTTTGTGTAGATCGGATAAATAACTCGCATATGTATAACCAATTAATCTTATTTTTGATTTATTGAAGTAATATAAGCCCATATCAATTATTCCTAGAAGATAATATAGTATATATTTAACTTTATTTTAATGTCTCTATATTGAAACGAAACTATGACTTGTTAACAAATTTACGTAAAAGACTATATCGAGTCGAGTATTATTAGCAAGATACATCAATGCATCGAGTAGTACTAAAATATGATACTTCGGGACCAAGTAGTTCTTCGTTATCTTCTCGAGGTCGAAAATGATCTTTTTAGATATCAAGTGAATGAACTACCATTGGGCTAGTCAATGAATGATCTTTATATAGAATCATTGTAGAATCTTTTTCTATATAAATAGACTCGATGAATGAAAATCTCATTTTCCGAGTGCTCGAACTATAGGTTGAGATGGTATTTTGTTTTCTCAAAATATTCACATCAAATTCTCTTTTTAGGTAACTTATGACACTTGGAATCTCTTCGGGAGTTCCAATAATATCTAAGTTATCAACATATACAACAAATCCCTTTTCAAATAACAATATATGAACAAATAGGATTATTTTTTATAACTTTCTTTCAATAAATAATTATTCAAGTGATTATATTACATGCACATGGGTTAGTAATAAGAAGTAGATACAAAAATAAAATATAAAAAGTATAATATAAATTGAATTTCTAAAAACTAAAATAATAAAACAAATACTAAAATAATCCTAATAGAGATCTTTATAATTTAATTGAATTCTTATCTCGAGAATATATATTACATGCTTCGGCATGTTAAGTCATTCTAGGACTTTCATACTGATTCATTTCAAATGAATAAGTAAATTGTGATCATATTTATTAAATACATACATTTGAATGTTTTTCATATATTTTACCGAGCTAATGAGATAATAAAATATAATTACATCCATTATAGGAGAATATGTCTCCTCATAGTCAATGTAAGTTTTTTGCAAAAACTCTTGTGCTTGAAAGTTTTCTTTTGTATCTTATAATCTCTTCTTTCTTATTTCGTGTCCGCATAAATACTTATTTGTATCCCACTAGCTTAACATATTCGAGTATTTTAGCTATAGGTTCAAAAAACTACTATTTTATAAGAGAATATAATTCCGCCTAGATTGCTTTTTTTATTTAGGCCAATCATCTTTATGTCGACATTCTTCAATAATTTAGGCTCGGGATCCTTATTTTCATCCATAATATCAATTGCAATATTATATGTAAAAATCTTATCAATAGATGTTTCTTTTCGGTCCTATTTTCTCCCCGTATTGACATAATTTATCAAAATCTCTTGATTTTTCTCAAGTATTTGGACTTCTTCGAAAGCCTATTATCATAAATATATTGGACCATTTATGAATATTTTCATCTTGCTCTTTTCTTTTAGAGATTTTTATCTTTAGAACCGATCAGTCTTCCACGCTTTAGGCATGCTTTAGATTCATTAGTTATAACATTAATAGACCGCCCTTCTAGGACATCAATTCTAATAGGAGTATTCTTAGCAGAGACATGCATTTTAGTTACTCATTAAGATCCGAGAATGCATCCGACGGTTGGTTTCAATACTCGGTAAATGAATTATCTTTTGAACTTCTAGTTCACATTATCTTCGACAAGAATCAAGGTGATATAAGATAGAGTACTCCATATAATTTTTTTTCCAATATTTCCAACTCGCTTATTTTGCTTATTCTCTCCCCTAATGTTGAAAAAACTATTTCATCAAAATGACGAGTCGATAAATCAAGCTCGTAAAAATTTCCTTTTGTTCATGAATCAAGAGATTGAATTATCGAAGATGATTCATATATTCTCAATCTCTTTTAAGTGCTCATTTTATTTCATTATAGAGGAGCACTAAGGATATACACTACAATACAAAAAATTCTTAAATAAGAAATAATTGGCTTATGACCATAAATCAATTAAAAGAGGAGAGAATTTCGATAACTTATGGGTCATATGCGAATGAGTGTCGTCGCATGTAAGATTGCATGTCCCCAAACATAAACGAGGAGTTTTATTTTTAAATAATGGTTTAGCTATCAATTGGAGCCTTTTAATAAATGATTTTGCTAAACCTTTTTGAGTATGAATATGAGCAACAGGATGTTCAACGTACCAATCAATAATAATCTAATGCTTGAGAAATAAATTCATCGACATTATCAAGGTGACTTGTTTTAATGGCATAATTTAAAAATTATGCTCAAAATCAAATTATTTGCTAGCAATCTCGAAAACGTTAGGTTTCGAGTAGATAATAAGCATATATGTGACCATCTTGTGGACGCATTTATCAAAATCATAAAATATTTAAATGGTTCACATGGTGGATGAATTAATCTACATATATCACCTTGAATACATTTTAAAATACTGGAGATTCAATCTCAATTTTACTTGATGATAGCTTAATCATCAATTTGTCTTGGAAACATGCGAACATGAAAGTTCATTAAATTGAAGAATCTTCTAGCTCTTCAATAGATATTCATATAAATTTTTTAATAATTTTTTCGCATCATGAAAAACCTAAGATAACACAACTGGTCATGTCACATAGTAAAAGTATTTGAATTAGTAAACTTTTGATTTACTATAATATTTATTTCAATCATTTCAATGTTTGTAATAAAGATTAGAAAAGAAAATGGATAAATTTTTTTGATAGATATTTTCTACTCGATATAATGATTATAACATATAAGTATTCACATTTGCTATCATGATATGATATCAATTCGGATGAATATCTTTGAAACTTAACAAATTTCTATGAGACTTTGAAGAGAATAGTTTATCATTCATAATAAATTTATCCTTTTAGATAATAACATATTTGCTCTTCTAGAGCCTTTAAATCAATCACTTCAAGTAATAATATCGACTCTTCTAGAGCCTTTAAACATTTTCTCTTCAAGTAATAATTTATTCACTCTTTTAGAGCTTCAAAAATTTATCTCTTTAAGTCATGATATAATCGCTCTTCTAGAGCCTTCAAAATCTATCTTTTTAGATAATCATATAGTCGCTCTTCTAGAGCTTTCTATTGATTGATATTATCATATATAATATTAACATAAAATAAATAATTAAATAAATCAATACAAAATAAGTAAATCAATATATGCCTCATAAATATAAACAAATAAATAAATAGTAAAATAAATTTGTAACCATCAATATATGACATAAATTATAAGAAATATAAAATGTTTTATTTATAAGTAGAAAAACTAACAAGTAATTAATTTCAATTACTATTACTTTGATATATAAAAGTGGCATTAATATTTGACTCTTTACTTTTCAATAAGGCTTGACAAGCCTCAATGAGATGCTTTGGTATACGATAAGTACATGATCAATATTCATTCATTCCACATATATAATATTTATTTTTCAGAATACCGACTTTATCTATATTTTTTTTCATAGTCATCCACTTCGGTGGTGAGATGTAATATTATGGTCATTACGATTATAATCATAATTATTTCAACTATATCCATGGCTATGACCACATCTTCATCCATGTCTAAAATTATTATAAATTGTCATATTCACTTTAGGGAATGGAATAGATCCAATTGGATGAGATTTATTCTTTTTTATTTTATTTAGCCACTAACAAGTATAAAACCGATCCAAAATATTTGTTAAACTCTTTTTCTCGATATGCTACCGTAGGAGCATATCCAAGGCATAAAAAATAGATAATATTTTTTCAAAATCAAGCACTCATAATCAATAATTCTTATTCAAAATATCAAGAGTCACCAATTCAAGTTTATGAGGTTTGATATGATAAAAATTATATAATATAATATATAATAATAATATTAGAAAATAAGAACAAATATAATAATAAAATTAAAGCTTTTCAAATAGCATATATTAGATTATTAATAGATCATTTAAGTTTTTCAAATATATATTTCATGTATCAATAGATTTAAAGTACTTGAATAAATTAGATACATACCTCTTAATGATCTAAATAATTTAGATCTTTTGGTAGAGCACTTGTGTAGAAGAAATCCAATTGTTGAAACAATTGATTAAATCTTTTGATAGATACATATCTCATGGTCTATTGTCTCGATTGGTTAGAGCTTCGTGCCGATAACGTGTTATAAAATAAATAGAAATAATAAGAGAATTGAAGAAAAGGATAACAAGAAAATGAAATCACTATAATGTGAATATAAGTGATAAGAACTTCAAAGTTTATCTTATTCTCTCTAGGAAACTTGTACACCAACTAATGAACAATCAAGCCTATTTATAGGCTTCAAAATTAAGGAGAGAATTGGAATGGACTATGAATAATCAATTGTATCACCTTTTCAATTTCTCATATTGAATGATAAATTGAATCATATTAAGAATCATGAGTAGTAGAGATATAAAAAGTGGATGAACATGATGATGGACATTCATTATTTCTTAACATATATATAAGAAAAATATAAAAAAATAAAAATCTAACATAACAATTAATAAACTTATTAATCTATGTCAAAAATCAAAACAATCTGTTTAGAATGGAAAAAAATAGATTTTTCGATTGTATTATAATATTACATATATGGATCGAGCCCCATATGTTAAACCTTAAATGGCACGTCAATTAAATAAATAATATATAAATTGAAAATGAATTATTATTTTTAAATACTAATTTCTCACAATGAAATCCAAATTAACTATTAAATAAAAAATGAAATCCCGGATAATTTGAATTTTTTTTATTAAAACCCTAATTTTTTTTCGTTAAATTTTAGAGTTTTACTTTTATGTTTTTGTTAATTCGGACCCTAACATGTCATATAAGCACATGTGGTAAGTTTTAGCCAATGATAGCTTGCTACGTAAGAATTTTTTTTTTAAAAAAAGTCAATTTAGGCCCACCATAACATGTGGCAAGTTGTCATTAGTTAAAGCTTACCACGTGTATCCACGTAGTATATTAGTATTTGAAACAACAACAACAACGTAAAAATAGAACTTTTAAATTAAAAAAAATTAATATCTCGATAAAATTTTTTTTTTTTGGATCGTACGGATCTTGAAATGAGAAAAACCCAATAAATAATATCCTATTTTTCAGTTACATTTGAGTCTTCTTGTCTTTAACTTCTCCACTTTGTCGCTGCCTAAAACATCCATGAAAAGGAAACGACAATGCTTTCTCCCTCAATTCTAGGCTGAAGAGAAACAAAAAGTGCCGCTGGTAAGAATAAACCAAAGGCTTAGATTTGGCCAAAACCATAAGCCAAGTTGTAACTGCTTTCAGTTTGTTCCTCTCTGTATAAATAGCCCATCCATGATTTGCTAAGTTGTAAATCCTTGCATCGTTCTACAATGAGTTGGAAGAGCAAAGTTTGGACCGTCGTGGGCAGTGTAGCAGCTGTGGAGGAGTTGAAGGATAGAAATTTGTGTAGGCTCAATTCTTCCATGAAATCCTTGCACCACCATCATGCCATTAACAACATGGCCTCCTCCTCGAAGCCTACTCAATTGGGAAGAGCAGCAGCAGCAGCACCAGCACCAGCACCACCTCCACCAGCAACTACAGCTTCAAAAATTGATTCAAAGAAGAAATGCAAGCAGGCGAAAAGGCTAAATCCATCAGAAGAATCACTTAGAACTGTTATGTACTTGAGCTGTTGGGGTCCCAGCTAAACTAAAATTAAGCAGTAAAATAGAGCCCTTTGAATGGTTCTCACCCCACATGCACATAGATAATTAGAGAAGGAGAGTGTAAAATGATGATCAGGAAGAAGAAACCAATTGTATGTTTATGGCGCTAAAGTAAATAGTCACATATGTCTTGCTATTTCCATGTCAATGCAGCAAACCATATGCATTTCTTCACTCATTTTCTACGCACAGTCAGATGCTACTTGAATCATTTTTTTTTTTTTCTTTTTTATGTTTTTACATAGATGGGGTCAAACCCGTTACAACGAAGCCTGCCAGTGCAAGCTCACAAAGATAATCTAGCCAGCTTATTAATTCTTCACTCATTTTCTACGCACAGTCAGATGCTACTTGAATCATTTTTTTTTTTTTTTTACATAGATGGGGTCAAACCCGTTACAACGAAGCCTGCCAGTGCAAGCTCACAAAGATAATCTAGCTAGCTTATTAAGGCATAGAACTCTAATGGGACTTGTTTCATCAGTAACAATGGCACAAAAATTTAGCACAACTGTCCTTGACGAAATCCAGTTTTGATTTTCCTCTCAATCTCCAAAAAAAAAAAAAAAAAAAAAACTCCGTAAAAATGTTCACAAACGAAATTCTTCGCTTGTATGCCTCTCATTCATAAGGAATGGAACTTTCTAGAGAGAACTCTCTCGCTCTTGTGGGTATATATATATTCCAAAAAAATTGTTTATCTATAAATATATTTATTTATCTTTATATAATATTAAAAAAATTATGTTTTTAATTTTTAATTGTATTCTGTTTATCTTTGAAAATATTTGAAATATTTAATTTGTCATTCAAATCAATTGTTTTTGCTAAATAATTTTCTCGACCAAAATATACTCGACTGAAATACAAAAATAAATAAATAAAATTTTACAGAAATAAAAAATAGAGCATGTATCAATTTTTTTGTTTTTGTTTTTTTTTATATTTTAATAAAGGACATTTAGGTTAAAAAAATTCATAGTTAGAAGATTTGATCGAAATGATGGATTGAACATTTAAAAAAAAATTTTTCAAACGAGATAAAATGCAATTGAAATTCTAAAAATAGATTAAAGATTTTGAGTATTATAAAAAAGACAAATGATTATATTTCTCTTTATTTTATGTGTTTCAAAATGTTTATTTGGTCAACATTTTAAATGGTGTACTTTCATAAAACGCTTTTAATTAAAGTTCATTTTGTAAAAATTGGTCAAATACAATTCTAAAAAAAAATATTTAAAGAAAATATAAACAAAACATGGTGATATAACATAACAATTAATAACTTTGTTATTATTGTGTGAAAAAATCAAAATAATCTCTTTAGAATGGAAAAAAAATGGTTTTTTTAAATTATATTTACTCAATTAAATAAATAATATATAAATTGAAAATGAATCATTCATTTTTAAATACTAAGTACTCACAATGAAATCCAAATTAACTATTAAATTCAAAATATCATGCACAAACGGATAATGCCTTAATTTGGTCACATAAATTGGATTAATTCGTGTAACAATTTTCCTGGATTTCTTGGAATAGTGAAGCTATAACTTTCTTTTTTGTGCTTGTCACTTGCAAGTGATAACTCCAACAATCCTTATCTTAAATTTACTTTTCCATTCTCAAATTGTGCTTAGTGGATTGTTATCATAACACACCTTAACCATGATTATTAGTCCGATGGTGAGGTCCTATGGAATCCAATCCTTCATTGACCATGTCAAAAGATTTGTAAAAGTAAATTAACTTTCTACAAAGGTTGCGTGCTTATAGCCTAGCAAGTTTTCTAGCGCCAAATGCGTATGGTTGGCTAAATCATCGCCTGCAAAATATTTTGAATGAATCACCGAAAAAGAAATCACGGAAGAGATGCTTGTTTCTGACTTATTAGCGAGCATTGATTTATAGACTAAATTTAAGATTCGATCACTCGTAAATACCATTCTTAATAATTTATTTTTAGAATATTTGAAGTCGTGTGTTACATCGCGTGTTAAAGAATGTTTTGTAATCACGTTTAAGAAAAAATTAGTTTTAACGAACGTAAAAATTAGCTTAAAAACATCATTACTGCTAAAAAATGATGGAAGATGGCCACATGGGAGCATCAGTGTGTGTTCCTGTGTTGTTATTTTAATGTTTTCGAACATCATAGCAAATCATGATGTTTTAGATGCTTTCTTCTTTTGGTGAAGTATTTTTATCCATTCTCTTTAAGCTAAAGCCGATTGATTCTTGAAGCAATAAAATTAAAGAAGGTGTCAATTTGGAAGCAAAAGTGAAATCCAATGTTAATTTGAAATAAAAGTGAAGTTTTCTAAATTTTCGCAAAGACAATAATTTTTTTCTTAAAAAGAATAATTAACATCGAGGTTTCTTTTTTTCTTACTATATATATATAACCCTAAAATTGCAAGTGCTAACTAAAAGTTTTCAAATTTCACAAACAAATTGCTTTCATATTTATTTTTAATAAAAAATTTACAAAATTTCCACTTCTTAATTAATAAAAATTTTCTGAAAATGGTTGATAAACAGAAGAGTTTATGTTTAAGTTATTGAAAAGTATGATTATTATCATTAAGAGGTAATTACTATTTATCTACTTGAGTTACCAATAAGAATTATAATTATTCCAAATATATATATATTGTGAACGTACTATGATGCAATCAGGGTAAATTATTACACGTATCTAATTCATTATTAAAATTATGGAACAAATCAAAATAATTTTTTTATTTCATAAACTTTATTTACATTATTTGCCAGAGATGCATTATCAGTTTTTTTATTTTATAATTATAAATATGCAATTAAATATGAAAAGATTCATGATTTACTAAACAGATTTGAAAATTTAGCCAAATAGCTAAAAAAAAATGGAAATATCTAAATAATTGGTACTTTGCAATAAAGTTGGTAGGAAACACTATTATAGCAATTACAAAAGGCTAAACGAATTTAACCACCTCTGAATTTTAAGTCGTTTGACATTGATTTTTTAAAATTTTTAATAGTTTTGAAAATAATTAAAAATTTAATTTTTTTTTAGATTTAACTCATTATTTAGTTTTCTATTATTTATTTCTAAAAATAATAATCACATAAATAGTTTCATAATAGAAATTATTCAATAAAATTTATATGACACTCTTTAAAATATTTAGATCATTTTGGAGTTATTTTTTATTTTTCTTGATTTTTTTGTATTTTAAATATTAAAAAAAACAAATATAGCCTTTTATTTTAAAAAATGGATTAAATATTTTTCAATATTTGTGTAAAATTTCAGTTCAAAATATTAAAAACTGAATTTCTTAAAGAAGAAGATAATAGATAAAAAAAATATTAAATATACTGAATCTAAAAAAAAATCAAAATTAATTAAAAAAAATTAGAGACAAACACAAAACAGAGACACACAGAAGTGCAAAAGACCGGGAATCTATACAAACCGGACCTCGAATAGATCAATCTAATTCATCAAATTCCCAAACTTTAAGATCCAACCATGCTTAATCCATTACCCCAATAACCACCTCCATTGCCTTACAACAGAAACTACACAGTTTATTCACATTTTGATACAATTTTATTACAATTGAGAGACACGTAGCTTTCCCAAACAGAAACAAAGACAACAACAACTGACGTTATTATAGTAAAAATAGAAAATAAAACGAAAGTGCAGAGCCCCAAAAAAAGAAAATTACTCGAAGTTTCCATCTTTTAAAGCAGAGTGAAAGGAAAGTTTGGAGTATTTGCAAAATGCCATTTTGGCAAACAAACAATGCCAATGCCAATGCCAGTGGCAATGGAAATGCCACTTCTTCTTCTACTACCACTACTTCTTCTTCTTCAACATCTTCAAGTTCCATGAGTAGTAATAACAGTAATGGAAACAATGGTTGTCAACAGAGCCAAAGTAACCAGCTTGGAGAGGCAAGATCGGCTCTTTATTATTCGACCAATGCAATGTCATTTGTTACTAAGTCTTTGTTGCCTACTAGAAGAAGACTCAGGCTTGATCCTCCTAACAAGCTCTTCTTTCCTTGTAAGAATTAAGGTTTTGGGGTTGTTTTTGTTCTCTGTCTTTTTGGCTCTGTTCTTTTGGTTTTGGCTATGTTGGCATAGCTTGGACTGTTTTGATAGTGGTTTTTGCTGTTTTCTATACTTTTTGTGATCTGGGTTTGTTTGCCTTTATTTGAAAAAATGACCTTTGATTTGTTGATGTCATAAATAATACAGATTAGATTTTCCTCTACAGGTTTTACTTGATATATATGAACTTTGTTCAATAGATTTATTTGTTGTTGGTGATTTTGGGTTTCTCGATTTAGTGAAGGGAAGTGAGATTCTTAAGAATGCTGATGTCTGGTTCTTTAGAAAACAGATTGATTGCTCTTTGGTGGTTAAAATCAAACAAGTTTAAGAAACCTCATTGGGTTTGCTCATTGTATATCAACTGCTATTCATCCAGCTGTTCATGTAGAAACTTGATTGGTTGATTAGTTTGCAGATTTGAAGCTATGATTTTGCTGATGAACTCAGTTATTTAATGATTTGTACCTTTGTTGTGTGCTCTAAGCTTTCCCATCATTCGAATTTGAGTTATTGTTCTTGATTAACTTAGCTATTTCTGGGGTTTTAATTGATATGTATTTCAGTTATTTGAAATTTGGTAGTGAACTAGATTTGTGTTTTCTTGGAACTTAATTTGTTTCAATATTGTTCTTTTGAAGATGAACCGGGTAAACAGGTTAGGAGTGCAATTGGGATAAAAAACACTTGCAAGTCTCATGTAGCTTTCAAGGTATGGAGAAACTGTCAACTCTTTTTCTTTGATCATTGATTTTGATGTGATCAGTTTTTGGGAATTGATTGCTGATGTGATGGATGTTGTAGTTCCAAACAACTGCACCAAAGAGCTGTTACATGCGCCCTCCTGGGGCTATACTTGCTCCGGGCGAAAGTCTAATTGCAACTGGTAATCAATATCTCCTGCACCCCCTGTCTAGATCAGTGTTCCAACTAAAGTGATCAGGATTTCTTATTCTGAATTATTACTTGTTTAACAGTATTCAAGTTTGTTGAGCCTCCAGAGAGCAATGAGAGACTATTGGATCAGAAGAGCAGGGTTAAGTTCAAGATCATGAGCTTGAAAGTGAAAGGAGAAATGGAATATATTCCTGAGATGGTATATTGCTTGAACTGATTATGTGATTTTTATTGTTGATTCTACATCATCCTCATATCAACATGATTTGATGAATGTCTTCCTGATTTTGTTAATAAAACTATTGTTTTTCGGCATGGTCATAACCATCATCATTGAAGTTGATAGATTAGTTGTAAGAATTTCTCAAAAAGAGCTCTATGTCTTAAAACAGCATTGTAGATAGAAAATAAGCAGTGGATGTGCCAGTCATTGATCGTGTACTTTTTATAGGCTGGCCTTCTTTGTTCCGACAGCGTGATTTGTTATGTCTATCAATCAATTTAAGAATGCACTTAGACTCTATTTTCTTCAGTTTTCCTCCATCTGAATCATTTATCAGAATTGTGAGCTCTCTATGATCGGCAAATGCTTGTTTTTATAGCACATGTAGGACTGAAGATTTAATTCTGATGTTGCAATTTCTATACAAATGCTGAACAAGTTATGCTTGTACATTTCTTCAGTTTGACGAGCAGAAGGATCAAGTAGCTGTCGAGCAAATTTTGCGAGTTGTTTTTCTTGACGCAGAATGTCCTAGCCCTGTAAGCAGAACAGAAATATCTCTAATGTATTCTTTTCCTGCGTTTGAAAAGGAAATGCGAAGACCAAAAAAGACATTCTAAATCTTTGAGCAAATTCTGTTTTATTTCTGTTCAGGCACTGGAAAAACTTAAAAGGCAGCTGGCTGAGGCCGAAGCTGAGCTCGAGGCACGCAAGAAGCCTCCAGAAGACGCAGGCCCCCGAGTTGTTGGCGAAGGACTTGTTATAGATGAGTGGGTGAGGTCTTGAGCATTTAGTGTGCAATTTTTTCTCATCAAATTGTAGCCTACAATTTTTTTCTGACATTGCATTCTCTGAACATTTCAGAAAGAGCGGAGGGAAAGATACCTGGCACGCCAGCAGGTTGAAGTTGATTCTGTGTGAATGTTCTGTTTCCTTTTCTTGTCAGCACTGGTTTTTTCTTGAGCTGAGGTTTCCTTCATACAATGTTGAATGCTTTGTTCCTTTGTCCATTGGTGGAGGTGGATGTGTGATGTGTCTTATTAGGAGTGTAGACGTAAAAATTTGTAAAGCAGGATTTACCAGCAAAGCCTGTCAGAAAAAAAGGTAAAATGAAGGCAATTTGTTATGTCATATTAAGCTGTATGTGGTTTTACTGTTTTAAGGTTTATTGTAGATATGGGATTTTGATTAACAATGAATTAGTCAATTTTGTGTCAGCAAACCATATTTTATGTTTTAGTTTATCAATATTGCGTATTGTGGCTAGTTTTCTGCATTTATTTGCTCACATGAATTAGCAGAATTGTTAGATGTTAGATAGTAATATAAAACAATCTTGCGACTTCAACCAGCAGTTTAAATTTTTGGGTTTAAATAGTTCTTTAATATGATATGTGAGTTTTGATAATCAAAAGATAAAATTAAGCACATGGTAGTGGCCGGTATATGCAATTTTCAAGTTCAAATAGCTTTTATTTGAAATAATATGTTAGCAAGTAATATAACATCATTTTTGAAATCTCATCTTCTTATTTTTTTTTTTAGGTTAAAATGGTTTTTTGACATTAGATGCAGCATGATTTGCATTTTTCCTATATAGAATATGAGAATAAAGCATCCCATGTAGTTTCTGTATAGAATATGAGAATAAAGCATTACATCTAGATTCCTCCTATTTGTTTACTTAATTCTGCACTTGTGCCCTATTTATTGTAGATATGGGATTTTGATTAACAATGAATTATAATATAAAATTATTACTGTGTTAAGAAACGAATCAAGTAAAAAGATAAAACAGAAAGACAATAAACAATCATACGACACAAGATTTACATGATTCCACAATTGTATCTATTTTATAATTGTACTAAAAGTTCGTATTAAGCTTTTTATTAACAAATGCAAGAGATATTGTTCATATTTATAATATAGACAATTAGGATTATTGAAAGCCTTTATGAGCTTATGCAGCTGGCTTAATATATAATAGATCTTTTTGGGGTCTCCACCTCCAAGCTCGTGTAAGGAGGGCTATCTCCTTGATCCTTGCTTGTGACCGACTAGCAAGATTGTCGTGCTGACTCTGCTTAGTGTGTTAAATTGCGAATTAATTTCACATCAATCTCTACAACTGAGCATTATGAAACCTCAATCAAAAGTTTAAACTTTTGGATTGAAATAGTTTTTTGACATGGTATCATAGTTTTTTTATAACTACACGGTAAATAATTAAATATAAAGTATTGGTGGGTCTATACAATTTTCAAGTCTAAATAATTTTTACTTTAAAAAAAATTATATTAGAGAGTAATATAAAATTATTTTTAGATCTTTCCATATTTATCTTTTTGAGTTGAGATGATTTTTTTTGACATTAGAGGCAACATGGTTTCCATTTTTCCTCTATAGAATATGAGAATAAAGCATCACATCTAGATTTCTCCAATATATTTACTTTATTTTTGAAGAATATTTAAACTTCACTATAATTATCCTTCATGTAAATTATTTATAGTGCTGCAATGCAAAGCATTTGTATCTTTCCATTATTATTCTGATGATCCATAGAATTTACCATGGATATGTTCTCAACTTTGGTGGCACTGGACCCTCTTAGCAATCATGCAGTACCTAAATTCTTAATCAAAATAAGTTCAAATTGTTATATTTTATAATGAAACTACCTGTAGTTGTACTTTATTAGTATCTTTTAATGGATTGACAACCTGATAGAGGCAGATTTGTCTGGTTAGCCTGAGATTTTGCCATAGGAAGAACAATATTTTTCTTTTCTTTTGTTGATAAGATGATGAACTAGTGGAATTTAGATATAGATAGATATCTGGATTCGGTTCTGATTTTCTTTTGATCTACTGCAATTAAATTATCCTTCTAATGGCAGTGATTAAGTACCTGAAATGTATTGTGCTTGGAATCTTCCTATAAAAACGAATCCCTTCCATGGTGTTAGTCCTTTTCATGCCTTGCACCTTTGTATTATTGCCTTTGATTACTTCAATAACGTCCAAAATGTCCTCATCAAAGAAGAAATTACAAGAAAGATAGTTCATCAATCAAAGATATAAAATTATCATGTTCACAATAAAGGGAAATATAATATCTTCTAAAGTACAAAAAATTGAGTGGGATAGATTCTAAATGATATAGCTATTTAATACTTAAATTATTGTTAGTGAAGAACACAAAACTAAGTTGTTTTTTTTCTTTTTTTTTTTTTTAGGCTCAATCAAACATAGATGTTATTCCCAAAGAGATTAGTTAGTCTAAATTAATTTATTAATTTTTCGGGTTTGAGTTTTAAAACCAGCATCTAAATTAATTTATTAAATTCGTCTAAATATATTAAAACGGTGTGGGATATATCTTATGATAAGAATTCTTAAAGTAATCTTATAAGAAGAAGATTTAGTTTTAATTGATATATAAATTGACTCGATAATATCTTTGTTTGAACGAATTAAAAAAAATATGAATAAAATATTATAACTATTGAGGGAGGAATGATTGAAGGATTGAAAGGCTTCGTAGCTCTAAAAGATCAGTGCTGGGGTTCCAAACAATGGAAGAATTCATAGCTATGGCAATATTTAGGGACCCTCCATGGAAAAGGGATGATATTTCTCTCCCAAGTGGGTCGCAAAGCTTAGTTGATTTTATCTAAAAAGTTGAAACCAATTCTCCTCTGTCCCTGTAAATTGGCATGTAAAGGGCAGTAATGATATATATTCAAATAAACTCATGATTAAAGGTTTAAGGTGGACCTCACCAGAGAAAGGAAATGGCACCATGGAGATCCATGAGTGCCCATTTCCATTGAAGGATGAAAGAAGGGAAGAGATAGCAACTTTGAATGGAGAAATTGAAGCCCATTACCATCTGTCAACATTTGGGGAGTTGTTGGTTTCCTCCATGGATATGCCCTTATGTGATAAACTCTTCCTCTAGTGATAAAGATTGCTTACCCTTTGGCCGCTTCGATGGAAGACATTTTGGGTTGGCTACGTGACCTCCAATAAATTTGTCTTCCTTTTATTTTTTATTTTTTCACTCTCTGTTCGAAAATTTTCAGTTTGAGTTGATTTTTCGTAAGGATTAAAAATGTGCAATTAATTACATGGCATGTTTTCAGATATTTTTAAAAGAATAGATAATAAAACTCCCAAGAGTATTTTTTTTAAAAAAATATTGTAATAATAGTTTATAAATAATAAAATTCATTTAAAACGAACCTAATACATAATTAAAAAATAGAATACAATTATATTCATTAAAATTAAAAAAAAGTAATATTGCCTAATAGCAAATTATTTATGGTAAAAAAATTGATGCAATTCCATTTTTTTTTAAAAAAAAACCCTAATTTTCACTTTAAATTGATCAGATATGCAAAATTTCTTTCTTTTCTTTTTTTTTTTAATGGAAAATTAGATCTATTAACTAGAGATATGTGAATATCCGTAATACACATTACTATATTTTTCCTTAATAATTACATATTAAGTTTTTGTGTATGTTTTATTTTATTTTTTTTAACTTGTTATAACGATATTTTAAAAAATATTTTAGAATTGTACTATGTTTGAATCTTACACATAACATATTTTATGCAGTTATTATGAGATTTAAAAAACAACATAAAAATTTTAAAAAATAATTTAGTCAATGTATTTTTTTAATTATTTTAATTTAATCTTTATATTTTTTGAATTATTTTGTTTGAATCTCTTTATTTGGCTGTCACTTATGATTTGTATTATACTTTCAGAAATAAATGCTTAACTTTAGTTTGCAACTACCAGCGTTATAATAAACGGAGGAAAACAAAAATAAAAAATAAAAAAATTCAATTAATAAAAAAAATCAATCAAAACAATTAAATAGTACATGTATAATTAACTCAATTATATAAAAATAAATTAAGTCATTAACTCTTAAAAAATAAAAAATAAAACAAAACAATATTTTTTTTAGAAAAAAAAAACCTTAATAAAAGAAGTGGAGAGATTTCTAATAAGTTTTTGAAACAAAATATCTGAAATTAATTATTTAGGATGAAAACTAAAATTGGATGGTACCTTAAAGATTAAAATGAGATTTCCCCAAAAAAAAATTCCACCTTCCATGAATTTAGTCAAATGATGGTCCCCTGTAAGCACCAATACCATCAATAGCATCAATCAAAGGGCAGGGCAACAATAATGGATCTTCCCCACCAGCACGTGACATCCATACCAACCCATTAAGAAAGGAGCCACTTGCCAATTCTAATGACAACACGTTTACCCCATCACGTGGACTGACAAGTTAACAAAAAGACGAGATTATCCTCCCAGTAAAGTCGGGTCCTGTGGGACCCAACGGGATAAGACAGAGACAGAAGGTATCTAGTAGGTGGTGGGTTACTATTGGTCAGATAGAGATGAGTCATGAAATTTGTCCTTGGATAAGGTCGACACCTGTTGATCCCTTTACCTGCTACGAAATTACAAAATTCTCGTAATTTATCGTGGTTTTTCTGCATTTCTAGCTCGTGATAATGTCACGAAATAATGGATCCTTTATCTAACGGATCCTAGAACCTCTTTTTTTGTTAAAGAAAAAGTTTAACACGTGTATGTTAACGTCTAATCTCTCATGAAAAGCAAATTACCGTCTCATCAAACCCTTCACTTTATTAAAGAAGGAAAAAAAAAAAAAAGGAGTAACTATAAATTAATTCCCAAAGTTATAAATATGAATAATTCAGTCTCTAACTTTAAAATTTTATAATTTATTCTCTATATCCACACATTTTTAAAATTACTATTGGCTAATATAAGTTATGCATCCTAAAATGTTTAAATATAATTAGAAAATCAATGTCATAGTTAACATTTTATTCAAAATTTATAATAAAAAATATGCTTATTTTTATGGTTTTTTTTTTTTAATTTTATAGCTTTTGATTTAATAAATATTGCTTATTCTAGTATTTATCAATTGTGGTATAAATAGATTTACGTATTAATGAAGATTTTACATTGAAGTTTTTTTTTCTATTATTTCTTTCCATTGTATTTCTACTAAGGAGTTGGATAAATCTACAACTAAAATAAAAATTGAGCATTTCATGGTTCAATATTGATAATTTTTTTTTTAGTTTTATGTTTTGTAATTTATATTTTTATACTATTTAAACTTTTTAAATTGTCATTACAATACGTCAAAAGAAACATACAGTTGTATAATTTTAATTTTAAAAATGAATATACGTTTTTAGAATGTACTTTTACTAGACATGTAGAAAACGTTTCAAATATTTATCAATTGAAAATTTTAAATAAAACATTAAACCCAAAAAGTATATAAAATATGCTAACTTATAAAAAAAAAAAAGAGGTGATCTACTCTTGATCCTCGTGCAATATGAATTGGAGTAATATAGTAAATATAAAAAAATATAATAAATCATAAAAATATATATGGACAATTTGGACTTAATGGCAATTTTATTTTCAAAATAAAGGCTGTCTTAATATTTTACGAAGGTTGGGGAGAAAGTTGCAAAATTTTAGAGACTTCTCAATTTCAATCACATCAATATTCAATTTCTCTTGCGAAATTAGTGAAAACTTCACTTTTGTCCACCATCTATAAATCCAAAGCACAAAATCTCGATCCTCACGACCACCAATAATATGCTCCTTGCCATACCAAAACCACCTTATAAAGCAAAACCACTTTCTGTTTCCGGTTTTACAAGCACGCACTTTTCCTCCTATAAAAAACACACCTTTCCTCACAGGAAACACTCAATGAAACATACAAATTTTCTCACCGAAATTTTGTAGTATCTGTTTCCCGATTTATAGGAACGAACCCAAAAATGAGTTATTTGAACCGAGTCTGGATGGCTGCTTCCGTGGCTGCAGTTGGCCACCCTGATCAAGGATGGAAATCCGGCGTAAAATCACTGAAACACGGCAAGATGAGGGTGTTCTCAGGCAGAGATGCTGCGGAGATCCGACCACTTGCTGGTTCAGTTGGATCGGATTGTGTTGGAGTTCTTGGGAGTTGTGGATCGGAAGAGGGAGTGAGACGGAACGACGAGTCTCTCCGACGAGTTATGTACTTAAACTGCTGGGGCCAGGGGTGAGGAGGCAGTACTGAGCTAAGGAAGCTCAGTTTTCAAAGAACATCGACCATCGGGGAGAGAGTTGACTGACTCGGTGGTGGTTGGGAGACTTGAGGGGATTTTGACTGAGTTGTGGCGGCGGTGGTGAGTTGTATAGTCTTGAGAGGAGGTTGACTTGAGTTTGGTCGGTAAATTGTAAAATTTATGGAGAGGATGAGGAGCTGCTGAATGATTTCCTTTGAGATTGTACATAAAAACAAGTAAAAAAGAAAATGTAAATAACACAGTTCTGTTTTAACTGCGGATTATGTTTAATTTGCATTAATTTTTTTTGCCTAATTTTTATCTTAATTACTAACAATTACGAAATGAATTAACTTCTGAAAATCCATTTGAATATATATTTGTTGAACTGATCTGGATAATTAAATCACAAGCCAAATTGCTATCTAAATCACACACTTCGATTTTATCAAAGCTACAACTCAGTTTCAATGCAAAATATTGAGTTCTGTTGGAGAGATAAGACTGATTGACTCGGCTGGGAGTTGTTGAGTCTTGTTAGGGGGTTGACTGAGTTGGGGCGGACGAGTTGAGTATAAATTGTGAATTTAACTCGGATGATGAGAAATGGTGGAGAAAACTTTAAATGATATATATATATATAGAGAGAGAGAGTTTTTAAAATTACCTAAAAAACTATTGAGTTGAAACCACGAGTTCAGGTTTTTAATACAAACACTTTTGAGTGTTTTATTTTTACAACAAATAGATAATTATTCATTACATTAATATTTTATGTAAAAATAAAAAAGGTAATTTAATATTTTAAATAACATGAGATTAATTGTAATTTAAATTTTTTAAAACATAAAATATCAATTATTTTTTAATTGTTAATTATTTACTTGGATGTTGGAGGTAGTTAAAAACTTTTGGCGTAAATATTTTTATTAAGCAAGCGTTTAAGACAGTGTTTAAGATAATGCCGCTACTCTGCTAGCATTCTTCTAGTTTTAATGGACTAACAAACTAATATGCTATTGTGCTTTGAATTTTGATTGATTTTTTTTGGATGTGTATAATCATTTATTTACTGTTAGTCTTAATAAATTTTGATTAGAGTGAATTTCATACTACAATAAATGGGTTGTTCTTGAGCTCGAAAAAAAAAAGTAGTTCTAAAAATTCATTCTTCGTCCATACAAATAAAACATATAATAGATTGAAAAAAAAACCTCATATTGTGCTTGAAAAATAGATGTAAACATAGCCGAACTATTAGGAAATGATTTAAGTAAAATAATATGGTAGAATAAACAAAAACACACAGTACAAAGATTATATTTCATGATAATATTAAAAAATTTTATTAAGTGATAAATATAAATATAAATAATATTATTTTTATTTATAACGTGAATAATTAAATTTATAATAAAAAAGATATATTAAATCTATAAATCAGATCTAACATTTTATAGATCTTTCAAAAACCTCCAAGCTTTCATAAAGGATGTTGCCTCTTTGATCCTCACTCGATAATCCATTAATAAGATGGTTTTGCTGGATTTGCATCGCCTTATATATTATATAGTAAATATAAAAAATATAATAAATCATAAAGAAATATATACGGACAATTTGGACTTAGTGGCAATTTTATTTTCAAAATAAAGGTTGTCTTAATATTTTACGAAGATTGGGAGAAAGTTGCAAAATTTTAGAGACTTCGCAATTTCAATCACATCAATACTCAATTTCTCTTGAGAAATTAGTGAAAACTTCACTTTTGTCCAACATGTTATAAATCCAAAGCACAAAATCTCGATCTCGAGAGCATCAATAATAAGCTTCTTACCACCCCCAAAACCACCTTATAAAGCAAAACCACTTCATGTTTCCGGTTTTGTAAGCACGCGCTTTTCCTTCTATAAAAAACATACCCTTCCTCCTAGGAAACATTCAACGAAACATACAAATTCTCTCACTGAAGTCTTTAATATCTATTTCCCGATTTATAGGAACGAACCCAAAAAATGAGTTATTTGAACCGAGTCTGGATGGCTGCTTCCGTGGCTGCAGTTGGCCACCCTGATCAAGGGTGGAAATCAGGCATAAAATCACTGCAACACGGCAAAACGAGGGGGTTCTCTGGCGGATGTGTTGCGGAGATCCGACCACTTGCTGGTTCAGTTGGATCGGACTGTTTTGGAGTTCTTGGGAGTTGCGGATCGGAAAAGGTGGCGAGACAGAACGACGAGTCTCTCCGACGAGTTATGTACTTAAATTGTTGGGGCCAGGGGTGAAGAGGTAGCACTGAGCCTAGGAAGCTCAGTTTTCAAAGAACATCGAGTACCATCGGAGAGAGAGTTGACTGGCTCGGTGGTGAGTTGGGAGTCTTGAGGGGAGATTGACTGAGTTGTGGCGGCGGCGAGTTGTATAGTCTTGAGAGGAGGTTGGCTTGAGTTTGGTCGGTAAACTGTAAAATTTATGGAGAGGATGAGGAGATGTTGAATGATTTCTTTTGAGATTGTACATAAAAACAAGTAAAAAAGAAAATGTAAATAACACGGTTCTGTTTTATTGTGGATTATGTTAAAATTTCTTCTGGTGCATTAAATTTTTTTGCTTAATTTTTATCTTAATTACCAACAATTATGAAATGAATTAACTTCTGCAAATCCAAATGAATATGTATTTGTGGAACTGATCTGGATAATTAAGTTAATCACACGCCAAATTACTGCCCAATTATACACTTTGATTTTATCGAAGTTACAACTCAGTTTCAAAGCAAAATACTGAGTGCTGTTGGAGAGAGAGAGTGATTGACTAGGCGGTGAGTTGTGGAGTCTTGCTAGGGGGTTGACTGAGTTGGGGCGGACCAGTTGAATATAAATGATGAAAATTTATTTCTTTTTGTTTTTTAATGCTTTCAAAAGCTTTTAAAAAAATAGAGTTTGTAATTTAGAGAAATATGTACACTTTTAATTTTACAGAACGAATTAAATAATTATTTTTATTTTTATTTATAATTTATAATTAATATTGATAATGATTAATTTAATATTATTTGTTTTAAAAATATTTTATTTTCTTTTCTTTTTAATACAACGCAAATTAAATAAAAAAAAGATTCAGTTGTAAATAGATTTAAATTTTAAAAATTAATTAATTTGTTTTTAAAAATAGAGGAATTATTATTATTATTTTTGAAAAACTAGAGAGACCAATCGATCACTTACTCGCCCAAAGATGGAGAGAATCAAAACTCAGCAAGTTGGAAGGGGCTATTAGCCCGTAACTTCTCCTTAGTAACACATTCAGGTAAATTTTCTCCTAAACCAGACACAGAGACCACAAAGAGGAAAAGCACAGAGTCACGGAGACCTCCTTGAAGTTATAGTCTGAGATTCTTGAAGAAAGAGACATTGAAAGAGAGGAGAAATTCTAAAGCTGATGGCAATGAAACGGCTAGCCATTTTGCTCGCTACATCGTCTTCTTCATCTCCAGCTTCTGCGGCCTTTCATTTTGAACGTAGCCAAATAAAAAATATGGGTATAATTCTTAAACCCTCCTTATTATTCTATAACAACAACAACGACAACCCCATTTGCTGTTGTCTTCATACTTCCAGTAGAACTCGTAGTTACAGACATGTTAAAGACAAAAAGGGTAGTTCTTGTTCATTTAGGAATATTAATGATGCCTTCAATCACATGCTTCTTTTGCATCCTCGGCCTTCTATTGTCGAATTCAGTAAATTATTGTCTGCAGTTGTCAGAATGAGGCATTATGAGAATGTTGTTTCTATGTCCAAACAAATTGAGTTAGCGGGAATCTCCCATAATGATTATACTCTTGCTATCTTGATTAATTGCTTCTGCAACTTACACTGTGTTGACTATGGGTTTTCTGTCCTGGGAAAAATCATTAAACTTGGTTTTGAACCGGATATTATAACGTGTAATACCTTAATGAATGGGCTTTGTATAGAGGGTAAAATTTCTCAAGCTGTGGAATTTTTTAATGAGATGGTGGCAAGAGGACCTCAGCCTAATCTACGCACTTATAATACAATTATAAAAGGTTTGTGTAAGATTGGAGAAACCACTGTGGCTGCTGGATTGCTCAAGAAAATGGAGAAGGCAAGTTGTGAGCCGGATGTTGTGACATACAATACAATTATTGATAGCCTATGCAAGGATAGGCTAATCAATGAGGCTTTAGATATTTTCTCTGAGATAAAGGGTAAGGGAATTGAGCCGAATGTTATCGCATACACCTCCTTAATGCATGGTTTATGCAATTCAGGCAAGTGGAAGGAGGCTTCAGCATTCTTAAATGAAATGTTGGGTCTGAATATCATGCCAGATATAGTTACCTGTAGCATGTTGATTGATACACTGTGTAAAGAAGGCGAGGTTTTAGAGGCTCAAGGTATATTCAAGAAAATGACAGAAAGGGGTGTGGAGCCTAATAATTTTACTTATAATTCATTGATGGATGGCTATTGTTTGCGGAGCGAAGTTTTTGAAGCGAGAAAAGTATTGGATGTGATGATAAGCAAGGGTTGTTCACCTAATATTTTTAGTTATAACATTTTAATCAATGGATACTGTAAGACCAAGAGGATAGATGATGCGAAGCAGCTTTTTGATGAAATGGTTAATCGAGGCTTAATTCCAGACGCCGTTAGCTACACCACTCTTATGAGTGGCTTGTTTCAAGCAGGGAGAGTTTTGGAAGCAAAAGAGCTTTTCAAGGACATGCCTGCCCATGGCCACCCCCAAAATTTAATAACTTGCTCAGTTTTACTTGATGGCTTAAGCAAACGAGGGCATCTTGATCAGGCATTGGGACTATTTCGAGAAATGCAAAATAGTTACTTGAAGCCTAATTTGGTGATTTATAATATCATAATTGATGCCATGTGCAAATCTGGGAAGCTTAAAGACGCAAAGCAGCTGTTTTCAGAACTCTCTGTCAAAGGCCTGCAGCCCAATGCTCAGGTTTGGACGACAATAATCAATGGACTTTGCAGAGAAGGATTGCTAGATGAAGCATACAATGCTTTCAGACAAATGGAAGAGGATGGCTGCCCACCAGACGAATGTTCTTATAATGTTTTTATCCGAGGACTTCTCCAGCACAAGGATCCAAGGGCAGTGCAACTTATTAGTGAGATGACAGGAAAAGGATTCTCTGCAGATGCGGACACCACAACCTTGGTGGTAGATGATGATCTTGTTCTCAAAAAGTTGCTTGGCTTTTGTGAAGTTCATCAAGGGAAAAAGGTGACATAATTGTTTCATGGAATTTTTTTTTAGTCTTGTCAAAGTCTGGGCTGCGCCACCAATCACTTGCTTTTCTTTTTTGTGTGGTTGTTAGTTATTTGGGACTAGCATTTGGTTCTTGTGGGTTACACATTGATACATTTGGACTTATGTCATTTAATAGGTGGTTTAGTAGATTTAATTGATGAAAGCTATTCAAGTTTTCTCATAATTGATCAGAAAACTCATTTAAATTTTCATCATCCTAATTAAACTCCTTCGCTTCAACTAAATAAGACAATTTGGTAGATTATTATTGAATAACTTCTTCATTTCAAGGTGCATGTCTGCATACAGCAAATTCTAACCCTTCACAAATGAAAAGAGCTAAATATGGGAGTGGAAACTTGCATAGGTCCACATTGTCTTGTGTTTTAATATTTATGAAATTGGGGATTGTGAGATTTGAACTTAGGACCACATGGTCAATCAAGGGTTGATACCATATTAAAGAACCATCTCACCTAAAAGTTTAAGCTGATAGGTGAGGCTCCAGAATATAATTTATATTAGTCTCTAACAGTATTGTAAATTTGGAATCAAAATGATGTGGTTATTTGAAAGAATTTTTTTTTATCTAATTTTGATTGGCTTTAGGTGTTTAGGTCATTTGTATGTGAAAAAATATGGGATCCCTGGTTTGGTCACTTTACCAAATTGCTTGTATAATTATGCTCGGAGATGAAAGGTGTTGATATGTTGTGATTATATGATAGTGATACCTGTGTGTTTCTAATTGGGGTCGTCTCATTATAGAATGTGGTTTAATTGTGGAAATAAACTGTATGAATAGTGAGATCATGAAGGAAGAAGGTGATATTAGAGCGAACCCAGACCTGTTGTTTGAGGCTACCTTAGGTATGTTTGAAAGGTTGTGAACAATATCTCACATGAAGTAGTAGCAATTTTGTCATTTTGAGTCTTTGTTTAAATAATGCCTTTACCAATCCCTCTCCTCTCACCCCACCCCAAACTGGTGTAAAAGTTGGATTGTCAGTTTTCTAGCGGGAAGTGGTTTTAGTAATGGAGAAGCTAAATTGAAATCAAGAGTTGAGATCTTCAGTAATGATAGAAGAAGGGACATAGGTAGTACCATAGTTAAAACTTTTTTGGTCATAAAGTTTTTATGAAATGAAGAAGGTAAGATTGTTCATTGTCGGAAGACATCAAACCTTTTGATCAGTTCCAAAATAACACAATAACACTGATTGCTTTGAAATTAATTGCTGGACCTCTTTGGTTTACATGTTGCTGCTGTACATTATTTCTCCCAAATTTATACATGCATTTTGGCTTATTCAACATCTCAGTATCCTAACACGACTTATAATTATAAAATGCTCAGAAAGACTGCAATTTACATTTCAGTATGCGACCTCTCCTTTTCTTCATTTATTCAATAACATGTATCGATGCTACTGACTAGCCTCCATTAATTCTCAAGGGAATAAAGAATCTTCTAATGACTTTTTTTTTCCCTTGTCCTGATCAAGTATCCCGTATCTGTTGTTCAAGAGAAAAATGATCCCGTATCTGTTGTTCAAGAGAAAAATGACCATCCCATATCTCAAATTTGGTGTTTCGGTCTAATTTTGTGGGCATTTCTAAAGGAATTGAACATGGAAGATATCATATTTAGCTACATAAGTATTGGTAAGCATGTATCAATCTAGTGAAATAATCTGGGGTCATGAATGATATTTGTTTTGCATGATTGTAAGGTGATAAAGTTGAAGCGTAAAGCATTTTGAAAAATCATGTTATTATTTTTCTTATTTATTGTCTGCAATCATGGCATCAAAAATGTTGGTTGTGGATAAACTTTCTGCAAAATATTCATATGTGGATAAAACATTTCACATCTGCTTTCTGCAGGCAAACTGTGATGCATTTAAAAGAAAAGGAGAACACAGAGAAGGAGATGAGAAATCAGATCTTAAATGATGCTGGAGATAATCAACAAGCTTTT